AACAGTGGTCATCTAGACTTGTCACATCTTCAGAAACAGTGGTGTCACCTTAGACTTGTCTTGTCACATCTTCAGAAACAGTGGTCACCTAGACTTGTCACATCTTCAGAAACAGTGGTCACCTAGACTTGTCACATCTTCAGAAACAGTGGTCACCTAGACTTGTTACATCTTCAGAAACAGTGGTCACCTAGACTTGTCACATCTTCAGAAACAGTGGTCACCTAGACTTGTCACATCTTCAGAAACAGTTGTCATCTTGTTACAGACTTGTTACATCTTCAGAAACAGTGGTCACCTAGACTTGTCACATCTTCAGAAACAGTGGTCACCTAGACTTGTCACATCTTCAGAAACAGTTGTCATCTTGTCACATCTTCAGAAACAGTGGTCACCTAGACTTGTCACATCTTCAGAAACAGTGGTCACCTAGACTTGTCACATCTTCAGAAACAGTGGTCACCTAGACTTGTCACATCTTCAGAAACAGTGGTCATCTAGACTTGTCACATCTTCAGAAACAGTGGTCACCTAGACTTGTCACATCTTCAGAAACAGTGGTCACCTAGACTTGTCACATCTTCAGAAACAGTGGTCATCTAGACTTGTCACATCTTCAGAAACAGTGGTCACCTAGACTTGTCACATCTTCAGAAACAGTGGTCACCTAGACTTGTTACATCTTCAGAAACAGTGGTCACCTAGACTTGTCACATCTTCAGAAACAGTGGTCATCTAGACTTGTCACATCTTCAGAAACAGTGGTCACCTAGACTTGTTACATCTTCAGAAACAGTGGTCATCTAGACTTGTCACATCTTCAGAAACAGTGGTCACCTAGACTTGTCACATCTTCAGAAACAGTGGTCATCTAGACTTGTCACATCTTCAGAAACAGTGGTCACCTAGACTTGTCACATCTTGTCACATCTTCAGAAACAGTGGTCACCAAAACTTGTCACATCTTCAGAAACAGTGGTCACCTAGACTTGTCACATCTTCAGAAACAGTGGTCACCGTCACATCTTCAGAAACAGTGGTGACCTAGACTTGTCACATCTTCAGAAACAGTGGTCACCTAGACTTGTCACATATTCTAGACTTGCATGATCTTTCTAGGATGTATTTGTTTCAAAGTTTGTATGAAACACTACCATGTCATGTTAACATTCAGAATCCACGAATCCTCAGCCTGGTTAATCAGTCTTCTGTTGTATATATCAGGGATACTCTACAGCATTCTACAGCTCTTCTATTCTCCCTCTCTGTGTGTGTGTGTGTGTGTCTCTCTCTCTCTCTCTCTCTCTCTCTCTCCTCTCTCTCTCTCTCTCTCTCTCTCTCTCTCTCTCTCTCTCTCTCTCTCTATGTGTGTGTGTGTGTGTGCATTGAAAACAAAGGTCGGGTTCTCTCCGTGTACCATCCATACTTGAAAACAATACAAGAACCTGTATCGGAACGTCGTATTCTAGAATAAAGAAGTTGTCATCCATATATACTTGTTCTATCTGACTTCCAACTTCTAAAATGCCTCTCAAACAAGCCAGGTTACTCATTTTCCACTAATCTGAAGTTGGTAGTCGAGGAGAAGATGGCCAACTTGAGCATTTTATAGAATTGATGGGCATACCTTGAATAACGAACCCGGTGCTGGTTAGTTTTTTTCGTTATTCAGAGTTTCTGTGTGATTAAACATCTCATGCTCATTTGGTACACCTGTGAATTGAACCTGCAATCTTTTATTACATGAGTGTCAGTATATATATATGACAGCACTATTATAGATATTCCACGTAGAGCGTTTGAATAACGAACCCGCTGCTAATACGTTATTCGTTATTCGAAAGACGAATGACGAAACACGAACCCTCTGGTAATATGGTAGGCTGTATTTATCTTGCATTTGATAGAATTGATGGGTATACATTGAATAACGAACCCAGTGCTGGTTTGTGTTTCGTTATTCAGAAACTGTGAATGGAACAGTTTCAGTGTATATATATATGACACCACTGCTATAGATATTCCATATTCCCGCTGCTAGCACGTTATTCGTTATTCGAAAGACGAATAACGAAACACGAAGCAGCTGCTAACTTCAGGCTGCTCATTAAGCAAAAGACAGAAGCTAGTCTCTATGGGAATGTTCTGTTCATCCTTGGCTGCCATTTTTGTACTTTGTCGGCCAAACTGAGTAAGCTTGACAACTACGTCACTAGGCTGGCAATGTCTATGTTTAAGACTAATCTTGGCCGCGTGACCGTAGCTATATGAATCTTGGTCCAGAATAGAGTTGGGAGTGGCATCAGGTCAGGTCTCACTGGGTGCCTATCTTGGGTTAGGTCCATTGTGGTTTTATCTGGCACATTTTTGACAACATATACTTTGTTGTGTTGTTATATTGGAAAGTAAAATTTACACTGATTAATTCGGCAGTGTCAACGGCTGTTGTCCCTCCAACAATTGAATCATGTGACATATTGTATATATTACAATAATATATTTCATGCCCATGTGAATTTATTGACTTAATATACCACATTTACATCGGACGTGAAACTATTTCTGATACAGCATATTCTAACCCCGTGTGAAGATATTTATGATATACCACAGGTCACACTACTCCGGGAAGCCGGGTGTGTCAACTGTCTAAGGTGCCATATATAAATATATAAATTGATATTCAACGATTATATATTTGGCAAGTGTGAACATAAAAGAACCTACACATATATATATAGTATGAGCAGAAATTATTGAGAATTTTAGGAATATGTTTAATTGGATTTCTAGTATAAACAACCTTGACAAGCTATCAAGTGCTTGCTTTCATTCAAGAGAGACAACTCAGTTAAACCTTTTCCCTTAGTTTGTGAAGAGTTATCCCCCTTTGTTTACTTGCTAGCAGACGACATTTTCAGTGATCCTCAGTATGGATAATTTAGAGAAGAGGAAGTTGATTTTAGAGTATTATAACAAGGACATCAGATTAGCTAAAGTGATTTCAAGTAGAACAGGCATCCCTTTGTCCACTGTTTATCGTGTTTTGAAAAATATTGCAAATGGATATGGCATTGAGCACCAGGGAGGCCCAGAAAATTGACTGTCGGTGACAGGAGGTGGCTTGGTATTCTTGTTTCTAAATACAAACGAAGGAGTTTAGAAAACGTAAGGCTGGATATGATTGATAGAGGAACTGTGGCTGTCTGTAAGGAGACAATTAGAACTGAGCTGCATGCAATGGGTTGGCAGAAAAGTCGAGGAATTCCATCACCGATCATGAAACCTGAACAAAAGGAGCGAAGGTTGAACTGGTGCTTACAGCATAGAAATGTTAATTGGGACAATGTGATTTTCTCAGATGAAAGTTCTGTGTGGCTGTTTCCTAATACACTGAAATTCTGGACCAAACAAACTGAAAAACCTGTGTATCAGCGCCCAAAGTACAGTCCGAAATTTAACGTGTGGGGTGGCATATCTGTGTTAGGGGCAACACCCCTCTGCGTATTTGAAGGGTATATGAACAGTGAGCGGTACACAGATATTCTCGAGGGACATTTACTTCCATCTGCCCACGTGTTCTTTGGAATTTTTTTGATTTTCCAGCAGGACAACGACCCAAAACATCGTTCAAATCATTCACAGGCCTGGTTTCGGACCCAAAATATGACAATATTAGATTGGCCAAGCTATAGCCCTGACCTAAATCCAATAGAAAATGTTTTGGGACTTATGAAGGAAAGTGTCAATAAGAAAAATCTGACAAATATTGCTGAAATGAAAGAAGAGGTGGTCCGATATTGGGACAGCATGGACCACGAGTTTGATCAGTAGTATGCCCCGCCGCATTGAAGCCTGCATTGCTGCCCATACTAACTGTTCACCACCTGTCTTTGAATCTGGAGTTATGTTCTGCCAATATTCACATTTAATATGTGAGTTATTAGTGAAAAAATAATAATACAATCTTAAATTCTCAATAATTTCTGGTTGTACTGTATATATGTCTTGTTATTCGTTGAAAATATGGGTTGTTGATGTGTAATAAGCATCAAGTTTTGTCTGATATAACTTCTTTTGTCATTTTTACACCTTGATGTCAATTATTACAACATGGGAAAATATTATGAATATTAAAAATTTAAAAATCATGTATGGCCATTTTGACTTTTTCTATGGCCATTTTCACTTTTTGATGTGGCCATTTTGACTAGGGGTTTGTGGCCATTTTGACTTTTTTGTGTGTGGCCATTTTGACTTGGATATTTTGTGGCCATTTTGAGATGTGGCCATTTTGACTAGGACTCACTATTTGCTGTATGGAGTTGTATCCCTTGAGTAGGGAACAGGTCAAAATGGCCACACAAAAAAGTCAAAATGGCCACAACCCCCAGTCAAAATAATAATTAACGGTGGTAAACATCTGCTTCTATTTGGATCTTCCTTCCCCCTTCTAACTCATATAACAGGAATATTGTCCAAAGTCGTGTAAAACCATCCCACTCATACCCCCTATAAAGTTACTGAGTTCATATACTGTACATTACATTGTGATAGAGATATGATACCTATCACACCCATACCATGACACCTGCGTATCCTACGTGCAGCCGGAAGTTATGAATAAACCATGTCATTTAAAAAGTGGTCAAATGTAACACAGGTTATTTGGGGGATTACACTTTTGCAGTAAAGTACAGGTTCTAGTACTATTGTTATGTTGAGTCCCATAAGGGATTCGAACCCACACTCAAAGAGTCATTCACCTAATCGCCAGCTCAAAATGTCAACGTTCTGTCCCATTAAGCACTGTGGTTTCCACAAATCTACCAAATGTCCGATTTCCATTTTTGTGGAAGCCACGGAATTTATACCTTACTGATAGAGTGTAATCCCAACATAACATATATTTTAAAAGCAAACTTGGACTAGTAACAATGAGTGATGGGATGTAGTGGTAGAACAAGCATTTCCATTATTTAAGAATATAACTATGGTCATAATATCAATCATTATTTTATTATAAAAACATAATCAACTCCTGTACACATTCCTGTGGTGAAACAAACACCTAAATACATGTATGCTGTTCTCTGTAGAAACTCACCTGGTGCTGATATGCAATGTACCAGCAGAAAAAGGTTTTCTGGTAGTCTGAAATTTGTATTCTGAGCTTGAACATCCTTGGATCATTGACATGTACCAGGGATAGGAATTTGGGTCACATGTGGATATCGCTTTACATAAGCATAAGAAATGAAACCCCTGCCCACTACCTGTGGAAGAAGGAATGAATGAAGTTAAAATCACCATCAGTGTCTGGAAGGAAAGGGACTTTATGTTGTCTAAAATAGAATCTTTGATGATATATAATCTATCATTGTACACATGACAAAGAATACGATCCTCAATCCAAGCATATTGTCCGATTCTTTCTGTTTGTATGGCTCAGGTACAAACTGGATAATAACTCTGTTAGTCACCGGTTATTTAGCCAGTGATTAGCTGGGAGATAAACACAATGTATGTTCAATGTAGAGCTGTTTCCTCTCTATGTCACAGTGCTGCACTTACAACACAGAATAGTTATCTCCCTATGGAGCACACAAAAAACATTCTTTGTTAGCAAGGAAGTAATTGATGCAGCAAAAAGTATGGTGATGGTCACGTCCAGTGATTGACATCATTAGCTAAGTGGTGTTTCCTGTTCAACACTTACTGGCAAGCAAAGTATTGTAGGAGTCACAACTAGACAATTTGGAACTATCATGTGTTGTTTTTCCATCCTAAAACGACTCACTTATAAGGATGGAGAATGACAGTCTTTCCCTGACTTTTACAGTGTATTTATCAAGAAGTAGCCAACGCTGTAAGTGAAGAAAGTTAATATTAGGTTTAATTATAGCGATATATCCTGATATGTGTTGGCGTAATGAAATATGTATTGCAATATATTGTGAAAGTGTAACACATGGTTTAAGGCAATGGAATTACTGTTTCCTTTCTTTTGAAACAATGCCACATGCCACTGTCAGGATGTGATTGTACAAGAGATCGATTGAAAATGACTCCAAATTGTTTATCCCTACAACGAGTGCCGATACCAATCTACTATTTTGTTCATCTATATGGTTTAAAAGTCACGCAAATGCAACTATATGACCAATAAACTATTCTCAAAACTATAAATGTATAATAATATAAAGGATATACAAATGTTAATCGTATTTTTTACTTAATCACGAAAATTACCAATCATGGTCACAGAAATTGCCGATCGTATCAGGTGAACTGGTTCGCGAAAAGTGTACCGCAATATATCGTATTGTCAATTTGTGAAGTTCAAATTGCAATATACCAGATAACCGTATTATCGTCCACCCCTAGTGAATATATCATGCTGTCATTTAAAGCTAACAATCATTTGCCACCCTATAGATACATCAATATGGACAGAAAAATATCAAAATAAAAACATATCAAAAGCCTTAGTCATAAATCACTTGGCTAACAACCACTTGTCACCCTACAGATGTATTAATACAGATGGAAAAATATGAAGCAATTATACTGACATATCAAAAGCCTTTGTCATGAATCAGTTGACTTAAACTTTTTTGTAACTGGCATATCCTGGTCTGAACCATCAGACACTACCACCTTTCCATCCTCTTCCGGAAATGTCTGGCCTGGCTTCAACACCTGGCGTACATTAACATTGATACGAGAAGTCTTAAGAAAAACTTTTAATGGTTTCCAATTCATTCTTGTCATCTCCTGACTGATAGAAGTGTCCATGTCACTTGATGAAGCTCTGTTCATGTCATCAACATCAGTTTTTGAAAGAGTTTCCTCAGTCTGGTTGTTCCAGTCCAGGTACGAAGGGTTTGTGGATGCAAGTATCCGAGGAACTGCATGATACGCCATCCTGGACTCGCCGCCCATCACACAGATGTCACCACTACGCAAGTACATAGCTGATGGTGGTGTGGCCTTTGTCTTTCCTCCCAGGAGAAACACAGCATCTTGACCAAAGCTAGATGAAGTGTGAAACAGGATCTCGGTTAGTTACGTGAATTACTTGCAATGATAATGATAATAGTGTATGTTCAGATATTACCTTTTTCACAAAAAGAATGCACACAATCAGCAAGGTCACATATTTCATCCTACCATCAGTTTAGTGTATTCCTAAGACAAATATTTGGTTCACTATAGGTTTCTGAAAATTCTCTGTGACTAGGCTGACTGTCCTTTAGCATCCCAGGGTGTCAGAGGCTGCTCAGGCATCGGCGGATCCAAGTGGGTTCAGGGGGTTTGAATCCCCCATCCCTACCTTTGTAAATTCCTGGATCCGCTTATGTCAGGTGCCCCTTTTAGCCCAGAATCAATAATATAAAGATCACCATGATGAAACTTTACATATTATATGTCACGAACCAACAGACCAATACACTATGAATGTAGCAATACAGACAGACCTGACAGACAAGAGTGGAGCCTCTTGGTCCAACTCCAGTGATCTGTGTGTCCAGCTAGGGTTGAGTCCATGTGGTAATAGTTGACAATGGCAGCCTCTGGGCTGAAGTCTTTGTAGCCCAGTGCCTCAGCTATACAGGAGGACAGGACACCCAGGTCAGCAGGGAACTCACTGTGCTGGTCAGCGTAGTACTTCTGGAAGTATGTTAAACACACAATGAAGTACAGGGAGGAAGTAAATACAAGCTTGGGATGTTGTACTCATCATTATCAGTTAGGAACAATTCAGCTCAAATTTGACAGGGCGGTGGGGTAGCTTAGTGGTTAAAGCATTTGATCATCACGCCGACAACCTGGGTTCGATTCCCCACATGGGTACAATGTACGAAGCCCATTTCTGGTGTCCCCTGTCGTGATATTGCGGAAATATTGCTAAAAGCAGTGTAAAACAATACTCACTCACTCAAATTTGAGAGTTTAAAATGAGTTCCTGATCACCAAGTGCCTCCAGTCACATTAAGATATGCATAACACATAGGTATATTATCAGAAACCTTGACTCTGGCAGTCGGGTCCACTAAATGTTTGTGTCTCAGACTGTCTATGATGAGAAATGGCTACTTTATCACAGCATGAATGAAATAATTATCATTAAATCTCTCAATACTGTATAAACTGTAAATGTGCACATCACATATTTGCAACACAGGACTCTGTAACAGCACTGTAACTTACCTTGGCAGTCCAGTCATAGTGATAGCCCAAAGTGACCCATCTCAGTTTCATCAATAAATCATTCTTCTGCAACTCCTGGCTGTAACACAGGGATCATAGATCATAAATCAGAAACTCCACCATGTTGTTTTAATAATGAAGTAATGGTTACTGCATCATAATAATATTTTTTTCTGTCTGCACCACTAATGTCTTGTCAAGCACTACATAATCCTTATGGTTGGGGCTTAATACAGCCTGGAATAATTCCAATTACTTTATTCACACAAATCTCACATTATGAGAAAACGTCATAGTTGAAACAGGCTGTACCTTCATGTTCATGATGTTTGAAATTACAACCTCATGATTCTTTAATGCATTGATGAAAAGAGCACAGCAACAACATTCCATGGAAAATGATATATAGTTGAACACATGTCATTGAGCAAAATATCATAGTTAAGGATCATGTAAAACACTGTTTATTCGAGGGGACAGTTATCAACCTAACTGATTCAAGTTAACTGAAACAAAATAAGCATATAACAAACCTGTCTTGCTTGGCAAAATCATCAAATATTTTGGCAGTTTGACTTGGCTCCACATGGGGGTCTAGGTTGGTGACATTAGGAGGCAGGTGGTAGTCCTGTAAACATCGCTTGATCCAGTAGCGTTGAAACCCAACTTCAAACGGGTTTAGAATTACCACAAAACCTGTCACATATACACAGAGATCAAATAAATCACTGGCAGAAACACAATCCCTTCAACCAAACTGTACATATGAATTATATTGCCTAGAAAAGTCATTATAAATTTGAGCTGTTCAACATATATTGCAGAAACATATTGATTTATGACCTAATAAATCTTATGAAATACAAATGAAGTTAAAATATTATAAAGTGATACTAGTTGTAGCCACAGATATTTCAGAGTGATATAGTGAGTGGGTGAGTGAGTTGAGTTTTAGGGTGAGGTGAGGTGAAATTGGGTTTTTACGTCGTACTTGAGAATATTTCGCTCATATGACGATGTGCATGCGTGTGTATGTGTATGTGTGGCTGCTTGTACTAGTCCAGACTGAAGCTGGTTTTATAGTGCTAGCCCACTGAGATACCATGCCGCAGTGAAGCATGAATACCCAACTCAGACACATTATACTGACTCCGACCCGACCAGTCCTTGTTGTACCCATTAATGCCGAGCGTCAGGCAGGGACCAACAAGTACCATATTTTAACGTCTTATTGTATGACGAGGTCGGGGATCGAACCGCGACCTTCTGCTCTCCGGGGGGATGCTCCAACCACTACACCACGGAGGCGGTCTTGAGTTTTAGGGGGCTTGGAACAGTGTTCCAGTTATATCCTGGTGTTCAGCTCCAGTGAATCCTACCTGGGTGCTTGTTGATTGTGAAGGCCTGCCAGTTTGTCACTGGTTTCAGTCCAAGTGGAAGAGGGGTAGCTGGTCTGTGAAGTGCAACTTTAGACACCTGCATTAATGTAGATATCAAACATTAAAAACATCCACTGATTAGTATTAAAGGTTATATTTAGGCCAAATGTGCCCTGTTGCAGTAGTTTGTTATTTTTGTTTGTTTCATAATAATATCAATTTATCATACAGGCCTGAGTCTTAGAAAAATTGTAGGACTGTATAATGACATTCCAGTCAAGGATCTTAGCTACTGGAGGTCACATGCGATTTTAATCTCAAGTAGTTCAACTTTTTGTTTCATTTGGCAATAGTTCATGATAACATGTTGAATCTGAATGAATCACATACAGTAACAATAATTACATTCTGCACTGAAGTGCATTCTGTTTAAGCAAACAACACTGACTATGAGTGAGTGAGTGAGTTAATATTTAACGTCACATCGGCAATATCTCAGCCATATCGTGACGAGAACATTTTACATTGAAATGGAATATGTGTATATTATAAAACCTGTCATCGAAGGACAGTAAAACAACTAGAATATCACAATTACATTTAAAACTAGTGTGGAAGGTTAAAACTAATAACACTATTTGGAAAATACAATATAAAAACACACTGACTATGAAAATCATGTTATACTATTACCTTTATCATTATGTTTGCCAAACGTTGGTGAAATATATTCCACATTAAGGCTCTATATTATTTTATTTATTTGTAAATGATTGGCACACAGCCATACAATGGGGACGGGGAGCCTGAAAGTTTGGTGTAACAGCAACTGAGAAGATGATGTCCCACACAGAGAGCTATTATGAATTTATGATGTACTCACTTGGGCAGAAATTGTATTGCAATATCTCTTAAATTTTTGCAATATAACACAATATGAAAATCAGGGCAATATCCAGCCCTACTTGCCACAACAGTGCACACTACCAGTACGCATGCTTCTTATTAAGAACACCATCACACAGCTCTTGAGCATGTACTTTGAACATAAAATGAGAAAAAATGCTATGCCTTGACTTCGTCAATAACATTTGTATCCGTAAAACATACACACGAAGAAGAATCAAATTTGTGTTACATTATGCAGTAGTGGTATAAACAGAAATCATAGTTGTTTGCTGATAATAATATGTGTGAGTGAGTGAACGAGTGAGTTTAGTTTTATGCCACTTGTAGCAGTATTCCAGCAATGTCATGACAGGGAACACCAGAAATGGGATTTACACATTGTTCCCTTGTGGGGAATCGAACCCGGGGTCATCGGCACGATGAGCTAACACTTTAACCACTAGGCTACCCCATCGCCCATATGAAACTGTACTCTAATGTGATCATAAATACAATTCCTTATTAAGTCACTTAAGATATCAAAGTGATTTGTGAATTATGCAACATAACATGTTTTGTTCTGTAGCTACAGAAGATTATGCCTGTGGGAGTTATAATCAGCTTACGCAGCTTTAAGCCTTGTGGTGGGTGGAAAACCACATAAAGCGAGTGAGAGTGATGGGCTTCACACACTGATCCGCATGGGGCATTGAACCTAGTTGTGCAATTACATATATGTCGTGACAAGTAGGATACAGTAAAATGACAACAAATCCCCAGTAGGTCCATATATGGTTGATCAAAAGGATGAGGTTTGGCCCATTCTTCTGTGGCCGATCCCTGAACATGAAGCTGTCTTAACACATATCATCATTAAATGTCTCACCTCTGCACTGCTTGAGTTTGGTGAGTTCAAGCTGTTTTCATTTGTTAACTTCTTGAAGTCAATCACACTGGTATATTGTGGAGGAGGATTCCTTGCCTTGAAATACTTGAAGCTGAGTCGGAAGTGATCTGTTCCCTCTGTCATAGCTGGACATCTGACAAAACAATGACACATATGAAATGGCTATTAGGACTTCTTTTGTCGGAGACAAAATAGTCACTCTTCTTGTATATGAAACAGCTACAATTCAGATTTCATCCCGTGACAACTACCAACATACCATTCCACTATCTGTTGCTATGGTAACTGTGACAATTTATGTCAAACAGTTGTTCTAGATGCAGTGGTTCTGTTTTATGTGATCTTTATGTATACATAATATTTAGACTACAACTGCTCTGACATCATCTGGGAAAAGCTTTTGTTTCATACAATGGCATTTCATTACAGTAGGATTTACTGTATTTTTTTATTTATGTATGCTACTTATTACAAATACAAGCATACTGGTTCCTGAAATAAAGCATTTATGTTGCTGAAAATGTCTTATTTTGTTCATTACACAACCTGTCCCTCAACGGGATGATTCCAAGCGATTTCCAGGAAAAGGGCCCCTTCGCGCCTTGTGTTCTTGCACGCCAAACAGTTTGGTTTTAAAATGCTTATCAGTCGTGCTAGAATTAGAAGATAAAGCTACTCTGTTTTCATTTTTGCGGTCCTTTATCGTTGATGTAAGACCGCTAAATGTTTAATTTAAAAACCGAATGCATCTTCTAAATGAGGTGAATACATTATACACAGTTTATGATGAATACAGGGTAATGAATGCAAACATTTTCTTAAAAAGAAAATATTAACCAGTCAGCAGTTGATGATGCACTGTTCATTATTTTCAGTGAAACAATAACAAAATATCTTATTTGACACTGCTGACAGTGTTAATGTATCACAACAATACTATCAAACTAAACACATATGACTGTTAATAGCATATCATGCCTGGCCTGGATATATTCCATATTTATTATGCTTTGATAAATAACAGATGAATCCAAGCAAAACAAAACCTCATATAATTATTGTAATATCAACAAAAAGATAAATACATGTGGTTTGATTCACTGAATATAGAATATTACAAACAAAAAGATAAATACAATAGTATAGGAATCCTAAACATTTACACATAACAAAGAACACAATATAATAATTACAATATATAAAATTATCCAAGCAAGCTCTTTCATTGAGGGTAATATCATTATGTACAGAATAAAAAATTTGTTTGAGTGGCATTCTAGAAGTTGGTGGTATGGGGATGACAAGACTTTATGGATGATCAACTTCTCTATTTGTGACAATGGCGATGTTTAGGAATAGATTCTTATACCGTGCTTGAAAACGGTATAAGAATCTATACCGAAACGTCACCATTGTCAAAATAAAGAAGTTGATCATCCAGAAAGTCTTGTCATCCCTAGAATAATAAATATTAATATCATCTTCAGATTAGTAATTCCAAACGACATGGTTTTGATAACAAAGACCTAGATTGGAAAATCATGTTTTGACCAATTTCACAATTGGAAGATATAGCAAAGACTGTCTATGTTTTGATAACAACAAATTATCATGAATATATATGTAAAATCTGTGTGCATTTATTAATTCTTTAATAATCTATGTACATTACATCAAGTAACATTTTGTAAATTTCTAAATTCTGTGAAAGATTCTGTACAATGATATTGATTATCCTACCTATTCCAGTCCAAACTAACAGACAGCAAAAATACTGTTTTTAATAGTTGTGTCCAGCAAATAAAATTCTGGAGTATGTTGGATGATCTAGTATAATATATGGAAGTTGCAGATTCAGTGGGATTATGTCTGATAGATATGATGGCAAACATTTTATGGAAAAAGACACATTTTTTATATTGCCAACGTTTATTTAAGGATAAAAAACCAGTGTCAGTGAATAACTCACGGCTATAACAGATCCACATATGGACTTAAGCACATCCAGATGTAAATTGTGCAAGAGAAGTACTTGATTCTTTGTACAGTGGTTTAAATATGATCACAATAATTACTTAATCTAGGTAAGATGAAAGAGGCATACAACATTCAGACAGATTTCTTTTCAGACAAGTCTTTAAACTTCTAAAACAATTATTCACTGGTAAGAACAAACATTATGAATGAACAACTTCTTTATTCAGGTGACGCGACATGTCATTGTGAAGCAGGTATGAAGCAGGTGGAAACAGGGTTATATATACTGTATCGAAATGTCACATCACCGGAATAAAGAAGTTGTTCAACCATAAAGTAAAATTTAATAACATGTCAGGAAAGCCAGATTTAGACATTTTCTAGAAAATAGAATTGATTCTGTGAAGCATGACTTTCCAAGTTTAGCCCAGTTAACTATCACTTGTAAATCTTCATTCAGATATATTCTTCATGAGATATGATCATTGATAATATATAATATGTAAAGAAGCCATCCATATCTTCACAACGATAAACAAGAACCCCTTAATTCCACATACTTTTAATTTATGTAATAATCCCTTAGGCCAAGCTCTGTTGAAGGCTTTACTGCTATGAGAAATACTGCTCTAACTTTTGTTACCACTGTCAGTTGCCTTGGCTTTAAAATTATACAAATAAGTAAGTTGACATGATGCTGAGGCTTTAAAATTATACAAATAAGTAAGTTGATATGATGCTGAATCACCCTGTATAAATCCACTGTAAAATTATATTCCATACATGTTTAAAAACACTTTTCTCAAACACTTTGGACAAACAACTGGTAAGGGCTAGGTTTCAGGATGCAACAGTGATGCCATTTGATACTCGGTGATGCACAGAGATGAAATGGAAGTCAGTCACCATTTCCTTCCACACATCCCTTTCATCAAAACTGTATATGAAACAAGTCTAGATTTGTTCTTAAAGTGGCATTTAGAAGCTGGTATGATGAAGAGCACTTTTTTATGGATAGATAACTTCTGTATTGCAACAGATGTGATGTTTCGGTGTAGATCCTTGTAGATCAAGCAAATCATACACAACATATGCAACAAGGAGAAATATAGATACATAATTTCATAAAGGTATTTCAGTTTATACAATTGAAGAGGTTGACGTATCGATACAGTATGTTGATATAAGGGAGCCTGTTGTGATTACAGAGATGATTGAAGCCAGATGGAAAAAGGATTGGTTAATCTTTATTGGCCGTGATTAGTTGTAGGGATGTAATAACCTTGATCTATGTTGATTGCCGGGCTAAGACTAGATTTTCTTCACGTTCTGAAACCCATAGCTCACTAGGACTCCTTCTAAATTTAAATGGAGTTATTTGTTGTTCTCAAAAATAAATATTCTGTGACACTAATAGACAGTCTACCGTAACACCAGCTTTAATGTTTGCATGTGTTGGGGCAACTATAGCCGAGAGCCGCGATGCGATGCAGGGTCATGTCTTGACTGTATAGGACCGCATCGCGGCTCTCGGCTAGGATTTGTCTAGCTGTACATCGACTACAGGCTACAGTATCACGTGGCCACGTTAATCCCACCCACTGTGTCACGGGGTAGTGAGGATAAACAACTCTAGTCAAATACAAACCCTATAGAGCTGCTTGGAAAAGCTTGGATATTGTTATAAAACTTAAATACAGATGTTCACAGGGTTAATAGTCTTGATAGCATTTCCCGGTCCCTAAAATATCGTCTGCAACAACATCCGGTATGTGATATGCAAAAGAGAACACTATTAACGGAACCCGCTTGGTCAATTTGGAGAATTGTTTCAAAGAGAGAAATGCATATACCTCACAAATATAACTTTTGGGCCTATCTTTAATCACAAGGACAACATATGTATACTTTAAAATATATAAGTTTAAGCCATAGTTTATTTTGACATTTTGGTTTTTACAAGTTGCCTCATACCATGCCGACTTTTTAATCAACTCAAGGGAAGTAAGCAGGCGCGACTTCCTCACAACTGCAACACGTCGCCCTAAAACTATAAAACCAACCAACTCACAATTGAGTTATCATCCAGAGACGATGTAAATATTACACATATATCGGCGTGTAGTCTCTGGTTTGACAAGCGTTTTCATACTAATTAAAATATGCGCCAGGTATTGGTTTAAATGTGCCTCCAATTGAACCTGACAATGAGAGGATCATCTAGTTTAGTGTGTAACATGTTTTTGGCCTCTTCCTGTGACATCAGGGGAGATGGGTTGGCCTAGTGGTTAAAGCGTTCGCGTGTCAGAAAAATGTAGCGCGAATCCCCAGCACATAGGGTTATTAGGGCTGGGACAGGTAGGGTGGGCAATGGACCAGGAGGCATTGTGCTCATGTGACTAATATATTAATATACTTTCATGATTAAAATGTTGTATTGTGTTTGAAGATTTAGACATAATGTACAGTCACTTTTTTAATATATACAAGATAACGAAAAACTCGAAATTTTAGCCTCCGACCCGAAGAATATATTGCCATTTCTTGCAAATTTGATGTCAGGAATTATCATAACGGATACCCGGGTAGGGTAGGGTAATAGTGGGTGGGGTACCCGGGTAGAAAATTTGGACCCGTCCCAGCCCTATGGGGTATCATGCAAGAAACTCGCCACCTATGAGTAGCTACTCCAAGTATGTGTAGATTCATAGACTGTCTAACTAATCACTCTCCACAGCAGAGAGTCTAGGTAAGCCATATTTAGACTTCCATCGTCATAGCAATAATGGTTAGGGTAGCTAGGGCGGGCATGCATGACGATCGCCCGTTTTAACTATAAGGCTGCCCCACCGCCTTCGCAGTTCATGGAATCAGAACCGAATAACTAAAGGTCCAAAGAGGCACTGAATGTAAGTGATGACCTACTCGGCGAAACCCACAAGCACAGTCACCGTCCCGGAAGACATGGTTCATAATCGGAGGACCTTACATGGTACACTGAGATGCTGATCCATGTACGCAATCAGGCCAAACTACGACTCAGCTCCCCAGGCTGTGTGAATGTGATGAGTTTGTTAATAATGGAATTATTCAGACGCTACATTAAACCCGATACAACCTAATCCATTCGCGTCTCACAGTAATTAAGGAAGGTAGACTTGAGTTGTATTTGCAGGTCCTATTATGTATTAGCACTGTTCACTTAAACATAGGCTGTAACCGGCACCGTATGCATGAGGATGTTATCAGTACATGTCTGCCGTGAGGCGAGGAGATGGATATTGCTCTACATGAATGTTTTATGGAGAATGCAGCAGCTCCGGTCCACTCCGCGAGCTTTATGATACATTATATACAGGGAGGTTGTTTATTGCAGCAGTGAGCATTACTCCAGCTCAATCAGACTGATCGTGGACGAGAAAATATTCCTGTAACACAGTTTGTACATAACAAGGGTAGACTGACGCTTAGTCCCTGAATATATATAATTTTGATAGTAACAAATAAACCCATTTATATTGAAAAAGCGCTCCAGTGAGTTGGGAGATTCATTTAGCGCTTTATCATTGCAGGGATAACTAGGCAGTATGGAAAATAATATGGTTCAGGGACTGTGAGACAGACTAATAGCAAAGGATGCACTGGTGAGACGGACATGCTTATATTGCTGAGATTAACAACAACCCCAGAGTGACAAATGATCACAACCGATGAAGCTTGGTGCACAAAGGTACCCCCATCTAAGCCGTTTTGAAAGTATACACATGTCGGGCATGTTCTGTTGATAGAGCTGTGATACTGTATGGTACAGGTCGACGTGATACATGCCACATTGTTTGTGTATATGTCGATATGGTACATCCTTTATGCTGTTGGCTATAGGCTGACGTGATCAGATGTTTTATTGTTGGCTACAGGTCCACCTGATAATGTCATACTGCTCGGTGCACGTGGACATGGCACATCCTGTATGTTGTTGGCCCACATGATATACATGTACATGTAGTTGTACACGTATTTCACACGGTGTTGATTTATACAGACAACAAACAAGGTGATATGCTTGTGTTATAGTGTATATAGACACAGACAAGAAACAAGGTGATATGCTTGTGTTATAGTGTATATAGAAACAATGCCTCCAAGCAGTACACACCTTTAGCCCTTATCATCAATGGACATAATCAGCATGCACATAAAGAACATCCCAACCGCCCTGCCATCAGTCACTCGCGATATATACACTGGTGGCCGCAAGTTAACAAACACCCATGGCCCTGGTAGACACACCACGGTCACTGGGTCAGCCTTGTATCGGCACTAATGTGTCATTAAACAAGACTTGCCCCTGCAGTTTGGTCTGTTATGCTTCACCCTTTAGGAGTCGCACCTTCCTTCTTCCCAGATTGAGACTATTACGATTCATGGCTTATCAATACGAGGTGGTGTCGATAGTGACGTAGGGCGACCATTTTGATAATGTAAGCGTGGTTATCCCCTGTGAGAGAATTAACATCCTTACAGACTGTAAAGTAGTTATTTCAAACAGAATGACAAAGTCTACCGTGAAAACGTGTCCATGGCAACCGTGGCACAATAGATCTACCAAGGTAACTTCGTGTGGTTTTCTAACGTCCTCGCGGTAGTTGACCAACTACGACACAATTGTGTTGGCTCTCGGAACCACTGGTTCAAGGTCACTATCGCCCTGCACAATGTTCCGTCTGTGAGTGGACACAATGGGTAGATGGTCCAAAACATTTGTCGTCTGCTGTCTGGAGTTGAACCTAGGAACCCTACTGTTTGCTAAAGGCGGTAACCGAAATGTGCTCCGCCTTCGCGTGAGGTAGGCTGGTGTGGTGCTGCGATCATTTTCTCGGAGCTTCTCAAAACTGGACCTCAGAAACGAGTAGTGGTCGTCCATTAGTGTGTGGAACCTGTCCATTGATTGACCATAGTCAACAAGACGTCCTGTCGCCTTCCCCTCCGTCTTCATCTGTTCCACCTTCCTCAACCGTCGTTGACGAGGATGCATTCGATCGATGACTGACTGAATCTCAGGTCTGAAGGAGGCCAGGTCTTCCCCGCCATACATACCAAACAGCAGCGTTTGGTGGTTAGTGAGGGAAGCTGCCTCGCGCTTCCTTCTTAAACACTTCTGTAGACCTCTCTTCTCCACCAAGGACTTCTTGATCGGGAGGCTTCGTTGCCAGCCCAGGAAGTCTTCCGTCTGCTTATGTCGATCGATGCTCTTGGCGAAGATGTCACTCCTCATCTTTATCTTCTCGTTGTGGACGATGATGTTCTTCCTGGCACGGGACACCTTGCGGTGGATGTGGCAGAGACGCTGGTCCCCCAGGGTGGGTATCTGACTCAGGTTCTCCATCTTGTGGGGGTTCTTGTCCTGCAGCTGCTGTTTCAGAACTTGTTCCCTGAAAGTAGTGAATGAGTGAGTGAGTGGTAGTTCTCACAGGGCAAAAAGACAGCTTCAGTGACAACGGTTTGGGAAACGAACCCGGATTGATTGGCAGATGGTTGTTTGACGCTGCATTCAGGAATAGTAAGGCTATATGAGGGATGTTTGTAAATATGGAGTTTGGAACAGACACTCCGGGGACTGACATCACGAGCATCCATCTACGCAATTTTGATATGATGCCATGCATTGACTAAGTCAGCGAACCTGACCACCCCGTCAGTCACCTCGAGCTCTAACCACCCCATCAGTCACCTCGAGCACTAACCACCCCGTCAGTCACCTCGAGCACAAACCACCCCATCAGTCACCTCGAGCACTAACCACCCGGTCAGTCACCTCGAGCACTAACCACCCCGTCAGTCACCTCGAGCACAAACCACCCCATCAGTCACCTCGAGCACTAACCACCCCGTCAGTCACCTCGAGCACTAACCACCCCGTCAGTCACCTCGAGCACAAACCACCCCATCAGTCACCTCGAGCACTAACCACCCCGTCAGTCACCTCGAGCACTAACCACCCCGTCAGTCACCTCGAGCACTAACCACCCCGTCAGTCACCTCGAGCACAAACCACCCCGTCCGTCACCTCGAGCACTAACCACCCCGTCAGTCACCTCGAGCACTAACCACCCCATCAGTCACCTCGAGCACTAACCACCCCATCAGTCACCTCGAGCACTAACCACCCCGTCAGTCACCTCGAGCACAAACCACCCCGTCAGTCACCTCGAGCACTAACCACCCCGTCAGTCACCTCGAGCACTAACCACCCCGTCAGTCACCTCGAGCACTAACCACCCCGTCAGTCACCTCGAGCACAAACCACCCCGTCCGTCACCTCTAGCACAAACCATCCCGTCAGTCACCTCGAGCACTAACCACCCCATCAGTCACCTCGAGCACAAACCACCCCATCAGTCACCTCGAGCACTAACCACCCCATCAGTCACCTCGAGCACAAACCACCCCATCAGTCACCTCGAGCTCTCACGACAAGCATGGGTCGGTAGGGTTCAATTCTAACCGGGGTCTTCACGGGGTTGACAAGAAAATGAACAGGAATGTAGACGACGACTGACATGTAGGTTTACTCTAAATACACAAATTGCGAACATCGTGCGTTAGTTGTGTTGTAGAAGATAATTCGGAGTTGTTTGAAAGTACCCTTGTGACCAACATACATAAACATCAGTATCAACGAGGCTTAATCGAACAGTTCATACATATAAACCATGACTGTGATTCACACAACGCTCTACTGTGTTGGTCTAGAGACGTCGTAATGACTCTCAGTCCCTAAGCCACACAACGTTCTACTGTGTTGGTCTAGAGACGTCGTAATGACTCTCAGTCCCTAAGCCACACAACGTTCTACTGTGTTGGTCTAGAGACGTCGTAATGACTCTCAGTCCCTTAGTCACACAACGTTCTACTCATAATGGTACATTTCGATTGTATTTGCTACATTACGCCATCCTATTTATATACCAGACCCATGTTTCACAACACGATATCTTGAACTACACAGGACAGTTTTGTTTATGAAGAATACTGTGGAAGTAAATCAAAATATATAATTTGAACTTACTGTGGAGGGACCTCCATTGTGTAAAGTATTACGAGCCCAACGGTGTGGTAACACTTTTTACATGCACTACGCCTTCACCCACACTCTGCCGTCATCTGTCTCAACTGTTGAACAGAGGCCTCAACAGCAGTCGGTGGAATTTTATACCTTACGAATGAAGTGATCCATATAAAGTTCATAATCTTACGATCTTATAATGACAATTGTGTTATTCGGACGGCGCATTGCTGTCCTCGCAAATCATCCCTTCAGCAAATCGCTGGGGGACCCCAAGTAGTTACCATATTTAACGGCAAGGGAGTGGCTGTTATATACAGTGAGACAGATTGATCCTACGGGGTGCTTCATGAATTATTGAAAACTTTTAGTGAGAGATTGCCCCGTTTTTCGTCAACGATATCGAGATTTTAATGGAATGTGGATTGTCAATGGGCAGAGTGTGGATTTCAGGTACATTGTAACTGTGACATTTTGGTCGCAAAGTGGTCTGTGGTGCCCTAACTCACTGCATTGAGTTTCCAGTTTTCGTGTTTGAATTCGAAGGTCCATGGTTTCCAGACAGGCTTCAACAACAACGCCTGATTTGACAGAATGATACCGGAGTATGTGGTCACAACTTTTACATGACCCTAAGCTGAAATACTATTCAGAACGGCTTTAAAACTACGTGCAAACTCAACTCGCTCAAAATATCACTTATAACCTTCCCTTTAAGCCTAGTCACAATGTCACGAGATTTAGATTGTCTTTTTCACCGTATTCTTATCCCATCAACCAACTTCCAACGAATGCTGTCACCATAACTGACCTGTGACCCATAGGGATGGCTATTGTACCCCCAATATTACCCCCCGGTGCCTGTAACGGCACACTACGGTAGTGAAGACATGGAGCGTGACTCGACTACGGATCCCCGAGTGTAACATGGTTCCTGGGACGGGGATTGTACAGGTCTGTTACACCTGACAGGGAACTCGATATCCGGAACGACTCAGAATGAATATGTCAGTTGTGTTGTTGTCTTAACGTCAGACAGGGGGAAACTAACACCAGTTAGGAAAACCTAGTGTAAAACTGTCAACGGGTCTCCCAGCACTCCAATACAATACTTGTCACAATAGTGTACTCATGTATGTAATAACGGTTTAATATATACCACACATGGTAGCTGGGAGTGATGTACACCACACAACGACTTCAGGTTGAATATACACCCCACAACGACTTCAGGTTGAATATACACCACACATTGACTTCAGGTTTAATATACACCACACATCGACCTCAGGTTTAATATACACCCCACAACGACTTCAGGTTGAATATACACCCCACAACGATTTCAGGTTTAATATACACCACACATCGACCTCAGGTTTATTATACACCCCACAACGACTTCAGGTTGAATATACACCACACAACGATTTCAGGATTAATATACACCACACATTGACTTCAGGTTTAATATACACCACACATCGACCTCAGGTTTAATATACACCCCACAACGACTTCAGGTTGAATATACACCACAGAACGACCTCAGGTTGAATATACACCACAGAACGACTTCAGGTTTAATATACACCACACATTGACTTCAGGTTTAATATACACCACACAACGACTTCAGGTTTAATATACACCACAGAACGACCTCAGGTTGAATATACACCACACATCGACCTCAGGTTTAATATACACCACAGAACGACCTCGGGTTGAATATACACCACAGAACGACTTCGAGTTGAATATACACTACACAACGATTTCAGGTTTAATATACACCACACATCGACCTCAGGTTTAATATACACCCCACAACGACTTCAGGTTGAATATACATCACACAACGATTTCAGGTTTAATATACACCACATTGACTTCAGGTTTAATACACACCACACATCGACCTCAGGTTTAATATACACCCCACAACGACTTCAGGTTTAATATACACCACAGAACGACCTCAGGTTGAATATACACCACAGAACGACTTCAGGTTTAATATACACCACACATTGACTTCAGGTTTAATACACACCACACAACGACTTCAGGTTTAATATACACCACAGAACGACCTCAGGTTTAATATACACCACAGAACGACTTCGAGTTGAATATACACCACACAACGATTTCAGGTTTAATATACACCACACATCGACTTCAGGTTTAATATACACCCCACAACGACTTCAGGTTGAATATACACCACACAACGATTTCAGGTTTAATATACACCACACATTGACTTCAGGTTTAATATACACCCCACACACATCGACCTCAGGTTTAATATCAGGTTTAATATACACCACATTGACCCACAACGACTTCAGGTTGAATATACACCACAGAACGACCTCAGGTTGAATATACACCACAGAACGACTTCAGGTTTAATATACACCCCACAATGACCTCAGGTTTAATATACACCACACAACGACCTCAGGTTTAATATACACCACAGAACGACCTCAGGTTTAATATACACCACACACCGACTTCAGGTTTAATATACACCACACATCGACCTCAGGTTTAATATACACCGCACATCGACTTCAGGTTTAATATACACCACAGAACGACATCAGGTTTAATATACACCACACATCGACCTCAGGTTGAATATACACCACACATCGACTTCAGGTTGAATATACACCACACATCGACCTCAGGTTGAATATACACCACACATCGACTTCAGGTTGAATATACACCACACATCGACCTCAGGTTTAATATACACCACACATCGACCTCATGTTTAATATACACCACACATCGACCTCATGTTTAATATACACCACAGAACGACATCAGGTTTAATATACACCCCACATCGATCTCAGGTTTAATATACATCACACATCGACTTCGGGTTGAATATACACCACACATCGACTTCAGGTTGAATATACACCACACATCCACCTCAGGTTTAATATACACCACACATCGACCTCAGGTTGAATATACACCACACATCGACCTCAGGTTGAATATACACCACACATCGATCTCAGGTTTAATATACACCACACATCGACCTCAGGTTTAATATACACGACACATCGACCTCAGGTTTAATATACACGACACATCGACCTCAGGTTTAATATACACCCCACAACGACCTCAGGTTTAATATACACCACACATCGACTTCAGGTTGAATATACACCACTCATCGACCTCAGGTTTAATATACACCACACATCGACCTCATGTTTAATATACACCACAGAACGACATCAGGTTGAATATACACCACACATCGACCTCAGGTTTAATATACACCCCACATCGACCTCAGGTTGAATATACACCCCACATCGACCTCAGGTTTAATATACACCACAGAACGACCTCAGGTTTAATATACACCCCACATCGACCTCAGGTTGAATATACACCACACAACGACCTCAGGCTTTCATGTGTATGGAATACCTACTTAGTTTTAGACGTAGTATACGTACTGTTAGACGTATTGTCGCTTTTATTAAGAACTGAACGAGTATTAAATGATGATGATATTGATTAATATGTGATTGACTGCCAATTCCCCTATCAGAGTTGTACCTCTTAGCCTTGCCAGGATACAAATAGGAGTTCTGGTTGGTCATCGCCATGTTCTTGCTGGCGTGTATCACCAAAGGGACAAAAGTTGAAGACCTGTATGTCTCTGGGCCTTTCCCAAACATGAAGCTACACGATGTATATAACTCAAATACTGTTCAAAGCGGAGCCTACTCAACCTGTGAATTAGGCTGAAGTTTCAGGTGGTCAGCGTTTACTGAGATGTACATGTCGCCGTTTTCATGAACCAACGGTATACCGGAGTGGCGATGTGCAAGTCGTTGCTGTAGTATGCGCATGGATCAACACGTCAATACAAAAATGTGTAACTCCACCAGACAAGGAAGTCACCTTGCGAGGAAAATTCTACAAGGAAACAAATATAAAGAGTATTTTCAAACAGCAGTTCCCTGAAAATACGTGCTGTGCATACCGTGGTACGTGATTGTCTAAATAACAAATCATTTCTAACTAAATTCGTATTTACAATCGACATTTCCCAGATCCGAGTGTTAGTCACATTGTAAGTCTTTGTTTTACCTCAGCATAGATTCATCGTCCATCGGACTGAACCGTGCCCCCTCACACAGACCAGATGAATGTACTTGGAGGTATTGTCTAATGATGTGAAATGTGTACGTGACAAACTGTGGTAATTTGGCTCAGGATAAAGCAAAGGTACCTCATGCTTGTCGTGAAAGCTGACAAACATGGCGATATGAGATGGGTGATAAAGCTCTGTCGCTTGGCTGACTGCGTGTTATCATACACCGATGTAGTGGTTCGACGCTGATGTTGTGAGACACTGGTTTGAGTGGTCCTGACTTGAAAATGCATAAGTCGCCGTATGAATAAAGATATGAGAAGGTCACGCTCGCCACACGATATACCAGTACATGTATATGGGTCAACATGCATGTAGCATTTTCCACTGTTTTTCTCCTGGGTAACGACAGTTGTGTCCCGGGATTGTCTCACAGTGATTGTGTCACGGAAGTTTTGCACGGTGGTTGTGTCTCGGTGGTTGTGCCCGGTGAATGTGTCACGGTGGTTGTGTCATGGCGGTTGCGTCACGGTGGTTGTGTCATGGCGGTTGTGTCACGGTGGTTGTGCCCGGTGAATGTGTCACGGTGGTTGTGTCATGGCGGTTGCGTCACGGTGGTTGTGTCACGGTGGTTGTGTCATGGCGGTTGCGTCACGGTGGTTGTGTCATGGCGGTTGCGTCCCGGTGGTTGTGCCCGGTGAATGTGTCACGGTGATTGTGTCTCGGTGGTTGTGCCCGGTGAATGTGTCACGGTGGTTGTGTCATGGCGGTTGCGTCACGGTGGTTGTGTCATGGCGGTTGTGCCCGGTGGATGTGTCCCGGTGGTTGTGTCACGGTGGTTGTGCCCGGTGGATGTGTCCCGGTGATTGTGTCACGGCAGTTGTGTCACGGTGGTTAGAGACATTATGAATGCACACAATCATCGGGTCGAAACTATGATTAAACGCCCAAGGGAGACAACTCTGCTCTTGCTAGTGTTCATGCGTCTTCGGCCGAAATCCTGTCCCTAGCCTAAGTTAAATGATGCTTGTCAAGTCTATATGTTCGGGTGGAAGCTGTCCATATTTTCTTTATGAACTAACACTGAGTATATATACATGAAAAATATATTTTTCATACTATTGAACTGTTACTATCCACCATAGCAAAGGAACCTCAATTTACCTTACTATCTGGATAAACTAACCCACTAGGAATAGATAATGGCAAACCTGAACGCAAAAAGAACAAATACACTACAGTTTCTTCCTTGAAATCTTTATTGTAGTGCTATAACTATGGTCGTAAGACGTTAACAGGATTCTGGCAGACAACCATCCAGAAATCCCATCTGTATCAATCACCGGACACAATGGTAATATCTGGTGTAACAACCTACGCCAACTGCAACAACATTCCTCCTCTTCCTCACTGACTGTTTCAGACTGTGAATTTGAAGTTGAGGCATTGCGTCCGATTCTTGATGGAGGGGTTGTTCCAATACATTAACATTTTGAACTGCAGGATTTCTCTGCTGTAATCTGCGATACTGATTGACTGAGTATGGTTTTACGCCGCTTTTAGAATCTGCGATACGCAATGCCCCAAACATTTATAGGATTGAGATATGGATTCCCGACAGACAAAGGTAGAGTTACTACCGCCTCTTGATGTAAGAAATCACCAACATCTCGTACACGATTTCGCCTAGTATTGTCGTCCATGAAGGCCGACCTTGTATTTAGAGGTCATCGAAATGTGGTACAGTGGGATGTAAGTGATATAATTGCCAATGTCCATTCAGTTTTTGTCTGATCATCACAATGTCAAGTTTACAGACATGTGTCACCCTACGGTTAGAAAAACATAGGTGTTGCGATACTTTTAGCATGTGCATATATTCCAGATTTAAAATGTAAGTTTCTGCTAGGTCGTGCCAGGGAGTCACCTTCAACTGTTGATACTGTTTCTAGCCATATGGTGGGTGAGTTTGCCTGAACGTCCGTATGAACAGTATGTCAGTAATGTTACGTAAGCTTGATGGGGGGGGGGACAGGAACTAGAAACCCGGCATACATGATCAAGGCCAATCTAAGAATGGAACCACATATGCATACACACGCCCTTGGCGACAGCACCAACTGTGCCCCCGTAGTTTACATCAGGCTGTGTAATGTCACAGGAAACGGAAAAAATGAACACACGCACGCACACATACCATGAGCACAGATGACTGCGTCATGAATCGAATTTCTTTTTCGAAAGAGTAGCTTGTGTCAGCGACTGTTCCAACAGAGTGGTGAAACCAATGATTGCAGGTACTTACAAACCAATGAATGTTATCATGCGGAGATTCAAATTCAGTCTGACAGCACGAGTGTTACAGCTTTAGGAGGAGTGAGTGAGTGGGAACCGATAGCTTTAGGAGGGGACTGCTGAGACGAAACACTGAAATTGTTGTTCTCAAAATATTTACTGTAACAGTAAACTTCGGTTATAACGAACTCAAAGGGAACCCTAGTCTTTGTTCGTTCTAACCCTTGTTCGTTGTACATATGTCGATAAAACTTTACAGCAAGTAGCCAGGACAGAAACTCCGTTCGCTATAAGCGAGTTCGTTATAACCGTAGTAACGACTTACCTTAGAAACACGCGCTGGCACTTTCATCCACGGAGTCGTCTGCTCTGTATTGAGTGGCGGGAGCGGGAGTTGCTCTGTGTGATGGATCCACTCGCACCAGTTCTGTACACCCTGTGGTTGGGTGAATGCCGTTTTTTTTTATCCGATTGTCATGACAGACTAGGATCGAGAAGCATTATTCACACCCGCTCCCAGAGAGAAAGTTGTTGTTTAAATGCAGCCACGGTTGAGGGGGCACTTTGTTCGTACATTCCCAGATAACTTGTTTCAGTGTCGGGTGGCCCAACACACGACGATTTTCGGATCAAGGGCTACCCCCGGAGTGCAGTTCGTGGGTTATCGGTAAACATCGGGGTTATGTGATCCCAATATTTACACAACAATCAACAACATTGTAATAGCATAATTCGGTTGGGGGCCGCCGTTTGAAAGTGATTACCGTCTTAGTGACACACGGTCAGAATTGTTAATTATATGTATTCATGAACTGATAAAGAAGCCGTATGTTCTAGTGTTATACAGGTGTTTAAGCATACGTTTTAGAGATATTGAAAGTGTTTCATTTGCGCATATACTATTAAGAAAGATTATGTATTTTCCACCTTTATTTACATGTATATTTCAGTGAAAAGAAATGCGGAAAACGAAATTGTCAACAAAAAAATACAATACATACTTCCTCGTTAACTTGACGAAGTTCTCATTTTCAGGAGAACAGAAAAAAAATGTTGAATGCTTATTTTAATTCGAAAGACGCAAAAACACAAGAAACTTTCAAAATCCAAACCACATCAACATGCACTGCTGGGTTTCTGCACATTTCTTCACGTTCTCTGCGTAAGCAGAATATTATTTCCTCCTTAAAACTTCCCTATTTTGCGTAACATGTTTCTTCCTTTCCTGACTACTCGGATGTATGGTACCGTGCAATGGTGGACTGTTGACGTGGTGGAACTCAGACACCCAGGAACAGAATCGCCCTTCAAAGACGTTGGTTGTGTACAATCCTGAACAGTTTAGTGGAATGTATATTTCCGGAAACCATTAATCCTAAGGCACGGGTGGGTACTTCTCAGTAAATATGAAATACTGACATTTTTCCCAAACAGAGACACCTTAGGAACCCACACTCAAAGCGTTTACAGTGGTCATACAGGTACATATGATATTGATTCACAAGTAACCTCATCATTAGATTTGACATAAATAATAACGTAGTTTGGTGGTGCCACAACACGGCTTTGTGTAACACTTCTCGGGTAGTTCAGTGAGCACGATGGTGGTACTACCGTCATATATGTCCTCATTCACTAAATTAAAAACATATGCTTTGCTTGTGTAAAACACTGTCTCCCTTTTGGGGAATCCTCGGGTCATTAGTAACCGTCGCTGGCAGCCAAAACCAGTTTCGTGTCCATGCATGTAGCAGAATTGGTCCGGTCTTCCACGTGTTACTCCCTGGTTGGGGCTTCCTGACGTATGCGAGGTCACCAGTAACCAGTGTTGATGTAGGGAACTGCAGCTACAACTCATCTGACGGCGTGTTATCAACTACTGTTTAGCCTGGTCTTGACTCGGCCCTGACGGTGTACAACATTCCCTCTCACTGTGTGGGGCGGGGCGGTAGCCTAGTGGTCAGAGCGTGTCCTCGTCACGCCGGGCGTTTGATGCCGCGCGTGGGTACAATATGTAAAACCCATTTATGGCGTCCCCCACAGTGATATTGCTGGAATATTGCAAACAGCGGTGTAAAACCGTATTCATTCCGATGCACACAACACCAAGCAGCCAGTCAATGTTGTTGATTGTTGTCAACTGTTACCTTGCAGAGATGTAAAGCCGGATGAGACATCTTAAAATAAGGGAAGCTATGTCTATAAACACCTTGTTTATTCTAATAATGGTATATATGTAAATATATAATATATGCGTATAATATACATTTTAGCAACAACTGACTGAAGCACTAGATTCACAAAATAATCTCTATGACATTCAACAAAATAAACTCACGAAAACAGTATAACAGTCTAACAACCTATTGGGCATGCATGGCGCCCGCAAACTCCCGAGACAATATCCAGTTAATTCGAAAGGGATAATATCCATCAATCTGTTCTAAGGGGAAGACATCCAGTTGTTAATTCTAACAGGACAATAACAAACTGTCAGTTCTAACGGGATAATATCCAACTGTCAGTTCTAACGGGATAATATCCAACTGTCAGTTCTAACGGGATAAAATCCAACAGTCAGTTCTAACGGGATAATATCCAACTGTCAGTTCTAACGGGATAATATCCAACTGTCAGTTCTAACGGGATAATATCCAATTGTCAGTTCTAACGGGATAATATCCAACTGTCAGTTCTAACGGGATAATATCCAACTGTCAGTTCTAACGGGATAATATCCAACTGTCAGTTCTAACGGGATAAAATCCAACAGTCAGTTCTAACGGGATAATATCCAACTGTCAGTTCTAACGGGATAATATCCAACTGTCAGTTCTAACGGGATAATATCCAACTGTTAGTTCTAACGGGATAATATCCAACTGTCAGTTCTAACGGGATAATATCCAACTGTCAGTTCTAACAGGATAATATCCAACTGTCAGTTCTAACGGGATAATATCCAACTGTCAGTTCTAACGGGATAATATCCAACTGTCAGTTCTAACGGGATAATATCCAACTGTCAGTTCAAACGGGATAAAATCCAACTGTCAGTTCTAACGGGATAATATCCAACTGTCAGTTCTAACGGGATAATATCCAACTGTCAGTTCTAACGGGATAATATCCAACTGTCAGTTCTAACGGGATAATATCGAACTGTCAGTTCTAACGGGATAATATCCAACTGTTAGTTCTAACGGGATAATATCCAACTGTCAGTTCTAACGGGCGCGGTTATTCATTGCCTGTATTTCATTAGTTGGTTTACGGACATTTTTGGTCAAAAGTCTGCATCGTTGGTAGAAACAAATATGAAACATAGCAGTTTCAAAACAAATAGGTAGGTAAGTGGAAATATTAAAACGTAATGTTACAAGAATGTACATTTAATAGCCAGACACTGATTTGGGTATTGGTGAATCGATAAATAATATTGGCGGTGGTTCAGGGGGTTCATGGGGTTCCTGCCCAGGTTTTTCTTGTCTTAGTTGCGATAGGGAAACGATCTGGGATCGATATTCTCTGTAAGACTCTTGGATTGGGCACTTAGATATCTCCTTTCAAATGTGAATCTATTTTGTACATTCCTGTCGTTTCTGTTCAGTGGATCCGTAAACCAAATATATAAGAAATCTAACGCGTCAATAGTACTGGTGGTGAAACACGGTGCACAGCAAGGTGCAGGCCTTCCTTCCCAGCACTCTGTCGTCATGATGGCTATAGATTAATAGCACTACTACACCTGTATGGAGACACACGATAATACGCCAGGCGACGACAGCACATTGACTCGTCACACATTACATTCGTTTACCGTCTGCTATTCTCTGCATGGTCTGATGCTGTTGGTGAAATAATAGAAAACGTACACTTGGATAACTTGATGACGTTTGATCTTTACGTGTGGTAATAACACTACTTAACTTAGGAATACAGGGGCTTGGTTGTAGCTTAAAATACGTCGTTTCCATGGCAATATCAGACACGGCGACATTTGAAATCAATGGGACAGGTTCAGCACCAACGGGCCGCTCAGTGTTTCCCTAGCAAAGGTTGAGCAGTACATTATATATCTAGTAGTAACTGATGGGGATCATGCATGGCACAGGTCGACCAAGTCATTACAAGCCAATGTTCAGCTGCATACATTGAGAATGCTGGAGACAAATATATCATTCAAATTTTGATAGGAATACTAGTCATTCCACTACAGACCAATGTTTACTTATGGTCTAGAAACACTTGCATATCTCTGTGCCCCTATTAATAGTTGAATAGTACACTACCTGTAATAGCTACCTGTTCACTAACGCAATCTCCGCCGCCCCCAAACTGCCGTGACTTCCTTACTTTTACACAGAAATGCCATATTTGTAGCACCATATGAAGTCGCTCTCCGGTAACCTGTATCAGCACCTCTAGAGGGCCCCTCTACAAATACAGTGCTGGTTTAGAAGACGTAATGCATGAGGTGCGACCGTCACATATGAAACCTGATGAAAACTTAAATGACAGTCAAGAATGTATACAGAAGAAAGACATAGTTTGGGTTTTCCCGATGCCCAGAAGACCATGACCGTACCCCAATAAAGGCTCGCATCACGGTCATAGGTCCATATATAAAAGTCGTGAAACTGGATCTCCTAGAAACAGTATGGTCCATGCTGTTTTACAACACACAGCGGTTATTTACGCATACTCTACTCAACATGTTAGGTGCATACTCATAATACTGACACTTATGACTAGTAATACTTTTGCATGATCTGTTATCAATACTGAGGCTCTAATTAACGCTATACTGGCTCTCAATATCTTTGTCGTGTTAACATCCCTTCCTTGACACAGTTATATTGTCACTCCTGGCTAAATTGGAAGGTAATAGAATGAACTTACCTCCAAGTTATCGCATTTTACCTGAAACCTGACCCTCGTCTCGCGAGACAGGCGATATTACTAAGACCCCCTTACTGATGGTTTCTGTACGGCTGTGCGCAAGTCCAGGATGTACTTCCGGTCTCATGTCCCACGTGGTCTAGCTTTTCAAACCATGACACCAACATTTTACGGCACATTTGCTTCAATAAATACTTTGATTATTTTCCTTTTAAATTCTAAGTTCTCTAGAATAGTTCTGAGATCGACCAGATCAGAAATCACCATTCCCGTTACAGAAGCAGTTTTAGATATTCATCCAGTAAAGATAAAATGGCCGTTCCTTAACATGACAAACAACAGTGACATGACAACAACCCAGTCATACCAATACAGTTAGGCCCTTTCTCTGGTTCTATGATAGATACATCTATGAATTCTTGCAATCAAAGTTTGCTTTAACATTTTCTGAAACTGTAAGTGAACAATATTGACATTTACTAATGAGTCATGTGCAATGATTGGCGTCCATCTAAGACCGTTCTGGGATAGGTATTCATATCGCAGCTTCCCGGAAACTGGGCCAACTGCACTGGGAGCAGCTACTCGGTGAGATCGCTGTAGTCCAGGAAGTTCTTGAGAACATGAGGCAGTTTCAGCTGCCGAATCTTGTTGGTGATGATCTTCCCGGGCCCTAATTCTGCCCTGATCTGCTTCCGACAAAGACAAAGCAGAGACTGTGGCGCCTGGATGTGCTCTTGGACACTGGACAGGAAGGTCTTGTTGATGGACGCTAACTTGTCCGACTCGGACAGATGAGATCGTAGAACATTGGCAGCCTCCTCACAATATGTGCTGATTAGCCAAACGATGACTTGAAGTTTTTGTTTGTGCAGAGCGTGCTCAATAGCGTTGCATGGCCCACAGGAATTGCTTAGCGCGGATCTCATGTTGAACCTACAGTTTGATCTCAGCAACAACTTCAGATTTTCCATGGAAGACTGGTCGACGGCAAACCACAACGGTAATGTTCCTGCATCGTCCTCAATATCCGGGTCGGCTCCGTAATCCAACAACATTGACAGCAGAAGAGGGTGGTTGTAGAAGACGGCTTCGTTGAGTGCTGTCATGCCGTGAAGGCCACGATAGGTTGTCTTGCATCCCGCCTGCAGCAGCAGCCGGGCGGTCGTTACCTGCTTGGTGTGCACTGAGCTGATCAGTGGCGTGATTCCATCATTGTTCTGGGCGTTGATGTCAAAGCCTCTGGTGATCAGTTCTTGACAGCAGTCCTCGTTTCCGCCAGCGGCAGCATAGTGCAAGAGACTGTGGCCATTGTTTGGTCTTTTGTGGAGATCAGCACCGCTGGTTATCAGATACTTCATAACCTGTACATGCCCCTTGAGGGCAGCCATGTGTACTGGCGTACATCCCAGAGAGTCTTGACTATCGATTCTCGCTCCTGCGTTCAACAGAAGACTACAACATTTGAGTTTGCCTCGTTCTGCCGCCAGGTGGAGGGCGATACGCTTGTTGTAAGCCACCATATTAACATTGCACTTCCAATCTATGAGCATAGCCACAACGTCATCATGACCATTCATGGCGGCCATCATGAGCGGTGTGAAGCGGCGGATGTCCTGAGCGTCTATCTCGGCTCCGTTCTGCAGGAGTATCCCGCAGCAGACGCTGTCGCCATGTTGTGCCGCGTAGTGGAGGGCGGTGGCGGCGCTGTGGCTCATGCGGTTCACGTCACACTTGTTGGACAGAAACAACTTCAACAGCTCCACATAGCCCTTCTCGGCAGCACATATCAAGGGAGTATTGCCAAATGTATCTTCTTCCTCTAAATCTGCCTTGGCACTCACTAAAAACCTGCAGACACTCAAATGTCCATTTTCTGTTGCACAGTGTAGGGCGGTTCTCTCGTGGTATCCTCTCCGTCTGACAGAGGCGTGGAAGGCAAGCAATCGCTTCACGACTGGCAAGTGGCCATTCATAGCGGCGAGGATGAGTGGAGTGTCCTCTTGCGTGTTTCTTGCATTAATATCTGCATTGGCATTGATAAGACATTGTACACAATCAACATGTCCGTCTGCGGAGGCGTTGTGTAGCGGTGTGTTCCCCAAAGGCCCACTAGGAGACGAGGCATAGCAGTGCGACTGCAGCAGCTGCTCCACAATAGGTGCTGAGCCCAGTTTGGCTGCCACTGCAAGAGGTGTGAAGTGATCAGCATCCCGAATCTCGGTTGGAACTCCAAACTTCAAGATGGCGGCCACGCATCTCGGACACTCCTGGTTGATAACACCAAACAGCTCCTGGTGCAGCCCCTCTTCACTGATGCCGCTGTTGACGACGGAGGCAACCAGTCGACAGTCATGCTGTTCCACGTCACTGAAGGCACTGCAAGAGAAGCTGGAAGTCAGACATGTTATGTATAAGTTTTGATATTAAGTGGGTCAGTACAATACAACAGTATCCCTGTTACATGACGGTCTGGTTTACAGAGGTACCCACGGAGGAACTGTTCAGCCTGGAATACCCACATGGGCGGCGTTTACGGGGGAACCCTCGAGTAAGAATTCAGCCTCTAATACCCACATGGGCGGCGTCTATAAATCATATCTCTCTTACCAACGGTAAAGTCCTAGCTGGTAGTATTTGCAAGCAAACGGCCGTACATAAACCGTTCCAATCGGAGATATGGGTGTACCGTTGGTACGGTGTGTACTTTTACTGACAACCGGAAGTCGGTCCTACAGAATATCCTACAGAGTAAATTAAAAACGAGTCAAGCTCAAATCTATAATGACTGGACAGGTTTTGATTGGCTGAAGAAGTGGTCTGGGATCCCTTCGGGTTTTTTTAAAATATACATGTATTTTTAATTAAGATAACTGTAATTCCGGGGGTAAATGTCAGTCCAGACAACCAACTGCCGGGACTTTTACAGTAACAAATTACAGTGTAGTTTCTGATACTACCTTCCTGACACACTGTTTCCGGCTATCACACACACCTGCATCTTGTCAGAGACCCTCACATGCTGTCCTAATGTGGATCAAGGCCGACCCTAACACGATATCAGGAAAGCGGGAATAAGGCCGGCGCGTCGTGTCTCGCTCCAACTATACAGTATCTAACACCTCATGCCGCGTCACGAGTCAAACTAATTCCTTGTCATGCACTATTACTAAATATACAGCATCGCTATTGTTGTCACACATATTTGTCATATTCATAATTACCTACGAGACGTGTAAGGAGCGGTTCATAATTTATGGCTAGGGGGTGGGTGTGTGATGATGATTATATCAGTCATAGGTTCTTCCTTAGACACAATCCGCCACTACACGGGATAGAATTGTTTGTTTGTTTGTTTGTTGTATTCCAGCTATGTGACGGCGGTCTGTAAATAATCGAGTCTGGGCCAGACAGACCAGTGATCAACAGCACGAGCATCGATCTAGGCAATTGGGATACGATGACATGTGTCAACCAAGTCAGCGAGCCTAACCACCCGATCCCGTTAGTCGCCCCGTACGACAAGCTAACATGGGTTAATGCAGACAATTCTACCCCGGATCTTCACGGGTCGGATCGTAAAGTGAGTGAGTGAGGGGTACGCGGGAAGGATGTGCTGCAAAGATGCATATTTACGTAGATGTCCGGGCGCACATTTTTAAAAGGAAATTGTAGAAATTTACAGAAACATGTCAGGGAAAATGAGTAATATAAAATGGTTATTTTCAACGAAAACAATTTTACATCCTCAAAACCCAGGTGCACTGGAGGATGTAAAACTGGAGCTGACGATACTTTTCTCCTTCCGCCCTAGCATGGAGATTCCTGGGCACATACATCAACCGACATCCAAACACATGGATTATATATTCGTATTCATTACTATCCAAGACCTCGTTTCATCTGTGAGAAACACGTAGCTGTGATGAAACGTGTTTGGAACATTGAACTTCTTACAAACGGTGCGTAGATAACATTTAACCATTCAACATGTATACGTGCACACATACAACACCAAGTGTCTACAGATCTCACCTCATATTGTTGGTAAACCTATCGAACGAACTGCAAGGAATCTCCCACTGTGTCACCCTATGTATACATGTAATGCTTGAAGCACGCGACCTCATCTAATATTCTTGGAATAATGGTTCAGTGGGATCGGTCCGTGTAACTATGTGTACGGCGGAGTGGTGCAGACGGCGAGTCAACGCTGACGGCCTCCATCCATCCAGTCTAACGCAGATGTAAACATGTCTAGTACGATGCAGTATTAAGGCCGAGATGTATTCCCCGCAATCCCGCGCGAGAAGGTATCACGATGCTCTAATGACAGGATACGGGGATGATATATCAATATTTATCTGAATTTTATCAAAATGACGCGACTCAAATATGTAGTAGCTAAATTTACGCACGCACATTCCTAAGTAGAAGTCGGTTGGAGCTGAGATGGTAAACAGGCTGATATAAATAGCATTTCGTCTGGGGTAAACAACACTGACCCGGGCTGAGAACACGACTCGGCCATTGCCATAGACGATGAAAATATCAGTTACAGGCTGATGTTGCACAGTTTCGTGCACGGCGTGCTGTGTGTACACTCACCTCATTTTGACACACAAATGGAAGATTCACTGTCACTGCACGTACTGTGCATTTCCAGTCAGGTCGAGCGTGTCACTGTAAACACCAGTCGAATCACGGTTCCTCGTCATAATGAGATCATGTGATCAATACGATTAAAGGGGCATAACTCCATGGATCTTATCGTCAAAGCAGTAATCCATCGTTCGTGTTGGTGGCAGATATTATTAGGATGCTGACCCCACTATCCTGAATCCCGAAAACCACCTTAAGTTTCCACCCCGTTTGCTCACCTCTGAATCACAAATACTAATGAGCACAACTTTGAACACTTCAGAATTCACTCAACGAAGTCTGAATGTCGATCACAGAGGACACTCATCCATGTTCATGAATGGGTAGCGAGTTGAAGATAGAATTACTACAAAAGTATTGAAAATGCGAAGGAATTTCTATGTACACCATTTTTTAAAAGGACAGTTGAACCAGCGTACCTCAAGCAATTTTATTTGAGTCCCGCGTGCCACATCAATTAATTCCATATACCATACCCTTAAAGGGGCACTGATCCAGAGCAATTTCCGTGGACTGGTTGTTGCTTTTGTTATTGTTTTTCTCCCGTGAGTACCCGGATGATATCCCAGAATTCATGACTGGTTCGTTACCTCTGCTGCGCCACCATCATGCGCAATTGATAGTACAAGTATAGACTGATCAACTACTCGATAATATTTCCATCTTCATTATTTTGATAACAAATGAAAACATTTTGAAGTTTAACCATCTGCCAGTGGTAAAAAATGTTAGGACTGAAATAACGAAGTCAATGTACGTCTTTATATTTTGTCTTATAATCCTAATTAGTTTATTATACTAATTAGTATTTGTATGCATTTTGAAACTTAATAAAATGCACACGATCTGCTTATACTTAGTGAATTTATAACATGACTGTAATATCTAAACATTTCATAGATTGCCAACATGAATCACATTTCACACACACGCCCTAAGTGCGAACTAGTGTATGTTATCTGTCTCATTACACTTCGACTAACGGGATCGGGTGGTCAGGCTCGCTGACTTGGTTGACACATGTCATCGGTTCCCAATTGCGCAGATCGATGTTCGTGCTGTTGATCACTGGATCGTCTGGTCCAGACTCGATTATTTACAGACCGCCGCCATATAGCTGGAATTTTAGCTGAGTGCGGCATAAAACTAAATTCACTTACTCACTCATTACACTTCACGGCAAAACAAAAATAAATGATTCTGTTGAAAGCTAACCCCGAATCCTGCATACCTGAAGGGAAGGACATCCGTAACGCAATAAAAATGTCGCAGTTTATTTTTCAACACCATTATGAATATAATTTCGGATTGAATGCTACAATATCTTATTCCTTCGTTAATTATAGTCTTTGTGTACTGCCAATTTCCATTCAATTCATTTTTAAGTAGCTAGGTCAATGCCGTGTTCGATTTCATTGTTTAATATTGTTTTATTTTTTACATTATCTCAAGTGTGTATTACGTAGAGGGTAATGTCCGAGTAACTCTCCATTCCTTAAAAATGGTGGAGCCGAGGCACATTATTTTTAAGGAATGGAGAGTTACGAGGATATTACCCAACTTACATTATATTCAAAGTATTGGGAATATTTCTGTTATCAAAATTAAATGTCAAAACGACAAAATAATGGCTTTAATTTGAAAATGGTACACATCGCTCCATTCCTGAAAAGTAAACGAGCGAGCAGACAATGGAATGAAGTCACAAATGTAATTTATTGGCAGTACTATTAATCAAATTAAGGTTTGACCTCTTAAAATATGTTAACAACTGTAATCATTTCGACGTTTGGTTTGTGCTCTTGACATACGTACATAAAAATAATCAATCACTTTTACTTGCGATCAGCAAGACTTAGTGATTACTGGTTGATTACCTCCCTTGAAGGAAGTTTTGGAGTTATCCCCCTTTTTCGATCAGACGTTTAATTGTTTATTCAGTTTATTTTTGGCGTCAGTTCTACAGTATACGTCGTAGTAGATCTCATCAAGCCAGACAAACTGTAAGTTTACTGTTAAGGTTATTTCTGCTCCTTTTTATATTAAATCATTTACGTTATGTTAGTAACTGCCCGTCTATACCCAGTACTGTGACACAGAAATGTAGACCTAGAGATAAAAACATATTCTCGTGTTATGGTTTTCGGGCACTTAAGAACATCCTATGTCGTCTCGTTTATCACTAATTTTTAAAGATAATTTTATCGTAAACACAAGCCATCACAATGGCTTTGTGAGGCAACACTGCTCGATACAGTCCGAGTGAGCACCACCGTCGCAAAACCTATGATCCGACGCCGGATAGTAACCCCTGTGTGTGTAGGCTACATTATCATAAATGGGATATATTTTGATCAGTTAATTTTCTAGAACACTGACTGATTGTTATGCAAAATGTGCTGAAGGTTTCCGGAAAATGTTACACGTCTCAAAAAGCAAAATCACTCAATATTCGTGTAATATGTCATGCCTATATCCTGATCGTTTGGGGCAGAGATATAGTCCTAAGGATGTTCCACTCATTCCCATTAAAACATTTCACAAGAGAGAAAGTTTTAATTCTTGGTCAGAAGACTGACAAGCATAGGGAAAGGAATGGAGATCCTTCATGTTTTGCTGTGTACCCCTATGGTGTTGGTCGCCGCTCATGGTGTCAGTCACTTGTCCAGACTCATTAAATTACATGCAGTCGTGATGGCTTGGGTGTGGCTCTCCGCGATGTAGACAATAGGGAGAAGGGTTGGAGAGGCAATATTATCTTATTAACTTAAAACTATCATTTGTCGATGTTTTATCCGTAAATACGATACGCCTCATTCACACGTGTATATAATTTTCCGCATCATCAAAGTTTTGTAAAACAAATTGTGTTTGTTTATTATGGCCCACTTGAATTTGACAAAAAAGAACCACATTTCAATCAGAATATGTGAAACAAAACAAACTGCAACAGGACACTGTATTTGTGGTATCTACATTTGGTAAACGATCCGTTCAAAGTTTTCATGTATAATCAGCTATATATATTGATCTTAAAAACACCTCATTTGTTTCAAACAAGCCCATTTTGTGTGTTACTTTTAGGCTCACATTCTTTCTATATTTATGTCAGAATCATTCCAGGTGTCAAAATTATAGCTTCATAGCCATCGCTTTCAATTAGACATATCTTTAATAACTTTATTATTCACACAATTTAGACTATTACCTCTACGTTGCAGGAAACAGTTGAAGTGTTTGGACCTGAAGCTGGTCACCAGGCATGCTGGCATGCATCATCTCCCAATTTATGAATCAGTTGTTGAGGTTGTATCAAGAAGGGTCCTATATTCCTTAGTTTGTGAATTAATGTTCAGCAAATATTAAAGGCTTACGTTAGTAAAAGCAATGTTTTAACTAAATTAGAGCAATTACTTGGGATGTTTGAATAGCCGACTGTTTATTCAATACCTTATATTGTTTGCACTAGGTTATACAAGCGTTGCTGCTGTCGTTTCCTCTTGCTGACTTTGATGCATCTGGTTGCAATATAGCTGTTGACATCAAAGCCAAGAAAAAGGTTAATCCTGACAATGACAGACAGGTGTTTTATGTTCGGGGTAAGTCAGCTTACATCACATATCAGGGGTATTTGATCTGACATTTACAACAGGAAATCTTTTTCCAGTCCTGTAAAACTTGAAGAATACACACTGACATAAATACAAATTCAGGCTGTGTCAATAATATGTATTAACAAAACGAAACAAAACTGACACATAAATGTTCAATTTTCAGTATCAAGTAGTCAAGACTTGGATTTGGAAACTCTTTTTAAAGGTATTCATATGGTTTCATAGTAGTAGAAATTACTCACTTACATTCAACGCCAAATTCCAAGAAATGGGCGCACCTTGGGCGCACTATTATTTACTTAAATAGTAGTACTGCATAGCAGTCGTTTTGCTAATTACATATGAAAATGATGATTATTGACAATACCTTTTTCTTAATATCTTTAAATACACAACCTCTATGAACTCCAGTGTATGTTCCATGTATATTTGCAAAAATATAGCAAATATACTCTCACGGATGGGAACGCAGATTTACAAATTACACCTCAGAAACACCATGCAGATTGACACATTTATGGTGCAGAAACGCGTGTTTCTTTGTGATGAATAATTTTTGGGGCATGGTTTGATTATTATTCACCATGCCCTTACTGGACAATGTGGAAACATTGTCTCACATGCAATGTTATAAATGTTTGTTGTGATAGAAAAGGTCCTGACACGATTTGCCGAGGTTCTGCTGTACATGCAATGTGGGGAGGAGGAGGGTCACTTGTCGGTACAGCGGCCATGTCGGGAGGAGACAGGCAGCAGTGTACACGAGGTCTTCTGGCTGGAACAGACAAATCTTGGAGACATGACCCTCAAATGTCAGCATTCTTCACAGACTCAAAATACAGACTTCACCGAAACACCGCCCCGTTTTGTCATACATTTCAGGGTATGTATGTCAAGTCCTGAATAACTACCCCATATGGGACCTGGTATGTATGTCAAGTCCTGAATAACTACCCTATATGGGACCTGGTATGTATGTCAAGTCCTGTCATAGTGGGACCTGAATAACTACCCTATATGGGACCTGGTATGTATGTCAAGTCCTGAATAACTACCCCATATGGGACCTGGTATGTATGTCAAGTCCTGAATAACTACCCTATATGGGACCTGGTATGTATGTCAAGTCCTGAATAACTACCCTATATGGGACCTGGTATGTATGTCAAGTCCTGAATAACTACCCCCTGGTATGGGACCTCCCTATATGGGACCTGGTATGTATGTCAAGTCCTGAATAACTACCCCATATGGGACCTGGTATGTATGTCAAGTCCTGAATAACTACCCTATATGGGACCTGGTATGTATGTCAAGTCCTGAATAACTACCCTATATGGGACCTGGTATGTATGTCAAGTCCTGAATAACTACCCTATATGAGACCTCACCAAATGTTGTTGGGACCTGGTATGTAGTCAAGTCCCACCCTATATGACTTTGTATTTCAGCAACCCATGATTGCAGTAAGAGGTGATGAGACCTCACCAAATGTTGGTCAACTGGTCAGCTGGTCAGAATCATGGATCTGGTTGATGCATGTCATGGATCTTATAGACCAACACTGCTTAGATGGATGAACATGGAGACTTTCTGGGTTTCATCTGCTTTTTATTGTTTGGTGCAACGTTTCAGGGTTCTAAAAGAAGATGAAACCCAGAAAAGTCTCTATGTTCATAAAATAGCATCATCTAAAATGCCAATCAAACGTCTAATGCTTAGATGGATGTCTCTAACTGGACTGGATGCTCCAGACTCGATCATCTAAAGACCCCGGGGCATATTGCTAAAATACAGTAACATAATTTATTTTTCTATTAAGACTGGTGAAGACAGGTGGTATATCTGCGTTCATTACTGACACATTTTCTATTGAGATAGAAGTCTGTTCCACATGGAAACTTACTTACAAATGACTGACATAAGTTCTAAATCTGTTTGTGATTCATCTACACCTATTTCAGATCGTTCAGAGCGAAAGCCACATCATGTCAGAAGGACAGCTTATACACAGGTTCTTACACAAACTGAAATTCCTACACGGAAAGGTTTGCTTCAATTTGAAATTTCTAAATACACAAGAATTACAACGGTTGGTTCACTCATGATGGGTGTTAACTGGCATGTTTGAAATAACTATAATCTCCCGCAACAGATGATTCATGGAGATGAGTGAGTCCGCTAGATAAAGTACAAGAATATGGTTAAATAGTTGTCAAACTTCGTTATAGAAGTTTTATTATATCTTCATGTTTTAACAAATTACATGCGAGTTGAAATTTTCTGGTTCCGTTTGTTGCATCAGTAATATATGTTTTAGCTGGACACCACATTTTCCATGAAAGTGTGTGGAGCAGTATGTCAAACCGATTTCAGGTAAGGTGTATGTTTTCAGGTATATAACTGGTATATAACAGCAATACTTTAGACTCGTTAAAGTCTACCTGTGTTTTGCGTAATTAGCACATATCTTTCCTTCTCTTATGGGTCAATTTTAACGTTTATGATTATGAACTATTTTAGTTCGAAATGTAATCGATTTCATTTCTAAATTAGACCAGGCACTCAAAGGTTTCATATTTATCCCATAGACAGTTGTCAGATAAATTTAAAACTCAAATTTTACTTCAGAAATTAAAGTAAACCGCAAATATTGTTTAAAGAATATTTGAACTTATACATGAGAGAGATTGAACAAAATCACACATTTCTTTTCCTTCATGTTTACAGTGCAAGGAATTGCGTGCAAGTCAAAGGCATATCTTTAGTTGATGACTTAAGATTCTTCTTTGGGTAGGTTTTTCAGTGTATATACTCATGATCACCACGTAACAGGGTACATCTTACCCGGTCACGCCCACGTGAATTAGGATCCCGGTTAGAATTGTCTTTAGCAACCTATGCTTGTCGTAAACGCCATTACCATAGTCAGGATCGACTCGACTGATGCATATGATGTCCCCTAATGGTGTTAATTGATTAATCCAGTCTCCCGTTATGTTCCAGGAAGGGCTGTCTTAAGTCTATGTGTTGTGGGACTGTGCGTGGGTTCAGGGGAAGAAGCCTTGCAGCTGGACTGAACTCGGGAGGTCTCCTCTCTCCTTCCCCCATCTCTTTGTCCACCCTGGCTTGTCTCTACCCAGTCACAGAGCGGTACCCCCAGCACACAGGCTCCCAGGACATGACAGGCCAGGTCTTCGTATCTTTTAGTACAAGAACCGATAGAGTCCTGGTAAATTAGTTTTTACCTCAACAATTGTATTGCTTATGAGAGGTCCGTTTGGTATTTAAATGGGAATCCAGTCGGTTTGCATAACAGTTGAAAACAACTGGAGCGAGTGAGTGGGTTGGGACTTACGCCCCTTCATACAGTGTTCCAGATATATCAGGTTCTTTCAGCCCATGAACACGGGTATATATAATAGTGTTGACAAAACTAGAAACAATCGGGTAGTCAAACCTACAATCATAGGTTTCTGACGTACCCATGGGACGCAACTCTGTACAGAGAATTGCAACGCCCTAAAAGACTGGACCACCGATGTTCCAGTGATAGCAGCTTGTTCTGAGACCTTATACATCTATGTCTATCCTTGATGAATCCAGATAAATTTTTATGGCCCACTCCTAACTCCACTACTTCTGAGCAGTAGACAGTTGGAGATGCTGGACATACACAAACTTACTGATTGGAGTACATTGTCATTGCGGTTGACAGACACGGAACAAAAGATGCAAAGTAAGTTGTACATTCAACATAATAGTATTTAATTAGAAACTACATTTCATCGCAAAGCCTCACTAAAAAGCAGAAGTTTCATTTCTAGAAAGGTTCTGCCGATGGATCAGATAAAAGCACCCTCAAGACCCTATGGATTACCTCACAGGGCCAATGGTTTGAAGGCGATATTGAGTTGGGTGTCGACCTCGCTCCTCTCCTTCCCTAAAGTGAACCATTGTTTTAGTGTTTCAGGGCATTTTGGCCAAAACTTTGAAAACTGGAATTACCCCATCATATGTTAGCGGGATGATTCCAAACCTATTGGTTATAATCTAGTGAGAGATCAGCCATTGACTTGGAAGTAGCGTTACCTGAGCACAGGTCTATACCAAATCCCAGATGGTTTACCTTTGTGTGAGATAACAGGCTTGAACACTTTGACCAGACCATTTTGCCAGAAGAACCTTTGAACACATCTGTGAACTTAGTAATATCCAAACTGAATATTGAATACATCGAAGTAGCGCTGGTGGTGCTGCTTCTGACATGAAAAAAAATGTATGCTGAATATGAACTGAAACAGAAACTTTAAGGACATATATACCGACTTCAGTAGTGATGGAAATGTCAGTAGGCTGAGTGGCGTAACTGTTGTCTATAATCTATATACAAGTCCCACTCCATTAACACGCTAGGACTCACGGATACATATCATCCTAAGTGTAAAATATTCCACTTAACTATCTTAAAATCTGGCATCAGTACATACTTCTACACTGCCCATCAAAAGTTTAGACTCACTTAAAGCACTCACTATTTGTTATGTTATATATACTGAAAGCCATTAAAAATGCAATTTGACGTTCATACTTTCTTTATTCACACTAATTTCAACATATATAAACCTAACTGGCAGATATGTTTTAAGTGAACATCTGTGAATAATTTCATCTGAAAATGTCCAGTCAACAACAACATCAGTGACGCAACAACGACATCACACGAAGGAGGGGTCACTCGCAGTCAATATCGTGTGTGTCCACCGTGCGCTGCAAGACATGCTCGCAGTCTTTGGGGCATTGAAAGACACACATTTCTCAGGAACAGCTGTTTGATGGTCTGCAGCCTCTGATGGTCTGTGGTCTGATCATGACACCACCCCCTCCAAAACGATCATGTTCAAGGACACAGTTTGGCGCAAGTCTTTCTCCTTTACGTCGATAAATCTGTTGACGTCCATCTGCAAAGAATAAGTTAAACCTGGATTCATCTGAGAAAATGACATCTGGCCATGTCCTGTTGCCAAGATTGGCCCCATTTGCTACCCATCGCTGTCTGGCAAGTCTGTGGCGATGCAATAAGGTTGGACCACGGTACGGGTGACGACACCGGATGTTGAAGGCAGCAAGGCGTCCTTGCACCTTTTGGGCGCTGAAATGACGTTGACTTGTCCCAATTGTCCTCCTTGCCTAATCATCAGCTGTTTGGAACCGATTTCGCAAGTGTGAAACTCGGATATTGCGGTTTTGTCGAGCTGTTATCACAGGTGGTGCACCAGGTCGCGGACGATCAGCAACACTTCCGGTAGCCCGAAAACGTTGTCTGAGTCGACTTACAGTGGATGGATGCACATTAAAGTGCCTGGCAATCATCACATCTGAAGCACCTTGGCTGACCATACCGATGACTTGTCCCAATTGTCCTCCTTGCCTAATCATCAGCTGTTTGGAACCGATTTCGCAAGTGTGAAACTCGGATATTGCGGTTTTGTCGAGCTGTTATCACAGGTGGTGCACCAGGTCGCGGACGATCAGCAACACTTCCGGTAGCCCGAAAACGTTGTCTGAGTCGACTTACAGTGGATGGATGCACATTAAAGTGCCTGGCAATCATCACATCTGAAGCACCTTGGCTGACCATACCGATAACCTGATTCCTTTCGTCTTGTGTCAAGTGTGGCATTTTCTCAAAGTGATTGAGTTCCACAATTCCTTGTGCTTTTACAGGGCCTGGGTGCAGGTAATGCATGTGCACAACGTGTTTCATGAATGTGGTTGTGTTTACGAGAAATGTCAAAGGTTCAGTTTTAAGTATCAAAGTTCATGTGAGAGGAATGCTCCGGGACTCGAACCCGAAATGGGCCAGAATAACAGCCTTTTATCCATACATCCTCTGTATCGCAGGAAAAAATCTTCAATAGAACTTTTGTAAGTTTCAGGACAACAAATACCAATTGCGTTTTTAATGGCTTTCAGTATATATGGTTACAGCGAAGATGAATGCAGATGAATTGCACGAGGATCATGCTTCAAATTGCTGAAAAGCATGTGCAAATATCGTGCATGCGATCAGCTGCGTTTTGGTGTAAAGTTTTCTTAAGAATTCGCCAGTTTTCAATGTGTTTCATCGTTTATTGAACTCATGACAATAATCTTTTTTACGTTACGAATTTGTTTTACAATACATCAGTTCATGTGTAAACATACCTTTAAACAGTTGACTGAAGTAAGTGGCTACATTTACGCTTTTGATTTGTAGTATACATCCGAATTGGTTTGTTCGCTGGCGGTATTGAAAACGTGTTTCTGGGCTTATCTCACAGATATATTAATAGGAAAACAAATAAGTGGACTATAAATATATGACATCCAACCTCTCTGTTCTCTTTGTTAACTGTTATGGTTTTACCTTTTTCATTGTGCATTCAACCCTTATGTCCATGCTCAATACAAAGGTCAGACTATTTTGAGAAAGTATTGGAATGTGAATAATATAGATACATTACTTTAATTGGTGTAATTATGACCCAGTTTGTCTGGTCTGAGTTGTAGATCGTCACATATCTGTTTCTACAAAGGTGACATGACCGCTACAGCAACACTGATGAATCAGCGCTACATGCCACCCTGGGCCGCCGGAGCCACAACGTTCCTCCTGGGCCTGGCCGTGATTGTCTCCGACCTTTGTGCAGATGACGACGCAAACAGAGATCGAGGTACGGAAGGTAACAACAAATTGGGTATATGTCAAGAAAAAATAATTTAAAGACGTGCATGTATGCAGCAATTATATAAACTGTATACAAAGAGGCACGCATGCACTGTTTACAGCGAACTTGAACACTGTATACAAACGGACATAATGACTGTGTACACACTGACACATATACACTGTACAAGCGAACATATATACCTGTTAAAGACGAACATATACACTTAATACATATGAGCATATGGCACTGTATACAAATATGATTGGCAAGGGCTGTTTATTCACCTAGCCCAGGTGTTAGATTGATCAGTGACATTCGGTCGGGCGAGATTTACACATGTTAAGTCTCAGCCAAGATTTCCATGACAAAAGCAATGCCACAGCAGAGTGAAAACACTCTTATCCTCTTAGCATAAGAATGCCAACCTCTCATTCTGGAGTAGAATATATGTGGCTGTGTAGAACCATGTTTGTGAAACTACTACTCCAAAACAGATGAGAGACCTAGATAAAGTGCAAATTGCAGTCTCTCAATTTGGCATCATACCAGCTCGTGTCGCTCAAACCAGAAATTGTATTGATATTCTGGTTCTACAGGATGCACATAAACCATGTGAATAATTCTCTCCATTGTAGCAACTGCAGCCAGCTGTTGTTAATTCCCCAGCGAGCAACTGTTACACGATATAATGCTATGATCGATCTTTACATGCTATGCATTATAATATCTATATGTTGTGTTTATACTCTGTGGTGTTAGTGTGTATTCAGTACTGTTAACCGAGTAATGGGCCCCACATTGTTGTTCTAGATACCCACCCACTCTATATAATCTAGACATTTGTTTATTGTGTATATTTATTCTGTTTCCAACAAGACCAGACTTTTATATAGTCGTTTTACTCCCATATCTCGGAGAGAGTGCGCAGTCACTAAAGCATATAGGGTGAAACTTATACCTTGGAAACACATTTTGCTCACAAGAGCAAATATAACTACTGTATATTTAAGATAATATTATTGCGTAACTACACGTTTCTTCAAAGGTCATTCAACTGATCATATAAATAGTTGATGCAGTGCTTTTTATACGTAAATTTTTAATTAGATTTCCTGGTACCTACAAAGTTCAGCTCATAGCTCAGAGTCGCCCCTTAAAGAAGAAAGAATTGCCTGGCCTGACAAAGATAGTTTTTCTACAGAACGGTCCTTTTATGTCAAACGGTATATTCTGATTGTGATAATTGCAGAGATCATCAGACATCTTCAGGGTGACGTCAGCCTGCTTCCCCAGCTGTACCCAGCCATCTCAGAAAGCCTGCAGTCATCCTTACAACACATCTTTGCAAACAGAGTTACTGAATATGAGAAGATGGTAATAGTGAGTGAGTTTAGTTTTACGCCGCACTCGGCAATATTCCAGCTATATGGCGGCGGTCTGTAAATAATCGAGTCTGGACCAGACAATCCAGTGATCAACAGTATGAGCATCGATCTGCGCAATTGAGAACCGATGACATGTGTCAACCAAGTCAGCAAGCCTGACCACCCAATCCCGGTAGTCGCCTCTCACGACAAGCATGGGTTACTGAAGATCAATATTCTAACCCGGACCTTCACGGATCAGATGGTAATAGGTTATAGGAATGACAAGTGTTGCATTACAAACATAGGGCGAACAACCTTAAAAAACAATATTTCATGTACATAATAGTTTGTCGGCATAAGGTGGAAGGAAAGCCAAAAGTGATGTAGGTATATATATTTACCACGAGAAGGAACGAGAATGGTGCTGACAACAATATAAACGTAGTCATGTCTAACCAGGATTCGAACCCAGTCCCTAAGGGAATCGACTCTGCACAACGATAACAAGTATAAGTGTATGCGCCCTAATACAATTTGAAGGAACCTAACATAAACTGCCCCGCAATAGAAAGTATACAGCCATGTTTCATCAGGACAAATATCAAACCAACGAAAAGTCGTTTGTGGTTCATGATATATTTGATACAGGTATCACAGCACAATGTGAACTTGAATGTATCAGTTTTAATGTTTTTGTGACATCCAATTTTCAAATATCTGCTGTCATTTTCCCGTCAGTTTATCTTCTATATTTCTAAAGAAAACACATTTTGCTGGAGAATCATTTGGTTTGTAATTAGCAAATCTAGAGTAGCAATCTAGATGAAACTTGACAGATTCCAACATATACCAAAGAACATACAAGGTATTTCTTAAATTTACCGAGAGATTAAACATGTCTACTCCTAATGCTCCTTTGAGTATTTGTGCTTGAAACATGGACCTTAAAGGGATTATTCTCAGGATCTTGTTGGAACGGCCAAAACAGCCACAGATCACTGACAAGTATACAAGTGTATTTTGGTCAACATTTATAGTTTCGACATATTGCAATATCGACAATATACGATTTAAATGTTCTTGTGAATGCAAGAAATATTTCACGGGGTTCCTATTCAAGGTAAGTACCGAAAGGCCCTTGCAATAAGGGTTTTGTCCAGCCAGGATATGAACCTTGATCACAGCCTATTACCTTATTCTTTCAAGTTCTTGGTGTACATTTCAGCACGAGAAGACGTACACCCAGTCAATCCAGATGATAACATCCGCCATCTGTCATGTCTTCAATCACAGCACAAATGTCAACTTCAGAAATGACATGAGCCATTTGTTACAGGTTTGTGTGGCAAGCTGCATCAACCCGTGATAGAACTAATCACACAGTAGTAATTCAGTGACAGACTGACTAGCATGTTAGTGTTGCCGGAAGGTGTATAGGATTCTATATGTCAGACAATAAACACAAATAAACACGGGAGTATGAAGCCACTTACTTGTGTGTTGTTAAACCATGTCCCATTTACCTGGTAGAAGACATAAGATGTTAAATTATGTTTATATATATTTCCTTCAAATATTAGGTTGACACGAGGCAGGCATTGGAGAAGGCGCTCAAGACACGACTTCGGGAAATAGCCCATGTATCAGATGCCCAGATACAGGAGGTTAGATACAACCTGACAGATGTTCGATTCCTTGAATTAGTGAGAAATATGCACTGTTGTTCATCTGGTAGTCTCAGAATACATTGACAAGTGACATATGATGGTGCAATGGTCGCGAGGCTCTTATAATCCCGATGGTTGTGTCATGTGGTAATGACAATAGGTTACTTATACTGTTGAAGCAATATTCCTGTAAATTAACAGACCTCAGACATACCAGTGGTTGACATTAGGATGGGTAGGGCTGGTTGAAACATTCTGTCGCTATGTCTGTGTTGTTGGACCGCGTTCATAGAGTTAATTGCTAATATTTTTCAACATGATCCCGTCCACGACCCACACAGTTCTGCCAACTGTGTTGGGGCGCTGGATGTCACTGGTGAAGAAGGCTTTCGCTTGGTGGTGTACAACATCTCCATAACAGTAGTTGCGTCGTCATTTGCATAATTCTTACCTGTGTGTTCTTTATTCACTATTTTGCAATAGGTGGAAATCTGATGGTATCAAACTTGTTGAACAAAGGCATAAAGGACTTGAGTCTGACCCGTTTAGTGGCCTCTTACAAGCACAGATTAATTGGGTATGATCTCAACAGGTCCTATTCCCATTACATATGGTCATCGGGACATGAATTTCATACTGATCAATGTACTAGTGAGTGAGTGAGTTTGATTTTACGCAGCTTTTAGCAATATTCCAGCAATATCACGGCGGGGGACACCGGAAATGGGCTTCACACATTGTACCCATGTGAGGAATCGAACCCGGGTCTTCGGCGTGACGTCGAACGCTTTACCACTAGACTAACCCACCGCCCCGATCAATGTACTAAACGAAAAAGCCTTTCTATAATAAAAAGTGGTTTAAGAATGCACCTTTCCCTATATAGATCGAGACCGATGATGCAGACACGGACATAGATGAATGGGGCGAAGCTACCTATCCTAGGCTTGCCGACACTGCAGGTGCTACTGGTGACCTTCAGGACACTCCAGACGCCATAGCAACCTCACAGGTATCATACCAGTTTCATGACATGGGACTAATATCAGGTCTCAAACTATATACACGTCATTCTCAAAATTCGTGCATATTTATGTTATATGTTTGTACTCGACAAACTTAAGTCAAAATCAATAATTTGTTTATGGTAACTAATCTAATCTCAGTTTATTCTACACTTTACAGTAACAAAATTGGGGGAAAAAAAATTATATGTATTTTAAACCCCCAATTGTACTCAGTTGTCATGTGTCACAACTCCCGTGGTCGATATGCAATTTGATTTTTTTTTAGTCTTTTTCATGTTTTTCAAAAGAAATCCTTAACATATCATAATTAATGATGTTACAGCTACATGCTCGGCGTGGTTTGGCCTTTTTTGTTTGAAAAAAGCATATTGTAAAAAAAGGTCAAACTTTGTCACAAGGTTTGATGTCACTACCATAACATCTCCCCCAAAATTGCAATAATGATTACTCCCTGTACTGTCTTCTGATTCTACTTCATGTTTGCAAGCAATGGCAGTGAGGAAACATGACTGTCAAACACCGACACACACACAAAAAAATCATTTTTCTGATCATTTTTTGAATAGCAAAAAAGGTGTGTACAAACTGATATCTGAGATTTTTGCATGTCCTAACCCTTACAGTGGTTACCGCTGAAACCAATAAATCTTGTGAAGCCAAACAATGCCAAGTACCTTAGACAGTAGGGGAAATCATCTGAAACCATGTGCTCAGTAAACTTTGGGGACCAGTTATTGTTATAAAACTGATATTGTTAGTGGCTGTCACTACCATTACTTACGGTCACTGCCGTTATCATGGGTTTTGTTACGGTAAGGACAGATTTTGTGACGACAGTGACATTTTTCTAGTTTAATGTTGTTTGTATCTAAACTTTCACTTCAAAGATATCAAATGTTTTGGAATCTTAAAAGTTTGTATCAAATGAATAAAATCAATAAGCGTATAAGTATGATTTTTTTTGTTACGGTAAGGACAGGGTAGTATAACGGCTATGACAAAGAAGAAAACGGCTCGTTACGGTAGTGACATTATATACCGTCACAATGTCACTGCAGTAACATTCAGTCTTTACCTGTTTTTCACATGACAGGGACATCCATAAGTAAATCTGTTGCCTATTACATATTGTTCAAACATTCTGAAATATCTGACTGACAAATTTCATTAAATTACCTAACAGTAAACATATAAAACTGGCTATTATTAAAAATGTCACTACCGTTGTGTCACTGCCGTAACAATAAACTCCAATCTCCATGCCATAACAATATCATTTGCCATATTTAATTAAAATTGATTTATCTGTTTATGTCTGGAATTTGAATTACAATTATGTTTGGTAGTAGAGCTTCAAAAAAGCATAATATAATAGATATACTCATTTCTAATTTTTTGCTACATATTACTTTACATTTGCAAATCAGAAATGAAATGAATTTTGACTTGTCCCCTTTTAAGCAATAAATATAAAATTTCTAAACTCATTAGCCAAGTTATATTGTAAAACTAGATATTTTAATATGTATGCACATTAACTGAATATCATCTTTGGATTTATTCTTTTTAAAATGACGTTACAAATTTCGAAACGGTAGTGATGCAATTTCATGAAATGACTAGAAAAAAGGGTAAAATATGAAAAATGAGACGTTAAGCTTGCATAATTTATAATTTGTACATTCAGAATACTATGAACGTAATCAACAACATTTCAAAATAAAACGAGAAAACAAAATTTACAATTTTTGCCAACATGAAATATGCACGAATTTTGAGAATGACTCGTACACATTTCTCATCCATTTAAACTGTAAGCAAGAAATGTCCCGAATTCATCACAAACGTTTGTACTGTATGGGCATACTAGTACCTCTACATGCGCCTGACTGGAGCAGCCAAGCCGACACTAGCCATGGGGCTACCCCAAACCCCTTTTCTGAAGGTAAGGTGAAATGGAGTCTTATCAGACTAATGCTGATTTTATAGTCCACTTAATACCAAGTCACATTTTAACATGGATAGCCCACTCAGACACACCATGCAGACTCTCCATGGACAAGTCATTCTGCGGATCCCTCAATGCCCAGTGCCACTCAGTTTAACAAGTACAGACTTGTTTTTGAACTTTTCGCTTTACTCTAATGTACACCTAATCTTCTTTTATCTTTACTATGTACTTGTGGAATCTGAAGTTGAGAACGCTGCGCCATATCCTGTTTCAGGTTCGTTGGAATCTGCCTTCAAGACAGCAAGAAAACCTTGCCCAAAATATGGTGCAAGATGTTGATCACTTGGATGAAGGCGATGGGACCAGGTCACAGCATCTACACGACAACAGTTCCCATACACAAGCCCACCAGGATATCAATGTTAATGCGAACCCAAGGCAGAGATCGCCCAGCATGATGAGGGAAGACTTCGACTCTCAAATGAGTTGGGATATTCAGGATACAGATATTGTTGAAGATGACACAGGATCATGGTCTCTCACAAGCAGAGTTCTCCATACAAATCAGGTCTCAATGCAAGAGCCACGTTTTTACCCAGGTAAGATAAACCAAGGTAAATTCATATTGACATTTATTTATACTATAGACACTAAACTCCAGGCAGATGATATTTCAGTGGAATGTATATATTTACTGTTGTCTCTCTGATTTAGTGACCCAAAGGGAAGATGATGATCTGCTTGTTCCGCCGATGTCCTCCGCCACACTCACACACCCTGACAGACCAAACGATCACCAGCAGTCAGTAAGGAAACCTGTTTATATCCTTCAGAGAGCATGGGTTCAGCATTAAGAATACATTTTCTGTTGGGTGAAGTGCAAGATAACTGACATTGTTACATAATATAAAGATTTCATGAAGTATGGCAATACTGTTGATGAACACGTCTAAAGACGACAGCATCTTATTCAAGATCCAGTTGCGGGTTGGTTGCACCCATTGTCTTAACAGTGACGTCACTGTACCTCGCCTAGGTTGTACAGGGCTCCAGATAAGGGCCGTATCGGCGTATGTACGGCTAAAAAAATATGCACGATACGGTAGGAAATATTTTGAAAAACGTAGCAGATACGCACCACAGCAATGGTGTACGGTCTTAGAATCATTTACACTCGTATTTATCGGGAAAAGTATTGTTTTATTGTTTATTGACCTGTTTACACAAGAGTAACAACGTCGTGGTGCATACATGAAACGAATGACAAGATTACTGATACTCCATTAATTTCCATTCAGTACTCTAAATGTACACTTAAGGTTTTCTAGTACTCTTATATTGCAAAAAATAAGCAGTACGTACTCCTGATGTTGAAAAATTATCTGGAGCCCTGAGTTGTAAATACTATCAGTTACTGGTGTTTATGTGTCAAACCTAGTGTAAGTAGGGCTACCTCTCACAGAGCAGAATTATTCCTCCAGCAGTACAAGACAACATTCACCCATTCTCTTTAATCATGAAGACAAAACCCAAGGACCAGGTCAAATGATAACAACAATTGGCATACATGTATTGTATATGATAACCCAACCCTGTTACTTTGTTCCAGGTAGATGACTGGTTGAATGAAGTAATGCTGGATGTTGCAGACTGGCTCTGACTAAATCAGATACACTGTTGACCCAATTTTAAACGTTGTTGTATAAGACAGTACAGTTTGGTTGCTGGCAAAGTGTCTATGAATATTTTTTACTAATATTTACTTGAAATGTATCTGACATTGATGGTGATCGTTTATCATTTACAAGTTGACATAAAATGTTTTTTCCATTCTTCTGCTACATAACTGGTACCACCATCTCTTTTCTGTCTTAGCTGAAGAGAAACTGAGCATATTTTACCTGAAATGGCTGGTTGGTAGATAAAGTTAACAAACTGACTCCTGTTGAGCTCTGTCCTGTGTGGTATAATGTGTGTAGCAAGGATCAGTCCCCCTAACACGTCCCTCCACTGGCTTTCCCTACACACTAGTGAGTGAATCAGTTGAGGATGCTGCTGCTTGGAACATCAGCTCATACACGTCTCAGCCTGCCACGTTAATGTGGCAGAGCCTAAAGTGATGCAGGTAACATCAGCTCATTCACGTCTCAGCCTGCCACGTTAATGTGGCAGAGCCTACAGTGATGCAGGTAACATCAGCTCATTCACGTCTCAGCCTGCCACGTTAATGTGGCAGAGCCTACAGTGATGCAGGTAACATCAGCTCATTCACGTCTCAGCCTGCCCAGTTAATGTGGCAGAGCCTACAGTGATGCAGGTAACATCAGCTCATTCACGTCTCAGCCTGCCCAGTTAATGTGGCAGAGCCTACAGTGATGCAGGTAACATCAGCTCATTCACGTCTCAGCCTGCCCAGTTAATGTGGCAGAGCCTACAGTGATGCAGGTAACATCAGCTCATTCACGTCTCAGCCTGCCACGTTAATGTGGCAGAGCCTACAGTGATGCAAGTCTAGCACACATGTGCCTCTGGTCTCCAGGAGACAATAGGGCTCGACTGTGTATACACTGTATACATCTGCATTGTGAATTATGTTGCATCTCTGCATTAAACTGAACATTTCTCAGTGAGAATAGTCTCTTATAATCTCATGAATCTAAATAACAAACCTGACACACACTACCTAGTAGATTGATACCTTGCAAAATAACCTTCGAGTAACATTCTGAAGTGTGTTCAGAAAGACAAGGGGGATAACTCCATTAGTCATAACAAACAAATCAGGCCTTTGTCAATGCTCTGACAACAGAACAATCAGTTTGTGAATGTTTATCCATCAATAACAAAACAAGGAGATATACATGAGCTCTGAGTTAATGCAGCCATCCAGTGCCAGGTCTCTTCAGCTTCAGGGACGACTGTAGAGCTTGTATCCTATCGTCTATATCTTGCAAACTCATTTCCTGAAAATATCCAAACAGATCATCATATCTCATTATAACCACATTAAATTCAGATGTATTATTATGATATGATACCTCTCTGCATGAAAATCTTAAGGTCCTGACCCCACCTCCTGTGTATGTCCTCAGATAATCAGTCAGAGGTACTGTTCCGAGTATAAGATACATTGTCAATGAGACTGAGTTTACTGATATGATGATTTGTGATCATTATAACTATAGCAATTATGATATTCAGCCTGTACTACTCAAACAAGACCATGTGTATACAGAAATCTAAAAAAACCTTGGAGTATGAGCTGGTTGAAAATTATACACTTCAACATCACTGACTGGCATTTAGCAGTAGTAGAAGACAAGCAGTCTAACAAAATCTTGCACTTAGGAAAACAGAAGCCGAAATTCAGAATAAGTCATAATCCAGCCTTCTGTTTGGTTTCCATTCATCTTTTATCTCCAAATAGTTTGAATTATAACTTAAGGTTCTAGAAGTGACATCATTGGCAGGGTGTCAAAGTAATCGGTGGTTGTTTTCCTGAAACACATGCACTGAGACCTACATGGAGAGGGTCCTTCACCACAGCAGGTACTTCTTTCTGTCTTTTTGGCCCCGGCTGTGTGAGACAAACACCATATATTAATCAGATACCAATAATACATATGTATTCAATACTATATGACCAGATCACAGCTGTGCGTGGTAACCAACCATGCTAATATAATGGTAGTGGGAAAGGCTGTGTGTGTAATTATCACAGACATAGAATCCATGGGTTTGTAGCTAAGCCAGAGAGTGCGACAAACCCCGCTACACCTTGATAGGTGTGAATCATGACATCAAAATATAAGCTCATTTTGTGTACACGTTTACTCAGCCTATATGCCGGATATATATCTATGAGTTACGGATTGTTCTAACATCACTCACACCATGACACTGCCTCACACCATCCAGAGTGACACAAAGGCTCTCTACAATCAACCAGCTAACTGCTCACACAAATCTACCATTCCAGGAATAACAACTGTATAAGAAACTGGGGGTCATTCATGGATAGATTAAACAAACTTACCACATTCTGAAAATATTCTGGTGACAATCCTTCAAGGAATAATATCCGATCTTCCAGTGCTTTTAGTCTTGTGTAGACATCCGATTTGGACCCATCTAAACAATGACAACAACACAAGTATATAAACATCCCTGCCCATTGTCTGATCTAGATCTGATCATGTGCAAAGGAATGTAATATTGTAAATATAAACTGCTTTGCCCACCTCCCTGTAGAGACATACTGTATGACATCTGCATTAAACTTTGTACATATAGTATAGACTAATGCATTCTCTTCCCACAGAGGTTACTTGTCATAGCTTTCTATGAACCACTGTTCTAATACGGCCATATTTCCCGGTTCTTGTAAAGTCCCCTAGCGGCAAAATTATCTCACAATTTATCTCCCTTCTTTCTATGCAATCAGAACATGTGTTACATCGACTTAGATCCAGCTTGACTAATACAAGCAAATGTGAGGCCACAAATATACCTCCTCTGCCGGGGACTTGTGTTGATGTGACACACAAGGCTTTTAATGGCTAGCGTGTCCGTTGTCAACAAGGGCGATGGAGATGCCATTGACCCGCTATTACATGACTAAGTTCTGTCTAGAAGAAACGTTTGAACATCGCGCAGGGGAAGAGGTTCTAGTTTTCCCGTAGCATCAGAAATTACCGAGACCTTGTGAATGATCACTTTTAAAACAACATCGCTGATTGCACAACTAAATCTGATTGCAACCCATCACGAATCCTGAACACTCGCACCATGAAAGGGACGTATTTGAACAGAGGTTCATAGGAAGATATGACAAGTAACCTCTGTGGGAAGAGAATGAGACTAATGATAAACAGAGAATAAATTATTTTTACCAGTTAAAGGTAACTTCAAGTGGGCTTCAATATTCCTCATCCTTTCTTCAAATCCAGCTGACTGGGACTTCATGTTCAGATCAAATCTCTGCCTGGGCCCTTCTGGAATTAGTCTTGTCTGTGGTCCATATGGATTGACAACACGTGATATCTTGATATGACTTTTACACCCAGCACGTGGCACGAACACTGCATCTGTTCTGGCACAAGAAGACTCCACCTCTGCAACACATAGGAATACAAGCAAACTGATCATTTGTTGTTTAATGCTGCACTCAGGAATATCTAAGACCTATGATCGTAATACTTAAATAAGTCCAGACATTCCAGTGATTGACATCAGGAGTATCCATCTACATCACTGGGATACTATGACATGCATCAACCCTGTCAGGGATACTATGACATGCATCAACCCTGTCAGGAGTATCCATCTACATCACTGGGATACTATGACATGCATCAACCCTGTCAGGAGTATCCATCTACATCACTGGGATACTATGACATGCATCAACCCTGTCAGGAGTATCCATCTACATCACTGGGATACTATGACATGCATCAACCCTGTCAGGAGTATCCATCTACATCACTGGGATACTATGACATGCATCAACCCTGTCAGGAGTATCCATCTACATCACTGGGATACTATGACATGCATCAACCCTGTCAGGAGTATCCATCTACATCACTGGGATACTATGACATGCATCAACCCTGTCAGGAGTATCTATGACACTGCATCAACATCTGTCAGGAGTATCCATCTACATCACTGGGATACTATGACATGCATCAACCCTGTCAGGAGTATCCATCTACATCACTGGGATACTATGACATGCATCAACCCTGTCAGGAGTATCCATCTACATCCTGGGATACTATGACATGCATCAACCCTGTCAGGAGTATCCATCTACATCACTGGGATACTATGACATGCATCAACCCTGTCAGGAGTATCCATCTACATCACTGGGATACTATGACATGCATCAACCCTGTCAGGAGTATCCATCTACATCACTGGGATACTATGACATGCATCAACCCTGTCAGGGTATCCATCTACATACTGGGATACTATGACATGCATCAACCCTGTCAGGAGTATCCATCTACATCACTGGGATACTATGACATGCATCAACCCTGTCAGGAGTATCCATCTACATCACTGGGATACTATGACATGCATCAACCCTGTCAGGAGTATCCATCTACATCATGCTGGGATACTATGACATGCATCAACCCTGTCAGGAGTATCCATCTACCCCTGTCATCTGGGATACTATGACATGCATCAACCCTGTCAGGAGTATCCATCATCACTGGGATACTATGACATACAGGAGTATCCATCTACATCACTGGGATGCATCTATGACATGCATGTCAGGAGTATCCATCTACATCACTGGGATACTATGACATGCATCAACCCTGTCACCTGTCAGAGTATCCATCTACATCACTGGGATACTATGACATGCATCAACCCTGTCAGGAGTATATACCATCTATGACATGCATCAACCCTGTCAGGGATACTGGGATATTATATGACATCAACCCTGTCAGGAGTATCCATCTACATCACTGGGATACTATGACATGCATCAACCCTGTCAGGAGTATCCATCATGCATCAACCCTGTCAGGAGTATCCATCTACATCATCGCTGGGATACTATGACTGTCAGGGTATCCATCTACATCACATCTACATCACTGGGATACTATGACATGCATCAACCCTGTGTATCCATCTACATCAGGATGACATGCATATCCATCCATCCCTGGGTATACTATGACATGCATCAACCATGTCAGGAGTATCCATCTACATCTGTCAGGGAGTATCCATCTACATCACTGGGATACTATGACATGCATCAACCCTGTCAGGAGTATCCATCTACATCACTGGGATACTATGACATGCATCAACCCTGTCAGGAGTATCCATCTACATCACTGGGATACTATGACATGCATCAACCCTGTCAGGAGTATCCATCTACATCATACTATGACATGTCAGGAGTATCCATCTACATCACTGGGATACTATGACATGCATCAACCCTGTCAGGAGTATCCATCTACATCACTGGGATACTATGACATGCATCAACCCTGTCAGGAGTATCCATCTACATCACTGGGATACTATGACATGCATCAACCCTGTCAGGAGTATCCATCTACATCACTGGGATACTATGACATGCATCAATAGATTAGTGAGCATTTTTCTGAGAGCTGAATCTTCTTTGAAAGGAAAACTTGTGTCTTACCTGTGTCAGGGGTGAGGACACTACAGAATTCACGATTATTCTGCTGGTTCACCTCCGTCTGCTTCTTCTCTATGAACGCATTAATCCTCCTGTCAACCTGGGCACCACAATAGGACACACTGGCTCAGTAATGTAACTGTATAACAACTGCACAGTGAGACCCGCATCGAAGAATGTATTTCTATCAAACATGTTTTTATGTCTTGAATAAGAACACAACTGCATGATTAGAAAATGTGTTTGTGAAAAACAAACATTTTGTTGTTAATCTTGACAAATTTGGTCTTGGGAATATTGAGTATTGTTGCTAAACCCAAAAGTCAGAGTCACATTAACTGATTACAAAATCAAAATGTAACCACTTGAAAAGAACATGCACTTTATTCAAGCCCATTATACAAACCTCTTCTTTGGATGCCTTGATTTGCACATTATAGGGGCTGATCGTTGTTGCAGGCCGTTTGTCAGTTTTTCTACAGTCGCTCTGTGGAGGTAGGACTGATTCTGACATATCAGAGGCAGTGTCTGTAACCATGGAAACAACTGGTGGATCTGTGAGCTCCAGTCCTGGTCTTTGAAGAACTGATGTTTCCATGTCGGTATCTGTGTTTGGCACTTCTGTATTATGGACCTTATCCTGCTTTATCTTCTTTGCCAGATGTGTATGAACTGTCTGAAATTAATAAAGTAAAACTTAGGCCAGCATCTATTCCATGCATAGTAAAGGGTGACATGGGGTGTTGTACCATGATGTAATATATTGAAGTAAGCCAATATCTAAACATGTTGAATTGTTATCACATATTGTGAGATAATCCTGCCAATCTTTTCATTCCAGCATGTTTAATAACTTTTTGTCATCAGTTGGAATATGTAGATGTACCCAGCTGTGAATGGGTACCTCGTAAGGATGGGAAAGCCACACTAACTTGGTGCGCCTAGTGGCTGCAAGAATTGTCTGATCCCTAGGGAGTTGAGATTGATAATACGACGTGCTGTGGAGATTGACATCCAGTGATTGAAGGAAAAACAAAGCGCCTTTGAGCAGCTGAGCTGGATATCGGTGCTATACAAATGTTAGTACAGTAAAATACCTTTATAACGACATCCAGGGGACCACTGAAATTAGTTCGTTATATCCGTAGTTCGCTATTCACTTTTTTATGTGATAATATAAGGTTTATTCGGGACTTTTAAAACAGTTCGCTATAGCAGCCAGTTCGTTATATCCGTGTTCGTTATGAAAGTATTCCACTGTATGCATGTATATGAGTGAGAATGGTTTGATGCTTGTTTGAACAGTATTTCATATATATAGCACAGCATGCCAGTTTGATTCAGGAGAAAAACCCTGTGATCCCAAATTGTAGTGTAACCATAGATATATTGACTTTGTCATTACACAATATATCATGCAACTAACCACAATGTTCCTGGGTTCTTTTATTAAAGACACATCTGAGATGAATACCCTAGTTATTGTCCAAATTACTCTCCCCTATTCAGCAGGGCTTGTAAACAGAGCCATGATGGTAAAGACCTTGTCAAGGATGAAAGCAGTACCTGAAGCTGGTCAATGAGTTTCCCCACAGACAGCATTATGTCCTCCACGGACAGCTGTTGGTCTTGGGACACTTTCAACAAATTCTTCACCTCAAAACCATCACCGACGTCAGACTGGAAGCAGAAAGGATAAATTGCAGTCAACCAGTTGTGTAAAAAGACGGCATATTACAGCATTAGATCCCTTGGTGTAGAGTCATAGGGGCACCTGTCGTCACTATATGAGGGCAATAACACGAAAACAGTAAACTCAGCATCTTCACATATAGTATGATGAAGCATATATTACGACAGATACTCAGGTAGTGCTACTGTCAGGGTACACAGCTGTACTGTACTCATTTGTAAAACCAGGGAGACTATATAGCGGTAGATTGATTATCCCTGGTAAAACATTGAATGTAATGCATAGTCTACAGGGTAGACGTCTTGCTGTCATGAATAATCAACTAATAAACTTAGCTGACTTATTTATATTGTCATATAATTTCAATAATTCACTACGAAACCTTCACCACTGTCTTCAAGAACACTGACAAACACTCAAACACTTCTTCCAAGCTGCCCATGTTGAAAACTCTAAGGGAGGTAACTCTTGTCAACTCTTGATTAGGTGACGACCTCACAACAAAACAAAGGGTGTAGTGCGAAACCAGACAGATGGATATGGATATAGCTAATATTGTTAACGAACATAAAGGTAACACATTTACAAAGATCGTGGATTCTAGAAGAGTTTTGTTTCCGAGTCACAGTTTATTTTCCTTTTACCACATACAAGTATTTGATAAATAATTGCCTTCATCGTTATCTGCTTGTAATCTTCAAATGACATTTTAAGGAGTGGGTCTTTCATCTATCATCATCAATATTGATCATCAAATTTGATTGTTATAGTTTGTGAAATGGTAGACAAACAGTATATTCGTACAAAGGCCATGCAGGAGGCCAGACAGTATAATTTGTAATTCTATTCCCATGAAGTAAGGAATTTGGTATGTATACAGTTTGACATAATGAACATTGCTTCATCATCCCGTGTTGCTTCACGTCCATCAACGTGGTTGAATACCATCGTGGCCCACATTGTCTCCTGTGTGAATTCTTGGTCAGGTGGTCACGTTCTGGACCCGATGATGTTGACCGTTATTCTTGCATTCGATCACTGGTTAGATTATGGCTTAGACGCTGTCGATCACAGAGTCAAACAAAATTCACTCAGTTATAAACTCGCCGATAAGTAGCAAGAAGTGAACAGGTTTTAATATTTTCCCCGCATTGATATCATGGCATATAAATTTGTCGGTAGCCCCGTCAGGAGGCACATGACGTTCAGATAATCGTTGACTGTTAGATTGATGAATACATAATAACAACAAACTTAGACTCAGTCCTTCTTGTTTACATTCCTACATGAATATACACCTGTCAATCAATGAAACAGTCTCAGTGAGGTGCACAGGTATCTGATTCCTCCAGTCTATCTAAACCTGAACAAATGACCTAATCAATGGTGTCTCGGACACACGTGCGGGGTCTGTGTATAGCAGCACGTGTATAACACACTGTGTGTCGACGTCTGTTGCGACCAGAACTCGGATACGACCAGAACTGGGATAACTAATATGGAGAATTATACGTCTTACTGTCAACTATGTATTTAATCGACAAACAATTATTAAGATCAAAATCAGCTGCACAACTCGTGTCCTTTATTTTAACTACTGATTGCTAAAAATGCCAATGGCAGCGCTCCATAGTCGATGTCCGCCATAATAGCTAAATATAGCAGCGCAAAAAATGTAGAAACGTGAAACTGAAACGAAATAGAATTCATTTTCATGCGCTTTACTGTAATTACTCTACTAGCTTAAAATAAGTGAGCGACCAATTAATGTTCCTGGTTGTGGATGCTGAATTTAGGTGTCAGGTTTTTTCATTCATTTTTTATTCATAATGATTCATTCATTCCCAGAAATGGTTACTGCTCAACTTGAAATATGACTTTCTTGCAATATCTAATGATATTTTAAGAGATGAGATGTTATCGCAATGATTCATTTCCGTGCTGTATCCCTGTCGCATCATATCGGCATGTACAGGTCCATACATGGCAAGTAGGAAATAACTTCTGTTTCCCCCTCCAAACGTGTCGTCCGTGACTATGTTCAGTAACGACATCAAACGTCTCCCACAACATCACTACCACTCAGCTGGACGTCTGTAGAGCGACCAGAACTGGGATACGACCAGAACTGGGATAAACAGTCCACAATTTCGTAAAACCCTATTTACTGCAGTACTACTCCCGGTTAACTCTAAAACTTAAGGCGATCTATGCGCGGAATATGATTTAGTTAATGTTTTTGTGAGGAGACACTGAACATTATCAGTTACATATTTCCATATTCCTCTGCAAATATGTAGCTCACATTTAATTTTCCAATATAGGTTGGAAGAACCTTAAGAGTTTCTAATTATTTTTGTACTCGTCAGTTATTCAATCGTTTATATCGTGTGGCAATTCCCACTCAAGCAAACCTCTCATGGTGTACGATGTGTCATTTTCATTAACTTTGTTTGTTTTAGAATCGTTTTTAAATTTTGTCATGTACAAAACATCTCTCTCTCTCTCTCCCCCTCCCTCCCTCTCTCCCTCACTCACACACACACACACACACACACACACACACACACACACACACACACCACCCCTAGTATTTGTGTACAAAATAGATGTCCCTTCTACCTCCCCAGAACAAAATGGGTGACCCCCCTAAAATCATCATCACCCCCCACACCCCCAGCCATAAATTATAAACGGTCCCAAATGTGATTTGTTTGGCTTCAGCTTTGAGCCGTACCCAATACAGCTGAACTATGCAACCAATTTAAAGTAAAGGATCATTTAAAATGCTGCAAATTCGGTCACAAACACCTGAATACGGAAATGTTTTCACAGTTACATAGCTTATTACGACAAAAATCAGAATTATTTCAGAACACAATAGGGTGTTTGAACTATTTCCATTAACGTGGCCGATTATATGATATTTATTACGTGATGTAAATTACATGATGCTTGCATTATAAAACAACAAAGTTAATGAAAATGAAACATCGTACACCATGAGAGGTTTGCTTGAGTGGGAATTGCCACACGATATAAACGATTGAATAACTGACGAGTACAAAAATAATTAGAAACTCTTAAGGTTCTTCCAACCTATATTGGAAAATTAAATGTGAGCTACATATTTGCAGAGGAATATGGAAATATGTAACTGATAATTTTCAGTGTCTCCTCACAAAAACATTAACTAAATCATATTCCGCGCATAGATCGCCTTAAGTTTTAGAGTTAACCGGGAGCAGTACTGCAGTAAATAGGGTTTTACGAAATTGTGGACTGTTTATCCCAGTTCTGGTCGTATCCCAGTTCTGGTCGCTCTACAGACGTCCAACTGAGTGGTAGTGATGTTGTGGGAGACGTTTGATGTCGTTACTGAACATAGTCACGGACGACACGTTTGGAAGGGGAAACAGAAGTTATTTCCTACTTGCCATGTATGGACCTGTACATGCCGATATGATGCGACAGGGATACAGCACGGAAATGAATCATTGCGAAGACATCTAATCTCAAACACTGCTTCCTATGAAGATGAAATATTTGTAGATTCGATTTTCCATTGTCGTTGCCGTATATCCACACAAGTCTCACCATTACCGTATATCCCTAAATGCAGTATTCCACCAATATTCTAGTAATAGTCCAGCAGTATTCCACCACAATTCAGCAATACGAACACAAGGCACGCGCTTTTCATGAATTGAACGCGGTTTTTTTTGCCGTTACGTTACTCTGCAAAATTATCATCAGATATTTCCAACCGCTGTAACTATTCAAACTCTAGGACTGTAGACTTTGGAATATGTGTATTCTATACAATATCCCAACCAGACCTGTGTATGCACTTGTAAACCTAGGTGTCTAATGTGTAATAAAGAATGCGATGACATAGTAAATCACCAACCTGTATATTGTACAGCTTAAACCGATGCAAGAAACATTCTTTGCGAGCATTTATTTGACACATTAAGCCTTCAACAGTACATAAGCATCGAAGACTGAGCAGATGACGAAGTCAAAATTGTGACATTGCTAGGTATAACCCCTATTGTAGAGAATATGAACCTTGGCACGTGGGCTGAATTCAGAGGATGTGTATCACGTGACATAAGCTCCTGGAGCCTGCGATCACTGCTTTATCTATAGACAGTGACTTAATTCTCACCAGAATCATCATGTATGTATACAGAGTATAGAGAGAGAGAAAGACACACACACACATAGTGTACTGTGTTCTACTGCACTTGTGTTTTTAAGTAATGAGTCCAACAACATCCCGTGCAGCCTGCAGTGGTCACCGCGCCACTAGCGGGTCTCATCCAAACATCAGCCTCGTGGGTCTTGTTTCAAGACACTCCAAGTGTTTATGTCAGATTTGATAGCGAAGTAGGCGGGAGTAGCCACAAATCTTCATATACAGTGATAATGGGGTGGAATGTTGGTTGAAAGTATCACTTTAATACGTAGGTTTTGCTTTGATGACATACAACAGTCAGGTCATTGACAAATATCAGAATATAAAGATATGTGGATAACGTAGAGTGACCACTGATGTGGACCGACATGTTCAACATGTAGTAATAGTGTACCTGGTATGGGATGTTTTATTACATTTTTACCCATGCTTACTGTCATGACGTCATTATGTGACCATGTCTTCGTCTCCGCCTGCAGCGCGCACTCTACCACCGACGTCGGGGCTAGACCGGTTAAGCCCTGCGTACAGGGGCGTGTCTCTGTAATCCTGAGTGTTGTGCCATATATGGAATGCGCGAGACCAGTGTTCTTGTAAGTGACTCGCGGATGCGGGCTTCCTATTGCCGGCTATTTACCGTTACTTCTGTGGAATGTCACAACCAGTCACTATTACTGGCAAAACAATACCATTATTTTCCTATCAACAAGCAGCCGACGCCGTATATTCAATTGCTACGGATTGTACACCAACCTCGTATACAGGAGTACCCGGCCATTACATCATAACAGTGATATCTGTCGGGATAAAGACATCATTTAGTCGCCTGAGCTACACAGTTCATCCCATCCTTTGAAAGAGAGAAATCCTTTTCGCTGCATTCAGAGCGTTAAGAGCACGCGGGGTTCACTATATTCATCTGCAATTGCCAGACGATGTCAAGCTCTGGCAAGCGACGAGTTATCAACAAGAACAGAACGCTGAAGGTGACCGTGGTCGGAGACAGTCAAGTGGGCAAGACTTGTTTGTTGCTGACTTACGTGACCAAGAAGTACCCAGCATGCGTTCCGGCGTCCTTCGAGTGGCATCTTGGTGAGTAGACGGAGACCCAGTCTGAGATCACACCTGAAACTACTGATCTAATGATATACGCCATTGAGTAGACGCATAACCAGTCTAAGACTCTTTGGACACTGTATGTATAGAGAGGGATACTCAGTCTGACATGGAATCACATCGGTATCAGACAGTAGCTTATATACACTGAGTAGAAGCGTACCCAGTCACACCATATGCGTATACCTTCGCTGGTACGGAGATATATATCGATAGCTCGCCATTTGACTAGAAGACCCCAGTTTGTCGGGTGCTGCTCCGAGGTGTTGTTCGGCGTTCGGCTTCTCCTTTGCACCAATTGTTCAATCAAATATTGTTGTACATATACATATGGCTGTGGTATATATAACCCTGGTATATGACCGTGCCATATGACTATGGTATATGACCGTGCCATATGACTATGGTATATGACCGTGCCATATGACTATGGTATATGACCGTGGTATATGGCTATCGTATATGACCGTGGTATATGGCTATTGTATATGCCTCTGGTATATGGCTATGGTATATGGCCATGGTATATGGTTATGGTATATATGACCGTGGTATATGGCTATGGTTTATGACCGTGATATATGGCTATTGTTTATGACCGTGGTATATGGCTGTGGTATATGGCCGTGGTATATGGTTGTGGTATATATGACCGTGGTATATGGCTATGGTATATATGACCGTGATATATGGCTATGGTTTATGACCGTGGTATATGGCTGTGGTATATGGCCGTGGTATATGGTTGTGGTATATATGACCGTGGTATATGGTCGTGGTATATATGACCGTGGTATATGGTTGTGGTATATATGACCGTGGTATATGGCTATGGTATATATGACCGTGATATATGGCTATGGTTTATGACCGTGGTATATGGCTGTGGTATATGGCCGTGGTATATGGTTGTGGTATATATGACCGTGGTTTTATGGCTATGGTATATATGACCGTGATATATGGCTATGGTTTATGACCGTGGTATATGGCTGTGGTATATGGCCGTGGTATATGGTTGTGGTATATATGACCGTGGTTTTATGGCTATGGTATATATGACCGTGATATATGGCTATGGTTTATGACCGTGGTATATGACTGTGGTATATGGCCGTGGTATATGGTTGTGGTATATATGACCGTGGTTTTATGGCTATGGTATATATGACCGTGGTATATGACCGTGGTATATGGTTGTGATATATGACCGTGGTATATGGCTGTGGTATATGGTTGTGGTATATGACTGTGGTATATGGCTGTGGTATATGATCGTGGTATATGCCTGTGTAATATGACCCTGATATATGTCTATGGTATATAACTGTGTTATATGGTTGTGATATATGACCGTGGGATATGGCTGTGGTATATGGTTGTGGTATATGACCGTGGTGTATGGCCAAGGTATATGATCGTGGTATATGCCTGTGTAATATGACCCTGATATATGTCTATGGTATATGACCGTGTTATATGGCCGTGGTATATGGCTGTGGTATACGATCGTGGTATATGCCTGGTATATGACCGTGGTATATGCCTGTGTAATATGACCCTGATATATGTCTATGGTATATGACCGTGTTATATGGCCGTGGTATATGGCTGTGGTATACGATCGTGGTATATGCTTGTGTAATATGACCCTGATATATGTCTATGGTATATGACCGTGTTATATGACTATGGCATAGGTATATAGTAAATGATCTTCGCCTACTATCACGTTATATCCAAACATCGACACTAACGTAAGTAACCAAGGCTCGAGGATCTGCACTCTAGAAATCGGGAAAAAACCGCCTTGTGTGAGCATTTGTTGACTGTAACTTCACCATATCCAAGCCAGGCCCGGATGTTATATCACGAGTGTTGATGTGTGATGCATGCTACTAGAATGTCCCATTTAGACGCTACTCAACCATTTCCCTTTGCATTGCCACCACACAATCTACACTCTGCCTCTCCAGCATCTCGCGGATGACAGGGGTGCCGATCCATCAGGTCGCCTGTATAACGGTTCTCCCCTCCAAAACAGCTGATATGAGACCAGTATGATTATATAGTGGGTCACTATGTACATTAACATTTATTAACCACCAACATCGAAAGATATGCTAATATGTTGTGCTGTAATGTCGCTCTAAATTGACAGCCGCCTGCTGATGCTGTGACATTTCCACTGTAGTCGACGCTGCTCGCCCTGTTTACATTGCCTAGAACCAAATACAGCAGCGGACATATTCCACATTAGATCAAGCAGTTAGGGTTTCGACAAAACCAGATTCCCCTCCCTTTCACATTTTTAATGTCCTCAGGATTTGAAAACAAAGACATCAGTGTTAGCTTGGCAAACAAAATCAATTCAGCGGGCCTGCCCGTTTCTATAATATGAAAAATGTCATTTTGATTTTCTTACACATATAATCCTTTGGTTGACACAGTTGAACATAACTTTTGGGAAGTTCTGTCCTTCTAAACCTAACTTGTATGTGTATCGCCAAGAACCCTTTTTCATTTGATTTATTTATGACATACATGTAGAAACATGTTCACGAAACAGTATGTTTTGTATTGGATGATTATACATTATATAATACTTTATCGCCTGCGTACACAATGTATCTTCACAACAGTAATGTATATTAATAATACTTAAAATTCATAAATACATTTCCCAGGGTTATTTCTCAATATGTATGACCTATATTAATATTCCGCTCAAATGGATAAAATATTACAATACCATTAGTGACCCACACCTTTCATTCATTACTGAAGTATGTGAGAGGTGAAGAATGCCAACAGCTGATATACCCTTATGTTACTTCTGTTCCAGCCGGGACCGGTTTCAGCCAGAGCACCTACCCAAACATCCAGGTTGACGGACAGCGTTACGATCTCGACTTCACCGACACTTTGGGACTGGTCAGTACCTTGGACATTGGCTCAATGTCGTGTTATATACATGATGAACCCAGAGTGGTGTTTTGTGTTTGCAGGGTGGTGTGTAGAGTGTGGAGTGTGTAGAATGATTACCCCGACGTCTTCCAGGAGTGGCGACATCTGTGTATCTGTGTCAGAGAACGGGTGTCAGTTTCTCTTGTCTACACAGCTCGTGCAATCCTCACATGCATTTGTTTATTTTTATAAAGAAAAGTAATACGCAGTTGATTTTTTCAAACTGTTCAAGGAAAACATGTCTTCATGTGGTATTACATTACTGGCAAAGGGTAGGCCTGTCTCATGACTCGTCCTTCTGCGTACATCATCTGTGGACTGCCACCGATCCCCTCAACGCGATGACATCGGCGGCCCTGGTTATGGCTGAATGTTGTTTTATTCCGCACCGTCAGCTACAAATGATTGATTCTGTACCGGGCGATTCGCTGGGCGATATCATGACCACCATATCAGACCACAGAGTCGAACCACCCGATCCTCATTCTAGTCTGCTCTTACAGCAAGCACGGGGATAAAAGGACACATAGGTTGCCCTCGTTACATGATCAATGCTTTGTTTTTATAAAAGATTCTCTTAAGAAACGTAAAATACATTAAAAATGTAATTTAAAAAATTATGTTCTCGAGTCTTATTTCTCTTAAATATTTAAATTTTGATAGAAACAAAGAATTCCATCTTAACTGAAAAGAAGGTACTAGTGAGGTCAACCTGCACAACGTGACAGGCTTGCTTCATATAGGTCTTTAACACTGCAGTAAGGGTGGAGGGAAACAACATGGTTCAGGAACAGTCACACAGACTGGATGCAGTCAATGTAAACATTGAATCCTTTCTATATACTTTTCGTCATTGTTTCAGGACAGTTCCCTGTCTCTACGGCTGCTGGAGTATATGACCACTGATGTGTTCGTCGTCTGCTTCGACATTTCCTGTCCTGAATCTTTTGAAAATGTGCGGGAAAAATGGATGCCGGAAATCCGGTCTGCTCAGCCTGAGATCCCAATAATCATAGTTGGTACCAAACTAGACCTACGGAACAATTCCGATGTGAAGTCGGGCTTAGCCGAGATCGGGAAAAAGCCCGTTTTGCACGAGGAAGGTCAGAGGTTGGCACGTGAGTTGAAGGTCGTGGACTATGTCGAGTGTTCGTCTCTTAATAACGATGGCGTCAGGTCAGTGTTTCTGACAGCTGCGCACGCAGCTTGTATGGCAAAGAAGAGCCGGGTTGGTGGAGGTGAAAGTGAGAAAGAGGAGGACTGCTGCAGGTGTGTCATACTATGAACGGGATCTTACGCGGAATTTCTTATCGAAAACCAACACATTCAATAGCAACATTCCGTCGCCCTTCCCGTGGAAGTCGATACCATCACTCGGCTCCTTCAATGACGTGTTAATAAACTGGATGTTCCAGGCGTTCGTCTGTAGGATCGGTTTCTGGGCTTGCCAAGTCTGGATTTGCTTCAATAAGCTGTCCCTGTTAAACATTCATGGGGGATCATCCACATTGTAGAAGTCCATTGACTCCAGTAGGTAATATCCGAAGTAGCCTACAGCCAATCGACCATTTTAAACATATATTATACTAGTATTTGGGATTACACTTTCTCTGTAAAGTACAGATTCTAGTACTTGTTTTGGGTTGAGTCCCATCCGGGATTCTAAAATGGCATGGTGTATTTCACAACCATTTGAATGTGAGAATGCAGTAGCTTCCAATGTATTATAATACCGTGTAAATAGTGTCTCCTGTACCGTTAGTCTTCAGGGCTCGTGTTTCGGTAAACACTAAACAGTGGGTCCATTCCTTTGGTTTCCTCGATCCCAACCCGTTGATTTCATCAACCAGTTTATTTTGCCAAGCTACTCGGTCTAACGGACCAGTAAGAATGCGGGTTGCAAAGAAGCCCCAATGATTACACTGACTGACACGCTAACGAAAGCCCTCAATAAATTTCTTGATGGAAAAAATGCGTTAAAACGAGTTGGCGAGTCCCGATGCTAGCAAGCACTGCCTGTAATGTAATGCAACAGGAATGGACCCAGGGCTTGGTGAGGTTTACCGACATGCAAGGCACCAAGAAAAAGAGGACTGACTGAGTTTGGTTTTACGCCGCTTTTAGCAATATTCCAGCTACATCACGGCGGGGGACACCAGAAATGGGCTTCACACATTGTACCCATGTGGGGATTCGAACCCTGGTCTTCGGCGTGACGAGCCAACGCTTTAACCACTAGGCTACCCCACCGCCCCAGATAAAGAGGACGATGATGAGGTTATAATGTGTCTGACGTTATTTTTTCATATACAGTATATTACGTTTGAATTCATATTGGAAACAGGAACTGGTTCCAGTCGGATTAGCTTGGTACGTATCCTTTACACCGAAAGTCTGTGTGAACACCACAACAAATTTGTAGGTACTTTCTATGGCCAATATCGACGTATAGCCTGTATCATCATCGACGTCACAGTAATCTTTGTCATCATCGACGTCACAGTAATCTTTGTCATCATCGACGTCATTGTAGCCTCTGTCAATAACAAGCATCTGAGTGAGTGAGTTGGTTGTATTTCACGCCGCTTTTAACAATATGTCAGTTCAGTCATGTGCCAGGTCAAAGTTTAAGCAAAGGCCGAAGTGATGCAGATGTGTGACGTTTACTACGAAATAGGTGCTAACATGAAACATCGTGATAACAAACCAGTGACCACTATCAGACAAAGACTGGAATCGACCACAGGATCCTGGTGAATCTAAGGGATACAACTCTGTACAGAGCGTTAAGTTCACTGACCTTCACCCAAGACAATATTGTTTCATATGAAGAAGACGTCTGATTTATGTGAAACCGATTAAACGATAAAGTATTTATGCTTTCTTTGTTTGTCTTTAAATTCTATCAGTGGACGATCTATCTTATGCCACAGTCGGCACCTGTAAATGAGATATCTAAGTGAGATATATCAGGTATGTGTTACATTCCTGCCTGTATGACATATACTAACTGTAGCTCCCTCCCAATTTCAGACAGCAGGCGTTGTATATTAACATGAAGCAAAGCACTGTGCATGAAATTATGTGCACAATGAACTTACTCACTTTTTGCATGCATTTTGACACCTGAAAGTCAAACACCAGATATTGAAAATTGAAGAACCGTTGATTATTCTCTAGCCTCTGAATGTTGTGGAAAGCACGTAAACGGAACCGACTGAGGGAACACAACATCCGGCCTCGACGGCCTCCAATACGTCTAACTTTGCTCCCATGTCACTCGTGTTGTGACACATTTCCTCAGACAGCAGAACATTCCGGTACTCTCCTGGCCAGCTACATTTCTCGGGACCTGTCCCCCATCGAGCATGCTTGGGATGAAATGGAGAGACGTTTACGTCAAGCCCAGAATCAGCCATTGGCGTAAGTTGAGTTGGTTCAGACATGGAACAACATTCCCCAAGCTTTCTTCAATCGCTTAGTGTCGTCTATGCGATGCCTGCATCAACAGGAATCCTGAATATGTGAACTGACCGATATAATCCTGTCAACAGTAAAAAGTGATTAAGAAAAACACCGCAAATCATGTTATTATCTTTTTGCATTAAAATGGCATAACATGAAATAATGCATAGTTTTCAGAATTAGTGTTTGATTGTTACAATTTCGCCATTTAAATGCCGGTTTGTGTACATGGAAGGAATGCACAGCACAAAAACGCATCTTCGGAAACATTAATGCATGTTTACGTTCGAAAGTGTCAATTTGCAGGAAAATGTCAGAGAGAAGAGGTGGTCTGTAATGTGCAGGTGCAGCGCTGGGGAATGTCGAGGAGGGACATTGCCTATATAAGGCCGTTTTGTTTTTAGACGGTCATTCGCCCTATTTAGCTAAATGAAAGAATATCGTTATGTCGGGACTCACTGCCATTGGACGTCTGGAGGCCGGGGAGTCTCAATCTGGCGTTGCACGTCACTCCAGTGTTTACCAGAGTACCATCAGTCGTTTATAGGACCGATATCATCAAACCAATTCTACGCAAGCTCGGCCTCGAAGTGAGTAGATCTCGTATTACAACTGAAGCGCGGTATACGTACATCCGGGTACTTCATTTGCGGAATCGAACTGTCACAGCAACTGTAACTGCAGTAATCGTTTACGAGAAGCTGGACTTGGAGCCAGAAGACTTTATTTTGGCCCTGTGCTGCGACGGCTACATCGACGTCGACGGTTCCAATGGCACAATAACATTCCATTCTGGAATCCACAACACTGGCGACGTGCGTGGTTCAGTGACGAATCTTGCTTCAGTGCCGTGACGGAAGACGTTTTCCCAAGATTTTCGTCGCCCACGTTGACCGATATGGTGGTGAGAGTGTCATAATGTGCCATATCCAACACGCAGAAATCTAACTTTCTGCGCCTTCAAGGAAATTTTACTAATACGTTGTATTATGTACAAAATCTTAAGGATTCACATGGTTCCGATCATTGACCGCAAGGGGAAGTTGTTCCAGCATGATAGTGCCAGGTCTCACAAGGCACATGCCACTATTCAGTATCTTCACACAGCACATGCCACTATTCAGTATCTTCAGCATGAGAACATTACAGTGCTTCCATGGCCTTCCAAATCGTCCAACCTCCACCCCATCGAGCTCTTGTGGGATGACCTCGTACGTGATGTGTAGGCGAACGTCAACAGGCGCCCCTGACGTTAGATCAATTTCGCTGGCCAGAATAACACATGGTCCTGATTATATATATATCATATACCACGGCGATATGACAGATACATACTGCCGGCTGTCGGATACAAGTACCAATGTTATTCGATAGACGTCAACGCAGCATTAAAGATGCATACATGGAATGGCAGAGCGGCATCAGATAAATACACCAGACAGATAATCCACGATTGTATGATGGATACGTCATATTGGTATGACAGATACTCCACGACTGTCTGATACATATATTACGGCTATATGATAGATAATCCCTGCCTGACTGACAGTTAAAACATGCCTCAGGTGGTATGACAGATATACAGCTATCTCACAGGTATATCATGACGGTACGACAGATATATCTGTGCGGAAAACACACACGGGCATTAATCACGCACCACTAACATGTTGTTTTTTTATAGATAAGTACGAAAACACAACATGTTGTACATGTTTTGAAAACCAAATTCCTCGTATTAAAATGGTAAATCAACATTTTCACTCTGATTAAAACGAAAATAAAGCTGAAATTGACATTTTGTAACTATTTACACTCACAATTTACTAAAAAGAGTGAAAATCAACAATGCTGGAAAATATGGTCACCGTGACTCCGCCACCAATCTGCTTGTCACACAGTGTTCGAAATAGCCACTGGCCCGCTAGCCAGTGGCTAGTAAAAATCCAGTCGGGACTGTAAATCTCACAGTCACTGGCCCGACTGGCTAGTGACTTTTCATGGGGTCATTTTGTAAATATATCACTCTCTCCGACTTGTTAAGTTATGATACACTTTTAAATCATGCAATATTATGGCCTAATAAAAATGTTCATCATATCAGCAGCTTAATGATGAAACCCGTGTCTACATTCAGATTTCGGGCTTGTGAATTATGTTCTGGGCTAGTAACTTTCAGGCATAGCTAGCCCGAATGGCTAGCACAATTTGGAAACTATTTCGAACACTGTTGTCACATAGCTATCAAATACATAGCTCTCAAATACATAGCTCTCCTCACACTGGCAGTCAAGCGTCAAATTCTCAGCATCGGAATCCTCCGCTATTCCTCATGGAGTGCCAGTGTTAGTTCCTGCAGTTTTTGAACAGCTCAAACTTGGCGTCCAATATTGCCCCAAAGATGTTCCAGAATTTCATATCGGGGCGGTAATGTATTGATGGCGTCCATGAATATCGGACGACTGGCAAGGGGGTGGCAATCAAAATGTGGTTCAACGGCGGTACCTAGTACTTTCTGTTGATAACATTGACTATTTAGTGTTGCAGTCACACGAAACTGACCCACACCATCACTGAGGCATCACCAAAGGGTTCCGCTGCACGGATCATCTTTATATCCCACACCGGCAGTGTAGAAGGCAGCAACCGTCATCAGACCAATGTCCCTATGTCCTCAAGTGGCGGTTATCTGTCCACGTAAGGCGTTCCTGTCTGTGTGTACCTGGGAGGAAGAAACGTGTGACCGGGAGACGTCTGACCGGGAGACGTCTGATCGGGGGACGTATGACCGGGGGACGTCTGATCGGGGGACGTCTGACCGGGGGACGTCTGACCTGGAGACGTGTGACCGGGGAGACGTCTGACCGGGGGACGTCTGACCGGGAGACGTCTGACCGGGGGACGCCTGATCGGGGGACGTCTGCTCGCACGACGTTCCCACAAACCAGTAGCAGGCAGCCTCCTTCTGGTGGTACTGGTCACGGAGAATCGGACAGTTTTTCGGCCTGGGTCATGTGGTATTGCGTCTGGCCAGACGGACACCACGGTCATTGTTCTTCCTCAGTCTTCCAGGTCTTCGCTTTACAAGCAGACTAATCTCCGTGTGGTTCATGTTCAAGTTGGAACCAATGTTGAGACAGGATTACGGCCTTCCCGCTAATAACTTGCATTCGTGTATTAGATGAAAGTGTACTTCTTGTCATACCATTTTTAGTACTTCCGTCTGTTAAATCAGTTCAGAAAACTGTACTGCACATATTGCAATTTTAAAATCTTAACCCAAACGTGCAATGTGCCTTCACAGCAAATGAACATGCGACCAACAGCTTTTGAGATATTGTGTGAAGGACGTGTTTTACATGTGCATTCCAGTATGCGAGGGTATGTATGTACGCCTGTTTGGACCAAGGCTTTAAATGGCCCTTGGATTAGGGTGGAGCTTAATCATTGCTCGAGTGTATATCACGACGTTCCCATATCTGTACCACGTTGGTGTGTCATGCGACTCATGTCTAGTATCTATTCCGGCCATCATTTGGTTTCATGCCGCTTGTAGTATTTACCAATACATGTCTTGCAGTATTTACCAATACATGTCTTGCAGTATTTACCAATACATGTCTTGCAGTATTTACCCATACATGTCTTGTAGTATTTACCCATACATGTCTTGCAGTATTTACCCATACATGTCTTGTAGTATTTACCATTACATGTCTTGCAGTATTTACCAATACATGTCTTGCAGTATTTACCCATACATGTCTTGCAGTATTTACCAATACATGTCTTGCAGTATTTACCCATACATGTCTTGTAGTATTTACCAATACATGTCTTGCAGTATTTACCAATACATGTCTTGCAGTATTTACCCATACATGTCTTGCAGTATTTACCCATACATGTCTTGCAGTATTTACCCATACATGTCTTGCAGTATTTACCAATACATGTCTTGCAGTATTTACCCATACATGTCTTGCAGTATTTACCCATACATGTCTTGCAGTATTTACCAATACATGTCTTGCAGTATTTACCAATACATGTCTTGCAGTATTTACCCATACATGTCTTGTAGTATTTACCCATACATGTCTTGCAGTATTTACCCATACATGTCTTGTAGTATTTACCAATACATGTCTTGCAGTATTTACCCATACATGTCTTGCAGTATTTACCAATACATGTCTTGCAGTATTTACCAATACATGTCTTGCAGTATTTACCAATACATGTCTTGCAGTATTTACCAATACATGTCTTGCAGTATTTACCAATACATGTCTTGCAGTATTTACCAATACATGTCTTGCAGTATTTACCCATACATGTCTTGCAGTATTTACCAATACATGTCTTGCAGTATTTACCAATACATGTCTTGCAGTATTTACCAATACATGTCTTGCAGTATTTACCAATACATGTCTTGCAGTATTTACCAATACATGTCTTGCAGTATTTACCAATACATGTCTTGCAGTATTTACCAATACATGTCTTGCAGTATTTACCAATACATGTCTTGCAGTATTTACCCATACATGTCTTGCAGTATTTACCCATACATGTCTTGCAGTATTTACCCATACATGTCTTGTAGTATTTACCCATACATGTCTTGCAGTATTTACCCATACATGTCTTGCAGTATTTACCAATACATGTCTTGCAGTATTTACCAATACATGTCTTGCAGTATTTACCAATACATGTCTTGCAGTATTTACCCATACATGTCTTGCAGTATTTACCAATACATGTCTTGCAGTATTTACCAATACATGTCTTGCAGTATTTACCAATGCATGTCTTGCCGTATTTACCAATACATGTCTTGCAGTATTTACCCATACATGTCTTGTAGTATTTAGCCATACATGTCTTGCAGTGAGTATTGCATGTGAGTTTCCTTGGGTCCCTCGGGTCCTGTTTCAACACTCGGTGCCACTGACTAGAGTACTCCTATTCGGGCAGAAAGAGAGCAGGGGATAACAGCATTCGGGCAGAAAGAGAGCAGGGGATAACAGCATTCGGGCAGAAAGAGAGCAGGGGATAACAGCATTCGGGCAGAATGAGAGCAGGGGATAACAACATTCGGGCAGAAAGAGAGCAGGGGATAACAACATTCGGGCAGAAAGAGAGCAGGGGATAACAACATTCGGGCAGAAAGAGAGCAGGGGATAACAACATTTGGGCAGAAAGAGAGCAGGGGATAACAACATTCGGGCAGAATGAGAGCAGGGGATAACATTCAGACAGAAAGAGAGCAGCCGATAACAAAGTTCAGACAGAAAGAGAGCAGGGGATAACAACATTCGGGCAGAATGAGAGCAGGTGATAACAACATTCGGGCAGAATGAGAGCAGGTGATAACAACATTCGGGCAGAAAGAGAGCAGGGGATAACAACATTCGGGCAGAAAGAGAGCAGGGGATAACAACATTCGGGCAGAAAGAGAGCAGGGGATAACAACATTCGGGCAGAAAGAGAGCAGGGGATAACAACATTCGGGCAGAAAGAGAGCAGGGGATAACAACATTCGGGCAGAATGAGAGCAGGGGATAACAACATTCGGGCAGAAAGAGAGCAGGGGATAACAACATTCGGGCAGATGAGAGCAGCTGGTAACAACGTTCAGACAGAATAAGAGCAGTTGATGACATATAGACAGAAAGAGAGCAGGTGATAACAACATTCGGGCAGAATGAGAGCAGGTGATAACAACGTTCAGACAGAATGAGAGCAGGTGATAACAACGTTCAGACAGAATGAGAGCAGGTGATAACATTCAAACAGAAAGAGAGCAGCCGATAACAAAGTTCAGACAGAAAGAGAGCAGGGGATAACAACATTCGGGCAGAATGAGAGCAGGGGATAACAACATTCGGGCAGAATGAGAGCAGGTGATAACAACATTCGGGCAGAATGAGAGCAGGTGATAACAACATTCGGGCAGAATGAGAGCAGGTGATAACAACGTTCAGACAGAATGAGAGCAGGTTATAACATTCAGACAGAAAGAGAGCAGTGATAACAACATTCGGGCAGAATGAGAGCAAGTGATAACAACATTCGGGCAGAATGAGAGCAAGGGGAGTGCACCGACTCGTCACATGGAAGCGTTGTGGTGTCTTAACACCAACACAGCCGTCGGCTGCACGCTGCCCGGCTACGTTATCAACTCACAGCGTAACACTAGGATAACACTGCTGCACGTTGCCCGGCTACGTCCTCAACTCACAGCGTAACACTAGGATAACACTGCTGCACGCTGCCCGGCTACCTTATCAACTCACAGCGTAACACTAGGATAACACTGCTGCACGTTGCCCGGCTACGTTATCAACTCACAGCATAACACTAGGATAACACTGCTGCACGCTGCACGGCTACGTCATCAACTCACAGCGTAACACTAGGATAACACTGATGCACGCTGCCCGGCTACGTTATCAACTCACAACGTAACACTAGGATAACGCTGCTGCACCCTGCCCGGCTACGTTATCAACTCACAGCGTAACACTAGGATAACACTGCTGCACGCTGCCCGGCTACGTCCTCAACTCACAGCGTAACACTAGGATAACACTGCTGCACGCTGCCCGGCTACCTTATCAACTCACAGCGTAACACTAGGATAACACTGCTGCACGTTGCCCGGCTACGTTATCAACTCACAGCATAACACTAGGATAACACTGCTGCACGCTGCACGGCTACGTCATCAACTCACAGCGTAACACTAGGATAACACTGATGCACGCTGCCCGGCTACGTTATCAACTCACAACGTAACACTAGGATAACGCTGCTGCACCCTGCCCGGCTACGTTATCAACTCACAGCGTAACACTAGGATAACACTGCTGCACGCTGCCCGGCTACGTTATCAACTCACAGCGTAACACTAGGATAACACTGCTGCACGCTGTCCGGCTACGTTATCAACTCACAGCGTAACACTAGGATAACACTGCTGCACGCAGTCCGGCTACGTCCTCAACTCACAGCGTAACACTAGGATAACACAGCTGCACGCTGCCCGGCTACGTTATCAACTCACAGCGTAACACTAGGATAACGCTGCTGCCAAATCTGACAAAAACGGATCTTAGGATCAGTATAAGCACTTCGTCCCCCTGTAACAATGTGTGCCGATATTACGTTGTAAGCGCCATATAATCCCCGCATGCCGGCTGTATCCTCCGAGCTCGTGCTCACTGCTGTGACGTTTCCTTAGGATAAATCGCCTTTCATTCTCCCTCGTTACACCTATTCAACCGATTACGCCTGTCGTCATTAAACTACCATTAAGGGCAGTTGTTGTTGTGAAGATCACAGTTTAACTTCTCATTCTCAGCAGGAATATTTCACAATCTATTTTGGGAAAACCTCTCCCCATGTTGTCTACAAACAAACTCTTTTTCTACCTGTTTCTTTCCTTCAGTTTATCAGCATGTTCGTCTCGTGACCCCCTTTAGCACGTCCAACTTTCCCAGGCCGCAAGTACTCGCGTAATGAACTTGAATGGGACGAATGTGTACCCACTAAACACGTAGTCCCATTATGTTTACATCACTTTCTTGTAAAGGGGCGTGTCCAAGGCGACTGGGACATAAATGAAAACTGAGAATGCTTGTGGATGTGACACACGTGTAAGTGCGTGAGTCCCTGCGTGTGTTTGCGCGTGCGCGTGTATGACATTCATGGTGTGTAACATTGTTCTGTGTTGTGTGTAGGTTGAGTGTTGGAATGTTAATCCCGGTGTTTGTGGACGAGAGGGTGGCGAGAAGCTTCCCTGCTTGTCCCGGAGACACTGGCGTGGTGTGAGATCTTACAGGGGGCACCTGCTTGTGTTTGTCTCCGTATTAAACCCAGCGCCCGTCTTGGTACAAATTGTCTCACGAAAAGCTTCTAATGTATTAAACCTTCCCCTTTGTTCAAATATGGCTACAAGTGCGGGTGACATGTTACCCAATATCCATTAGCAGCTGAAGGAGAAGAAAGAGTATTATGTCGGCAGATACCGAACAATTTCCCATTGTGGCCATAACAAATATTTAGAATAAGTCGCGCCAGCCCTCAGCCTTCTTCAGCTTTGGTTGTAATGGCGTAGACGGAAACCATGGTGGATGTATGTGGCCCGGTGATGTTGATACCGGGACCCCCTCCCCCATCATACTGCCCTCCCTCTACAGACCCCCACCTCCGCCATCTCACTGCCCCTCCCTCTACAGACCCCCACCTCCACCATCCTACAGCCCCTCTCCCCTTAAAGCTTAAAACACCTCTTCTGGAGAAAGTAGAATGCCAAGCTGATTGTCATCACAACAGCAGTTTGTGTACAATGGTACTGGAGTATGGTTTAACGAAATGATCAAAGGGGTGAGCAAATGTTTTAGAAACTGAATGAAGGATTAATTGTCGGAAACAACCCATCTGTAGAAACTCTGATATAGTTGAATAAACTCCTCAGCTCCGCGCCCCGCTATATGACAACACATGTTCACTGCCTGGATCCCAACACCATCTCACTGCTCAGCTGTAGTAGCGTCATAAAGCCCGGCCTGAAGTATCGCGAGACTGCGTCACGACACAAGCCTCAGTCAGCTACACAGCGGCAGCCAGGGGACACAGACGGAGGGGATGGCAGCAGGCAAGCAGTACACAGTGACATGCACGGCGGTGGGGGACGGGGGAGTCGGCAAAACATGCCTCATGCTCACTTTCTTAACAGGAAAATACCCGGAGTCCTATCTCCCTGGATCCATGGACTGGCACAACGGTAAGTTAAACTTGCCTCTCTACATCTAACACTTTGACTTGTTTAACCACCTTTCTACATGATTCCGTAATCATGTTTCTCATTATTCAAAGTTCCCTGAGTCACTAATGTCGCGTGGTTAATAGGTGCTGACAGTAGGTAATTACTGTAATTATTGCACAAATTATAAACTGATCTCTTTATTACAACAATGGAACATGTTGTTTTATTACAACATCTACAGAAAGTAGGTTTTACTGAGTTCTCTTCACATTTCACATGTATAAGTCAGCCGCGCCTAGAGTGATAAACATCATAAACAAGTCTATATTTATATACATGTATACAAATGACACATCAACAACTCCACGGAGAAACTCCCTTTAGAAAAATGTAACGCTTTATAAACTTCCCGTCCGCAAACATACATTAGCATAAGGATACAGCAGCGACCGCTTGTGAATAGTAATAAGATAAAAGCACTGAAGCCGCATAAAGCCCCGAACAGCTGGTCTGGGAGCTGTGTGGAGTTATTGACAGGATAAATATCAAAACACACTCTCATTGATTTCCCTTGTATCCACGTAATCTTGTAGCTGTTGTATAAAGATTGTGTCAGCACAACTGCGGTGCATGTCTGGTGACGTCACATCAAGACCATTAAAATATATGTGATTAATACAATATGTTGTTGTCAAAGGTTAAAGTGCCACTTACTGTATGGCTATTGTTTATGTGTTCAAAACACTCATGTTGTATCGTTCAGCTACAACCGAGGCACTTGTTGACATGTTGTATTAATCCAGCATACCACGTGGCATGTTGTACTATTGTTGTATACATGGAATACATTCTGTAACACCCTACACATGGTGGCAAGCCCTGACCAGTCCACAGACAGACCGTTCCCACCAAGTACCATAGTAACCGGACCTAAGCTTGCCCACCATTGCCGAGTATTTCCCCTCAGACTACAGGAATGCTAATAGCTGTGAAGTGGCCGGCCAGCTCACGTAACTTGGCGTAATAGCCCCGATTTGGACAAAACCAACTGTATGACTAACATGTTTTATTATGACAAACTGACATATATGACATATATTGTACATACAAAATGAACATATTCTATGGCGTCGTGTCTCCCCGATGTGTCTGTTCCAGATAAGCCTGTTATGTAGTGTGATTACATGCATGGCTTAACGCAGCGCCGTAGTGGCAATGGCGATAAGAAGTTTTCTATAATGTAAAAGCGTTGATGTGAACAGAAATGTTTTTGCGTTATTAAAAAAGTTCCTCTAAAAACGGGAAACTACTGTATTTATCGTCAGGAGATTAATGTGTAGATTAGATACGGAATTTCCGTACACTATGTTTAAAATCATCCCTTTGCAACACAACCTAGGTTGATATAAGTTAATCCAGCCGTTGTTTGTCCATGCTACAAGTGTCACTTGCCGTCTAATTACCTATCAAATATTGCACCATCCTTCGCAGCTGCAGACTTCAAAATGATTTCCTGTGTGATAACAATTTATAACCCTACGTCCCCAATCAATAATAGGGATATCCCAGAGATGTTCATAGGAGCAATCTGATAGCATTCCCGCCAATTTGGGCAACAGACGACAGTTTCCGGCGAATGGCCACCTGTTGTGGGGTCTTGCAGTAAGGATGCTCCACACTGTAGGGGATGTGTCCTTATCTTCTAAAACCTGCTTGTCCCAGGTTGTCGTGTGGCGCGTGGCCCTCGCACCCAGCTGGTAACTGTCGCGTGCAGCCCGGAACACTGCTCCAATTACACACACACGTGACCCAGAGCATTCCTGAGTATTTAATGATATGGCTCTCTATAAAAAACACAGGACGTTAATTTTGTCGAACAATGGTGCGTTGTTACTGAAATACTCTGTATGAAATAGCTCTTAATTACACAGTGAAATATGAGATGTGTGCAGTGACATTTTAATGTAGTTTTTGGTAACAGTAGGAAAACCCAAACCACATGTTAGTGACATGTTTTAATCACAAGAGTCTTAATAGGGAAATTTGTACTTCTAAAACACCGCATGGTTCAGTTCACAAGACAATGTAATGTACAATTTAGTTCTTCACATCCTTATTGTTATATTTAGGAATAGGTAGGTACATGTCTGATCTGCCTGCATGCTACACATTATACTGGTTCGTAATTTGTTGTGTGTGCGTGCGCGCGCTAGTACTAGCCCTGACTGTAGCCAGTTTCAGCCTTCTGAGCTACCATGTCTAAGCTGAACATTGACACACCAGCCACACAGTGTACTGGCTCTGACTGAAGCCAGTTTCAGCCTACTGAGCTACCATGCCTGAGCTGAACATTGACACACCAGCCACACAGTGTACTGGCTCTGACTGAATACAGTTTCAGCCTACTGAGCTACCATGCCTGAGCTGAACATTGACACACCAGCCACACAGTGTACTGGCTCTGACTGAAGCCAGTTTCAGCCTACTGAGCTACCATGCCTGAGCTGAACATTGACACACCAGCCACACAGTGTACTGGCTCTGACTGAAGCCAGTTTCAGCCTACTGAGCTACCATGCCTGAGCTGAACATTGACACACCAGCCACACAGTGTACTGGCTCTGACTGAAGCCAGTTTCAGCCTACTGAGCTACCATGCCTGAGCTGAACATTGACACACCAGCCACACAGTGTACTGGCTCTGACTGAAGCCAGTTTCAGCCTACTGAGCTACCATGTCTGACACACCAGCCACACAGTGTAGCTGAACATTGACACACCAGCCACACAGTGTACTGGCTCTGACTGGTATGTCATTGCTGAACATCATATTTGGACTAAGCCAGAAGGGCAATGCCATCGTGGCAGCCAGGTCAGACTGGAAGTGTTTGGCTGTGGGAATGTGGCAACTAACCCACCACTTTTGTCCTTTCTTGTGATTGTGTATATCTATATATTTCAGAGTTTGCCCACGTGACTCGAGAGCCGGTCAAGTTTGAATATGAAGGGACATCCGTCTCCCTGAACCTCGTGGACACAGTTGGACTGGTAGGTTATGAATAGAGTGTCTGATGTATACAGCAGTGTGTCCGTTGTATATAGCAGGGTGTCTGGTGTCTGATGTATACAGCAGGGTGTCTGTTGTATATAGCTGAGTGTCTGTTGTATATAGCTCGGTGTCCGTTGTATATAGCAGGGTGTCCGTTGTATATAGCTGGGTGTCCGTTGTATATAGCTGGGTGTCTGTTCTATATAGCTGGGTGTCCGTTGTATATAGCAGGGTGTCTGTTGTATATAGCTGGGTGTCCGTTGTATATAGCTGGGTGTCCGTTTTATATAGCAGAGTTTATATAGCTAGGAGTGTCTGTTGTATATAGCTGAGTGTCTGTTGTATATAGCTGGGTGTCTGTTGTCCGTTGTATATAGCTGGTGTGTCCTGTTGTATATAGCTGAGTGTCTATATAGCTGGTCCGTTGTCCGTTGTATATAGTCCGTTGTATATAGGTGTCCGTTGTATATATAGTGTCTGCTCGGTGTCCGTTGTATATGTATATAGCTGGGTGTCCGTTTTATATAGCTGAGTGTCTGTTGTATATAGCTGGGTGTCCGTTGTATATAACAGGGTGTCTTGATGTATATAGCAGGGTGTCTGTTGTGTATAGGTGGGTGTCTGTTGTGTACAGCTGGGTGTCCGTTGTATATAGCTGGGTGTCTGTTGTATATAGCTGGGTGTCCGTAGTATATAGTTGGGTGTCTGTTGTATATAGCTGGGTGTCTGATCCATATAGCTGGGTGTCTGATAATAAGATACCCACACTATATATTCGGATGTTCATCGTGAATATCAAGGTATCACGAGTATACTGAGCAGTATCCATGGTATACAGCAAGGTAACCATAATCTAGGACAGGCTACCAACATAATATAAGCGCATCCCATAACATGGCAATATGTCCCCAGTACAGTATAAGCAGGGTACCGACAACATACAAGGTACCCATATCGAAAACAGGGTATCCATAATATATAGCAGAATATCCTCAGTATACAAAGGGCCATTCAATAGTATATAGCGGGAGTATCCATGTTATCTAGTACGTCAGCTCCAGTATATAGCTGAGTATATAACAGGGGGAATGTGGGTGTCCCTGTATTGCCTGCTGACCCCACCGTATCCAGTGTTGTAGATGTGAGGTTCCTCGCTTAGAATGGCAATAATCACATTCATAACCGTATCACGGTGATTTCACCACTTCCGCATTCCGTTTACAGCACAGAGACGTTTTGAATGTACCGTATTACCCGGTAACACTTCCTTTTGTAGAAATTGGAACAGCCGAAAACTGTAGTAATGTGAATGAACATTTCATGGTTACCATGACAACGTCGTTCTTTATACCTCCACCTTCCTTGAACATTGTGTCAAAAGTGTAACTCAGCCTGAAGAATAAGTTTCCAGTTTGTTTACTTTGACAACGGGGCGGTGGGGTAGCCTAGTGGTTAAAGCCTCCGCTCGTCACGTGCAAGTCCCAGGTTCGACTCCCCACATCGGTACAATGTGTGAAGCCCATTTCTGGTGTCCTTGGTATTGCTGGAATATTGCTACAAGCGGCGTAAAACACCATACTCTTATAATCTGATAACCTGACGATCGCCCGCACGTATTCCGGTCAAACCTGACCGGTGGTTGATAGTATGAACACCGCTGTTACACACGACGAAGCAAGTCACCGAGCCCGACTACCCACAGATTGCTGGAAGAGCGTTACGATAGAATCATCGGTAGTCACGAAACCGGCAATCGACGTTAGGATTCCATTAAAAACAAACTATCTACATGTTTTAGGTAACGGTTATTTTGTACACGTATATACACGCGGCGCTAGCTCGCCTAACTCAAGCTGAACTCTAAAGGACGGTATGCGAGACTAATACGGTAGTTTAAAAGTGTCCGGCAGTTAAACTGCGAAAAGCATAACTTGTTATCACACACACATGTAGATTAGATTACCGCAAGTCCATAAGGAAATAACTAATAACTTACATCATAATTCTCACAGATTGTGTCTAGTCTACATGAGTGAATATATTATACATAGTAGTTATATATATACTCATGCCAATAATGGTTGTCAACCGCCTCCCCACCCCAACCCTCCACCTCGCTCCAATTAAAAAAATTGAAGGGGGGTGACAACCATTATTGGCATGAGAATACATAGTTAATTTGTGAGCATTTACGACTGAAAACTCCCATTATTGCGCACGCACGCACACACACACAATCCGCACATGTACACAGACTCTGGCCTCCTGTCAGAAACTAACAGTATCATCCGACGCACCAATCACAACCAACCCGAGTATTCATAAGCCCAGACATGTAATTCGAAACCGTGAGCATAACGAGTGATTGAGTAAGTAAGTATAGCAATATTCCAACACTATCACGGAACACCAGAACTCGGCTTCACACATTGTTGAATGGAACATGGGTTATTGGCGTGCGGGGGAACGCTTTAACCACTAGGCTACCAAATCGCCCCAGTTTAAATGATAACTATTTTATTTATTTTCTGGTTCAAACAATTTTATTGTATTTATGCACATCAGTGCGAGTTGTGACACGCGGCAATGAAACATGTCGGATGTTTGACGTCAACAGCAAGGTGTGCATGGTCAAACATTTGACGTAAATACATGTACCAGGTTATCCCGGATCGCTGCTCGAGCTCTACAGATGAACTTAGTAAATGATTTTAATAACATATTTAATAGGCTCACGATTTCTCGGGCGAGATAAGAAAATCAACAAAATATTTTCCACCTGGGGAAACAAACTCAAATATACGCAGAGGAAGCGAATACTCAATCCAATTGCCCACCTGTCGGCATGTCAGTGTACGTCTATGGCTACTCGTCAACCAGCCTCTTGGTCGATATTTCACTTTCAGACACCAAATCGCCAGCACACAAAGTCAGCGATCTTACCCACTCATCAGAGAACTCATGGTAGAGAGAACTCATGGTAGAGAGAACTCATGGTAGAATGGTAGAGAGAACTCATGGCAGAGAGAACTCATGGTAGAGAGAACTCATGGTAGAGAGATCTCATGGTAGAGAGATCTCATGGTAGAGAGAACTCATGGTAGAATGGTAGAGAGAACTCATGGTAATCATGAGAGAGAACTCATGGCAGAGAGAACTCATGGTAGAGAGAACTCATGGTAGAGAGAACTCAAGTAGAGAGATCTCATGGTAGAGAGAACTCATGGTAGAGAGATCTCATGGTAGAGAGAACTCATGGTAGGGAGATCTCATGGTAGAGAGAACTCAAGTAGAGAGATCTCATGGTAGAGAGAACCCATGGTAGAGAGATCTCATGGTAGAGAGATCTCATGGTAGAGAGATCTCATGGCAGAGAGAACTCATGGTAGAATGGTAGAGAGAACTCATGGTAGAATGGTAGAGAGAACTCATGGCAGAGAGAACTCATGGTAGAGAGATCTCATGGTAGTATTGGTGGCTCAGTGGGTTAGATCGCTGACGTGTGCTGGCGATCTGGTGCCTGACTCTGAGAATGAGCGTTCGAATCCCGGATGTGACTCAACCAAACAAACAAATCTAGAATCTGTACTTTACTGAGAAAGTGTTATCTAACATATAACATTTGTTACATGGAGGCACTCATACATAGAGGATATATTGCCTGGCCGAGTTGCATGTACGGTGAATGTGCCGATCTGTCTTATGGAGCATGAATAACTCGGTTATCTCCCCTGCACGTTGATGCCCCAGATCAAAGGCATGTCTCGGATGCTTGAGATTATTGCATGTTCAATCAGACTGCCACCACGCAAATCCCTGTCTAGCTGCACCATGCTGGAATGCCCCGTGCTCAGGGTGTCTAGCCATCTGACTCAGGTTCCTGACATCTGTAGTATAAGTCATATAGTACTGTACCTATGAACCCATTGCATCGAGTAAACAAAGCTCTCAAACACACACTGGCATCTAAACAATTCATAACTCCAGCATGTACACAATCCCATGACACCAATACTTGACAAAGTATACAGGTATGGTCCGAATACATGTAAATGTGTGATGTATGACATACAATGCAGTTGTCATTTGTACAATAGCTCGTTAACAGTCGTCACAGACCCCTGTCAATCAGTTGTAGTTGGCGTGTACGATGACGTGGCGGTATGCCGGTCATGTGTTAAGGGTGATTGATGGCAGGTCCCGGTCCGTCATTGACATACCATACAGTCTACAGCACGGCAGGTGGGTCACACGGCAGGTGGGTCACACGACAGTCATGTGTGTCACTCAAGCAGTGAGGCCTCACCACGCCCGCGGTGCCGCTAGTGAGGGAGTAGTATTTTACCAATATGGCGTCATGGAATCATGTTTTACCCACCTGAGGAATCGAATCTTGGTCGTGTGCCGGTCGTGCTACCTATATTGCCTCCTCAGCGCCGATGTCTGTGCTACCTATATTGCCGCTCAGTCTCACAGTCAATAAACCGCATTATTTTCCCTCCCTTTGGGTTATGTCTGTAATGTACAAGTTATAAAAGTAGGAAGTCTAGATTTTCTCCAGGTTATCTCACACTTCACTTGGTCTCCTTTTCAATGTAAACGAAGTTAGACATTTTCAGAGACCAAGCGTTAGTCTAACGAACATAAACTACAGTTGCGTTGCTACGATACAGAAAGCTTGAAATAACAGTTGTCCATTTTAAGAAAATATGGTGACGCCCGAGTTGAGCAGCAGCATAATTCTCGATGGCTGTTCCCGCCGTGTACGGGGGTTCACGTAAATACGTATATCTGTTCTGCACATGGACTAGACATGCGTGAATGCCAGGATCCTCGATCGTAAATATATTAATTTACAAGTAATCGAAGTGCCTTCATTATATCTATGTATTTTCATGCTATACACCATGATGTAACACTTATTATGGACTCACTCACTCACTCAATGTATTTTTCATACAATAACCGTGTGATACAGACTTTTATCTTCCACGTTTGTAGGACGAATACCAGAAGTTGCGGGAGAAGGTTTGCCACAACACTGACGTCTACATGGTGTGCTATGACGTCACCAACCCGTCCTCCCTGGACCGTGTGGAGCATCACTGGGTGCCAGAGATCCGGGACTACTCTCCAACTGCCCCCTTCCTCCTTGTGGGCACCAAGACGGACGCCCGGAACACCATCACCAAGGACGCTGACCCCAAGTGCCGGTCCATCCCGGCAGAAGAGGGGATCCGAAGGGCGGAGGAGCTCGGCGCGTTTGGATACGTGGAGTGCTCGGCCAAAAGCTCTGTGGGACTGAGACGAGTGTTTGAAAGTGCAGCGTTAGCATACATGGACAACTATGTTCCTTCCGATACCAAGAAAAAGAGTTGTGTGATATCGTAGTCGACGATGTAACCATCTGTCACGTCGCCTGCCGTTTCAAGGTGCTGTATTCATGCTGGTCTAACATGTCATATCTGGTTCTGTGCGGGTTCCACCATTGACCGGGCCGCTGTTCATCCATGACGTCTATGGCTATGACGTGCCAACGAAGTTGGTGTATCGAGATACTGTGTACCATCAATATGTCATGTTCTGTATGGATACAAATAGACGCAAGGAGGATGTATTCGCGTAGTGTAAACCAGTTGTCAGGAAATATTTCCTAACTTTGCGGAAATGAGTTCCGCCTTGAATTTTTAATTCTTTTCAATGGTTTGATATAAAACCCATCCCGCCAGCATCTGTCTTGTAAACGTGACAGCAGGTAGCGCTATTCGCGTCGTACCTGGCACAGCGACAAACTGTATTGCTACCTTTCTGTTGTTGACGTGTGTGCATCTTTGGCTCACCCTCGCTTATCCAGTGAATTTCGTGTTTAAAAGTATATAATAATGGATAAATAACACGCTGGATAATCGAGGGTAGGCCTCTGAGTAAGACTTATATGAATGTATCATTACCTGGTTATTGAGAGCCTTGTCCTGGTGTTAGGTTTGCTGGTAGAATACTGCCAGCTTGTCCATGTGCTACCCGACCACATGGACCCCTGGACCTGTTACCCTACAATGTTGTGTTAGACCGCGCTACCAGGGTCTTTTGGAATACGTGCATGTGTATATATTGCAGTGTTTGGAATGTACTCGTACAAGGGTTCAAGACGGCCATTATTTTGCTTTTTACGTCTGTACTCCGAGAATTGACAATCCAAGATGGCCCCGACCGTGATAAGAAGGCCGCCAGACAAAGCTGACACTGAGCTGCACTGTCCGTATAAGTGTTTGATTGTTTAAGGACCAAAAAGACCCCAGATCCGACCTGATTGTTTAAAGACCAACCAGACCCTCCCAGATCCGACCTGATTGTTTAAAGACCAACCAGACCCTCCCAGATCCGACCTGATTGTTTAAAGACCAACCAGACCCTCCCAGATCCGACCTGATTGTTTAAGGACCAACCCGACCCTCCTCAGATCCGACCTGATTGTTTAAAGACCAACCAGACCCTCTCAGATCCGACCTGATTGTTTAAGGACCAAAAGACCCCAGATCCGACCTGATTGTTTAAAGACCAACTCGACCCTCTCAGATCCGACCTGATTGTTTAAGGACCAACCCGACCCTCTCAGATCCGACCTGATTGTTTAAGGACCTGATTGTTTAAGGACCAAAGACCCTCTCCCAGATCCGACCTGATTGTTTGAGGAAGTACCCGACCCTCCCAGATCCGACCCCGACCAAAAGACCCTCCCAGATCCGACCTGATTGTTTAAAGACCAACCCGACCCTCCCAGATCCAGATCCAACCTGATTGTTTAAAGACCAACCAGACCCTCCCAGATCCGACCTGATTGTTTAAAGACCAACCAGATCCGACCTGATTGTTTAAAGACCAACCAGACCCTCCCAGATCCGACCTGATTGTTTAAAGACCAACCAGACCCTCACAGATCCGACCTGATCATTTAAGGACCAGCCCGACCCTCCCAGATCCGACCTGATTGTTTAAGGACCAACCGGACCCTCTCAGATCCGACCTGATTGTTTAAGGACCAACCAGACCCTCCCAGATCCGACCTGATTGTTTAAGGACCAACCCGACCCTCTCAGATCCGACCTGATTGTTTAAGGACCAACCCTGATGTATGGGGAACAAGCCCGACCCTCCCAGATCCGACCGGATACATGAGGACCAACCCGACCTACCCAAATCCGACTTGATTGTTTAAGGACCAACCCTGATGTATGGGGAACAGCCCGACCCTCCCAGATCCGACCGGACACATGAGGATCAACCCGACCCTCCCAGAGCATCAATGTTACTGTACCAACATACACCAAGATTATCAGGACCAAAACGCGTAGAGCTTATACAAATATATGTCCCAAACACGCTATTTCTCTCAGACACAGGGCGTGACGTGGTTTGTGTTGCCAACGCTACGACCAGCACAAAGGTGGAATATATCGTCACTTGAATGGGACGTTTCCTGATAGTCTGTGCCGGCTGACATGACATCAGCGTGTGCAATGGAGACCGGAAGCCGCGCTAGACAGATCGGAAAGGCTGCTCACAAAGTCCTGGCAATGTTTGATTTGTTGTGTACACATTCTGGACATATGCATCATTGCAACGAAGACAGCTTGAGACGAAGAGTTAAATTTTAATTCGAACTACGTGTATGTTATGATATTGAATTCAACCAATGTTATATTTTACGTTATATCGGAATAACTTAATGTATAGTGTTGTATGTGAAACATTTGTAATAAATATAAATTTTCCATGAAGTCTCTGATTTGTACTCGTCATTTAGGTCACGTGACTAATGGAGAGAAGTTCCGTGAGTAACGTTAGGCCACAATATATTCTTGTTTCCGTTCCTGGAACGGCTCATTGTGTTACTCGGAACTCTCACATTGTCATTTATGGTGTCTCTTGGAACACTAAGACGTATTTTGAATACATTGATCGATCTAAGTTTGTAACAACACGCCTTTAGACCAGCTTTAAGGACATTTCACTCCATACCCAAGAGAAATAAGTCTGAGCTATCCTGAATTGTTCTGCCCCCTCGGGATTCTATATATGTTCAGTACAGACAATCCATATATAAGATAACTTTATACCTGGAGCTATGTTGAGTTCTCTGTGCAGAGTTGTGTCCCCTACAAGCCACACTCCGCGTGATACACAAGTCAGTGCTTTCCCCGCTATAAGTTCACCCACTATTATAATACTCGGTCAATTCATCAATGGACATGGCTTCAAGACATGTGATATGAAAACTACTTGGAATAAGCGGTACTGGAGCATCAGTTCGAAGTCTCTAAATCAAGTGTCGAAAAGGGTTTGTCTGTTTGTACTAATACGGACGTAGATGGATAGATAGATAGATATTCTTTAGATAGATAGATATTCTTTATTTCCTCCATAGTTTGAAGATTACAAATGTATAAGTATGTTATACAGTCATATTACTGGCACATGCTACAACAGAAATGCTCATGAAATAATCTATACAGGGTGGTAAGGTGAAATACAACAGTTATAAATATTTTTCCATTTATATACAGAATTTGAGACACATATTATAACATTTGCCCACACATCATAGTTTAGCTGGTCCTTTTACATCTTCCGGTATTCCGCCAAGTAGAAATTTCAGAATTCATCATCATCATCGTAGGTCCATAATTTTACAAAGATATTGACATCGAGTAAGTCACAAAATTTGTTCAAATAAGACATTTCTTTCAGCAATATTAATCTTACAAGACATAAAAACGTGCTTTAAAATATCGTGCGCCACAGTGCCACACTCACATTCCTTTGACTGAATGGGAACAGAACCCAGTTTAATAAGAAAACCAATACGTTTATAGTACCTTGGTCTGTCAAGCGCCAGCTGCCATAGTCGATTTACACCGTCCGATCTTATTGACTGATACCGTATCAATGACAGCCTTGACTGCATGGCATACTCTGCTGCTTTTCTATCACATTGTAAGACCTTTTCCCGTACTATTCTTGACCATTTCCTTTTACATACAAATTTAGAACACACTACATATTGTTTAATTTCTTCCTGGATACCATATTTAGCTAATAATTCCAACATATGAAATATAGGAGATTTCATATCTCGTTTATGCTTTCTGCCATTCATAATTTCATTGTCATATTGCGAGAATCTATGTAAAAACAACTGTTTAAAAGAAAACTTAATACTGCTGTTACATAATCTGCCAAGTAGCAACAGAGAGCGTTGATCTATATAAGCTTGTAATGACAGAATACCAAGGTTATCCACAACAACTTCATTAGGCATATACCTATCAAAACCCTGTATTTTTTTACAGAAATAACGCTGTGTGGTTTCCAACATATCATATTCTTTATTAGATAGCTTTCCCCATACACTGCATCCGTATAGGCAGCATGGCAGTATAACTCTGTCCCATATACGAATTGCAGCAATAGGATTTAATCCTAATACGGACGTATGGCGGACGTATACGGCTTATGTTGCTAGCCCACTAGTATATCACGCCCCTGGTAAACGTGGATACCACGTCGGCTCCCTGACAACCTGTTCTTGTTTTATCATAGGAAGGATAACCATATAGGGATGAACAACGTTATAACAGTGGGAGCAACTTTTCGGTGTGGGGTTAAACACCGTTATCAAGCCAGTGATGGACAGAATAAGGATAGAAAGTCCTGAAGTCCGACATTGTGGAAGTCGCGGTGGCGGCTGACTTTGTGTGCTGGCGATTAGGTGCCTGACTCTGAGGGTGTGGGTTCGAATCCCGGATGTGACTCAATCCAACAAAAGTACTAGAATCTGTACTGTACTAAGAAAGTGTAATCCCAAATATAACATATGTTACAAGGATAGAAAGGCAATATATAGAATTGACCCCAGAAACAATACAAGTGTGAAGGAGTGTTATTATAGTAATAGGTTTAGGGCTGCAATAGTACACCTAGTAGCTACACCTAAGATCGGAATATATATACACAGGAAGGCTGTTTTATCTTATATCGATCCTACAAGCATTGTTCCTCTCGGATGACACGTCTGTTCAACGACATTTTCGTGTGGAGATGCGTCTGTAACTGAAAAGCAAATAAGTTGATATTTTATATACATGTAGTTGAAAGGTTATCATGGTTTTGACTATTTTCCAATAAAAAATACTTTTACTGGATGTTGCCACTGACCGACAAAAGCGTGCTGGGCGGGGTCAGTGTGAAAACTACAGTCTACAACCAAACATTTGCATGATTGCTCATCAGAATACTGGCGCCGGTCCAGTGGAGGGCAAATATAGGGGTCCAACAAGTTTCGTAGTGATATCATTACAAGTAGCATATTATTGGTTGTTCAGTTCAAATAATCCACCAATCAACAGGTATTTGTTATTTTGGTGAGCGTTATATAGAGACACCTCGATATACGTTGGACGCCATCCGGTCGGTGCATGAGAACACAGAGTAACTGCATACCCCCTCCCACACTGAGTATACATTGACGTTGACATTGTGTACTTTGCTGAGTGACAAACTAACTATACTATGACAACATGCATGACTGCGTTGTCTCCCCAGGATGTTACTGACGCCGGATCGAAACTGTGTGAACCCCATGTGTTGTTTCTGGGTTCGATTCTTTATATGGTTCTCTGTGTGAATCCCATGTGCTGTTTCTGGATTCAAGGCCTCACAGGGTACACTATATGAAACCCATGTGTTGTTTCTGGGTTCGATTCTAGGGTACATGCGCACGTTGTTTCCTGGGTTGATTCTTTATAGGGGTTTCTATGTGAAACGCATGTGTTGTCACAGACGGTCTTAATACAGCCGTATTGTCCTTCACGGCTAATACACAACCAAGGAGCTGCCTGCTGACGGCGAGCCGTGAAGACTTCCCCATGTCCGTTTACTGACAGAAGCGTACGTACAATGCAGAACGACTGGCTATAAATGTCAGGGAACCCTCTCTACAGATGCTTCTACTATTACAGACTTCTTCCTGACGAAGGAACACGTCAAATGTGAAAATAGTGGAAGCGTCTAGCGTGGTGACCCGCTGGTCCGCAGCCCCTCTACTTGACTTCAGTCTTGACTCCCAGGCTGCCGATTGGTGGCCTTGGATATGGCCTTTAGCATTGTTCCTGGTCTATCTGCTCCATGCCCTCAGGTGTAAACCACACTACCTGTATCACAATTTACTTCTAAACTAACCATGACGTAATTATATCAACCTTGGAAATGGAGTTATACTCACTCACCAATCAGCTTAATGTTGCACGGTGTGGGCGTCACAACTCCAACTCTCGCGTTCACAACGATAACATATTTCCACACCCCCTGCACCATTGGCAATTCACTCACTAACTCCGCCGTGAGACATACTACACTTGTGTACAACAGCGAGGACCCAGTCAGGCGGTACGACACACTGCCTCCTCACATCGACCCCCTCCACCAGCGCCAGCTCCCTAAACGTCAATACTAAATCACTGACTGAACATGTGTCATTGGAGGTTATTACCACGACATAGGGAGACTGAAACTGGTGGCGGCAGACCGCAGCTAATGGCGGTTGTGGAAGACCGGTTCTTATTTGTTGAAGAAAAACGACAAGTAAAACAAATGTGGTATTTGACATTTCTTGTATGGGTGTTGAGTGAAAACAATGGACGACTCTCGAACCATTATGGTGCCTCCTCTGACAGTTGGACATGTTCACACTTGATTATCAGGAAGCCAACGAGCTGAGACGAACAACAGAACAACGTTCTGGCCATCTTTGCTACAATATGCGGTACGTGACACGTGACACATATCCTTTATATAGATGACTGTGACACATTTGTATAGATGGACGTACGTGACACATGACCGTTTAATATGGATTGACGTACGTGATACATGTCCGTTTTATATGGATGAACGTACGTGACACATGGCCGTTTAATATAGATGGACGTCCGTGACATGACCATGTCCGACACATATAATATGGATGGACATGTCCGTTTTATATAGATGGACGTACGTGACATGACCGTTTTATATGGATGGACGTACGTGACACATGACCGTTTTATATAGATGGACGTACGTGACACATGACCGTTTTATATAGATGGACGTACGTGACACATGTCCGTTTAATATGGATGGACGTTCGTGAAACATGACCGACCGTTTTTATATAGATGGACGTACGTGACACATGACCGTTTATATATGGATGGACATATTTACGTGATGGACATGACACGTTTTATATAGATGGACGTACGTGACACATGACCGTTTAATATGGATGGACGTACGTTTTGACAGATGGACGTACGTGACCGTTTAATATGGATGGACGTACGTGACACATGACCGTTTTATATAGATGGACGTACGTGACACATGTCCGTTTTATATAGATGGACGTACGTGACACATGTCCGTTTTATATGGATGGACGTACGTGACACATGACCGTTTTATATAGATGGACGTACGTGACACATGACCGTTTTATATAGATGGACGTACGTGACACATGACCGTTTTATATAGATGGACGTACGTGACTCATGACGACCGTTTATATATGGATGGACGTACGTGACACATGGCCGTTTTATATGGATGGACGTACGTGACACATGACCGTTTATATAGATGGACGTACGTGACACATGACCGTTTAATATAGATGGACGTACGTGACACATGGCCGTTTAATATGGATGGACGTAATTGACACATGACCGTTTTATATAGATGGACGTACGTGAAACATGTCCGTTTAATATAGATGGACGTACGTGACACATGACCGTTTTATATAGATGGACGTACGTAAAACATGTCCGTTTAATATGGATGGACGTACGTGACGCATCTATTTTATATAGATGGACGTACGTGACGCATCTATTTTATATAGATGGACGTATGTGAAACATATCTATTTCATATAAATGGACGTAATTGACACATATCCGTTTATATAGATGGACATACGTGACACATGTATTTTATATAGATAAAAAACGATATAAAACTATATACAAATAAATATCACATAGTACAGGAAAATAGCATTAAGCGATTAGCCACACTGCACCGTGCTGTTATGAACATGATATAACCACTACAGAATATACATGTACTTCTCTGCAGATATAAATATCTGATGCTTCACTTGAATTTTAAATCTCGTGCGAAATATTTCCAGATTAATAACCCATTGTTTAGAGTTCTGTAGTTTCACATATACGGAACAGTTATCGGATTAACGATGTCCGGCCTGACGAGGTTCCACTGTATGCAGTTTGATACTGAAGGCCACCACAGCACAACACCGAGAATGACCCACACTATGGCTGACGTAGCCAGTAGGACATACAACACTGTTACAGCGCTATAAAGTCCAGGCTTCGTAGTAATTTGCCATTAGGGAGAGCAGTAATCCCTTAGATCAGATGCTTTATAGTAATTTACCATTACGGAGGGCATTAGGTCCACTAGAACACCGGGTTCTGCAGCAGGCCGACAGAGGGCGCCAGCTGATGGGGAGGCTGCCTGATTGGTGAAAGAAGCACGTGCAGGCCTGTGTCCTCGGGCTGTCTCATGCAGAGAGCCACCTTCACTGGTACCATGCATCTTGTAATGCTGCTGAAAACCCCCCTCATCTGACATGGTATGTCATAAAGCGACGGTAGAGTGGCCCAGTGGTGGCAGTGCTCGCTCGTCATGACATAGGTCCTGCTTCGATTCTCTATATGTATTGTCTGTAAAGCAAATCAGTATTGTTTGTATGTATTGGAACATTGTTAAAAGAGTCGTTAAGAAATATTCACCAGCTCATGTTATTTGTTTGAAAACCTTGTCTTTTGGAAGGCTAAATTGACCAACACTTAAGATTGATATCATTTCAGCACGCGAGAAGATGCTCAGAACACGGAACGACTGTCAGTGTTACTATTTCAAAGTGAGTTTAGTTTCAAGACATGAGGCCTGCTTGAGCTGGGAGAAGAGCCCGATACAAGGCATAGACTTTTACCGCTAGCGTGAAACCTACGAGCCTGGGTTTTGTGCTGACAAACATGGATACATGATATATAATTACGATCAGAGACTCCCCAGGGAGTTGAGATTGACAATACGATGTGCTGTTGAGATTGACATCCAGTGATCGAGGGACAAAAATACCAGCGCCTTGAGCATGCACCAGTTGCTTGGATATGTGCGCTATATATCTATCCTATAATATACTGAGTCAAAAAAGAAACTTCACATTCTTTCTACAGGGCACTATCAAAGAACAAGAGATGGTAAGATGGTTAAATTGTTATTTTTTCATTGCTGAGATCTGTGTGATGTACTCGATGCACTGACAGTGACATAATCAGTTCCATTAGGCTACACCGCCGTTCCAAAACATGGGTATACAGAATGTCAAGTCACAAGAATAAAAATGCGAAATTTCTCAGTTCAATATCGTGTATGGCCGCCCCGCGCATTCACCACTGCCAAACACCGTCTCCTCATCGACTGCCTGATGCTTGTGAGCACGTGGTTGGGGATTCTGCGCCATTGCTCTTGCGCCAAGTTCCTGCAAATTCTGAGGTTGGTTCCTAAGACCACGAAGCCTTCTCCCAAGTGCATCCCAAACGTGCTCTATTAGATTAAGGTCAGGGGACCTCGATGGCCAGTCCATGACGTTGATTCCAGCGTTTTCAGGGGTGAGCACCTGGTCGCGGTAAGCAGCAGCTGTGAGGTTTCCACGGATGACCAGAAGTCGGGAACGGTTGTTCCCACAGAAAGCACCCCACACCATGCAACTTCCGTCCCCGAATCTGTCGACTTCCTGTACACAACATTGGGCATACCGTTCACGACGTCGTCTCCAGACTCTATGCTAGTCTGTCTCACAGTCCCTGAACCACATTATTTTCCCTACTGCCATGCCCTCTCTGCAGTGCTTAAGCCCTAAATAAAGCAAGTCTAGATTTCCTCAGGTTCAGGTTCTGAATCTCTGGTCTCCCTAGGGCTCCTTTTCAATATAAATGGGCTTGTTTGTTACTATCAAAATTATATGTATTCAGGGACTAAGCCTTAGTCTAACTCTATGCCTGCCGTCCGCGAATCTGAGGGTAAACCTGGATTCATCGCTAAAGACGACTCGATTCCAGTCTCTCTGGGTCCATCGGAGGTGACGTCGGGCCCACAGCAGACGTTGACGTCGGTGAAACGGCGTCAATATTGGCCCACAATATGGACGTCGAGAATGAGATTGGCAGCCCGCAACCGATTTCGAATGGTCTGTGAGGACAGTCGACCTCTAAACATCTCAGCCCTGGTTCGTGTAGCCGGCAGAAATCTGTCACGTAGGTGACGTAGGACGATTTGACGGTCTTTTGCTCGTGACGTCACACGTGGACGACCCGACCTTGGGTGATCAGAAGTGGTGCCAGTTTGTTGTAGACGACCTCGCAAGTCATACACAGTACGACGGCTGCATCCCATTGCTCTTGCGACGTCAATAACTGATCTTCCCTCTTGCAACAGGCCAACGGCGCGTTCACGTTGCACATTTGACAATCGTGGAATTTCAAGTACCTTTAGAACTGTGGTTTAAAAGTGTTTTTTTTTCAATTCTTGAGGCCAATGCAAACACGTGCATATGAAGAAAACTTCGATGCGAAGATCACGTGATCGACTGCACGTGCACATCCTGATTTGTCACTAACATCATTTGCACGACGAATGGATGGGTTTGAGTGGGTTTTGCTAACGTTTTTCTAGAGTCGAAAGATAGTGATCCCATTTCGGATACATAGATGTATCATCAGAAAAAAAATATTCATTATTTTTCAAATTACATTTTGTGAAGTTTCTTTTTTGACTCAGTATATATATATATATGGGACGTAACTCCGAAGGAGGAATGTGTATACTTACTAGGTGCCCCTTGTTGAAGGACAAACATACAAATGTGTAGACCCGTGGCATATACAATGATGCTGTCAGGCTGCAGCTGCCACATCACATGACTGCAATACAAACCAGATAAATTTCGAAATCGTAACTTGCACGCTCTTGACTACAGAACACGGTGACCCTGCCCCTGATCATATTCATATCTGTATTACTGATTATCTTGTTACGTGAAACAGCAGAAACGAAACCAAAACTGTCCGCGTTAAAAATTACAACTTCCGTGGAGGAAATGGGGCCATCAGTATTTTTCGCAATACAATTTCCAGGTTTAAACAATGGAGAACAAATATTTATACACGTTTTGGAGGAAGATAGCTAGTCTAAGAAACACATCCTTATCTAATGTATATATTTTTGCATTCTACGACAATGGCGATTATTGAGATAAATAAAGTAATACTTGGGGATGCTCTTTCTGTTAGATGTTGATGACGCTGATATAACAATAACACGTAGTATTCCACGTTTGGAACGTCCATGAGATCACTCTTGGTGGTGGTTCTCGAACAAACAATGTGTGCGAAGGTTGGAACCACGCGTTTAAGACACTGATAGGACATTCCCACCCTACTGTGTGGAGACTCATCGACTGTCTGAGAAAAGACAAAGGTCTTGCGTGTACAGCGATCTACAGGTCCGAAAGAGGTCAGCCCCCTAAGAATAAAACCAGAACAACCACCAAACGTCTCCAAGAACGTCTTGAAGGTCTGTGCAAGACCTACGCAGCGAAAGAAAAGACACTCGAGGGCTTTCTCCACGGCGTCGGCCGTTGTTTGCGTTAAATGCAGTGTCAGTACAATGTATAGTGCTTCCATGAATTGTGAAATGTGAAAATGTGCTATTGTCATATTTATATATGCATTGATGCATGAATGATTCATAAATGTTAAATGTGAAAATGTGCTATGGTCATATATATGCAAAAATGTGCTTACATATGTATTTTGGTTGTTTTGGTTATCGATTATGGATGACTGATATGAATAAAATTCATTTCTGTGACTAAACATGTCATTAGTTTTTTTTCTTAGGGTGGAATTAATTAGGGGTGGATTTTGTACGGGTGGATTTTGTCCTAGGTTGCAATTATGGGGTGGATTTTGACCTGGATTCTTCTTTAAATCATTGGCTCCGCGTCGTAGTTAAGCAAGGCCCTGCGTACAGAATGTATATCTGCAGAATAAGATTCAAGTGATGGTAGAGACTTTAGATTATGTATGTGCCTCAACCATAACTCACTCAACTGTCCTGGTATACAGTTTTAAAACTACTGGGGTAGTCATGTGATCAAAGCGTTCGCTCGTCAGTACCCGGGTTCGATTCCCCGCATGGGTACAACGTGTGAAGACATATTCTGGTGTCCCCGCAGTGATGTTGTTGGACTATTGCTAAAAGCGGAGTAAAACTATATTCACTCACTGAACTTTAATCAAATGTTCTTTGTTGATCTCGGCATTGCAGAAACTATACCGCTGAATATCCCTATGCATATAACAATATTCTAACATGGGACGTGTCATATTGTTTCAAGAATAACCGTACCTTCTATTTTATAGCCTTTAAAGGTTTACCCATGTTCTAAATGCTGCGACAACCTACACCTATAAGGTATCTATCTACATGTACCGCAATATGCTAATGTTGTAAAACATGAAACGTGTATCCCAACGTCTCAGTAACTGTCACGTGACTGCCTCCGTGGTCTTGTGGATACAGCCCCTGACCGGGGAGTGCTAGGTCTGTGGTTCGATCCCTAGTCGCGTCAACCACAAGATGGTGTATGTATGCTCCTGACTACATAACAAGGCCAGGTCGGAGGGAATCAGTATGCTGTATCTATCCATGTAAAATCTGCCACTGTATCTTATTTATCTGCTATTGATCTGGTACTAGGACATGTGTCGTTAAGTTGGTGGATCTACCTATCTCTGCATGTTAGTTACCGTGTGTTATATAACCCAATAATAGAATGTTAATTATGATAGCGTTATATCTGCCTGGGTGTAGATACGTTTCAAAACACAAAGCACTGATGTTATCCTGTAAGACTTACAGCCTGAGGAACTAAACATATATGGAAGGCCTACTGAAGGTGAACCCGTTTCAACCCGTATTAAGCTTTACAGTGTTTTGTGTGATGTTTATACCAGCAGACCGTTTTTTAATACGTGTTAGTAAATATATAACTGAACAATCACGTTGTGACGGAAGAATCACATCGATTGTTGCGATGAAGTACTGCTCCACAGTTCAACCTTTCAGCCATGTTGTTTTATTCGATATATTTGACCACTCACTGGGCCGGCTGCTGATTGGCTAGGCGGACCTCGTGTAGTTGAGCGCTGTTGTTGTTGAGAGTACGTGTCACGTGTTATATAACACGTAAACTATCTGTGTCCGGGATGCCACTTGTCACCCTGCTGGACTTCGTGTGTGAAAACACTGTTTTTGTCATTTCAGATAACAGTCTTCTCACCCGGCCACTATCTAGGTACACAAATATAGTTGAAGCAATGTTTTGCATTACATTCTTTAATCTGTTAAAGACAATTGCCTAGCACCATATCTGTTGACGCTGTTATTTATCTCTAAATTCCGTTAATCCCTAGAACAACAATACAACCTTTGATAGTGTTCTCTACAGCTGATGTGAGATTTCTCAGTAACCAGTTACAGTTGATACAAGCATGCGCGGGCATTCATCAGGAACAAGTCGATAATCTGGACGGGGCAGCGTGAGAGTATTAGCAGTGAGGGGGAGCTGGGCCCACCGAGCCCCTGTCCACACCATCCTCCAGCAGCTTCACGGAATATTGATGCAGCGATTGCAAGATTTCCCCGGGTCTGCTAATGTCTTCCCGACGCGCGACCGTGCTGTGTATGTGATGTCCAGTGCAGCAGTGCTCGCGCTTCCTGGTAACGCATGCAGACAGATTGTTGGCGACAACGATGCTACCTGAAACTCTACTATTAAAATATCCGTTTTAAATCTTCTTTGAAGTTTGGTCGACTTTGACAACAATGTCCGGTGTTGTGCGTCTTCATATTGAGCGTGTTGCATCAAGCCACATATTTGTGAAGTATTTAAGTGTATTTGAGGAACCTTAAACGGTAATTGACGTGGAAACATAGACAGAACATGACTTGTCTTTAAAACACGGGGAGTTACGTGACATTTACGTTGAAGGCAAACGCTTGTTCTTTATCATCTATTAATGGGCGCGGCAGCCCTGCCTTAGGGATTAGACGGTTTTACCCTTGTTTACCTGGCAATGTTTACTCCGTACTAAACCCTGTCTCGGTCAGATTCCTTGTACAGGGAGACCTCGTCAATCCGGACGGTATCATGGAACAAGGTATACGAATCTCATATATGGAGTAGTGTCCCTTCGTATAGATTTCCTCGTTCTTGGAAATTTGTTGGCCTCATTTTTCGGTACACGTATGTTTTCACGTATGTTTCTCTTAACTGAGGAGCCAAAAGCATCGACTATCGGAGTAAACCCTGAAAACTCCCGGTGTGTTATCATCGGAAGACGATGTATGTTTATATATACATGTATGTAAATAAATCTCCTAGCTTGTATCGGTTTATCAAAGATACAACACAATTCATTAACCTCTTCATTTTTCGAATTCCGGGAGCTTGAATACTGGTATTGATGAAGTTACACCTCGGGGTGTGTTTGTGCGTCAGCTGATACAGAGCATCATTGATGAGTTGAGTCGGGTAGAAAGGGTTTGGCATAAGGGGCATTTCGACTGTAAATTTCAGAGTTATTTCAGAGTGTTAAAGAAATTTACCTGAGTATGTTAATCAATTTATCTTATAGAGTTTCATTAAGTTACCTCCACAAGATTCAGTTACATAGCAAATCAGTAATTAGCTAGGGTGAATCGATTCTATCAGACAGGGGAGAATGGTGTGTTTTCGTTGTTAATTACCTACTCCACTGTCTCATAACTGGGAGTCTCACAACTGGGAGTTCTCACAAATGGGAGTAGACCATCTATAATGTAGGCGATCGCAGCTGTCTGCAGACAGAAGCGTTAAGGCTGAGATGAAGGACTGTAAACAGACAACTTGATTTACTTTGACTGTACGGCATCATGTGACACTCGTCTAACGCGATGTAGTGTATCACCCTGAGCAGAAAGCGACTGATGTAATATGTTTGTCTACAATGATATGGACAGTACATCTCCGCACTACCCCTGGGCGGGTACCTGACCCCAGGGGATTAACCGGCCTTGTGATCCTGCCAGAGTTAATGTGACCCCATTAACTGACCTTTCACTGGACCCACTTTGGCGGGAAGCCATGTTGATTTGCTTACATGAGAATCAGTGATGGTCCGCTCGTCCCGAAACTAGTGCGTCTTGCACTCAGTATTTGTTTACAATGTTATTAAACAATGTATGCAGAGTGGTAAATATTGTTAGCGAATCCACATTTAATTCTACGAAGATTTTGAATCAACATCTTACACGTTTGTGTATTTGCTATTGATCTGTCCAAACAAAAATAAAGTATATAACCTAGTAAACAAACGAAGGTAACAGCGGCATGTTCATTGTGGAACCCAAACAAATACACGAGTGGAAGCATCTCCCCGACACTGAAAGCAACACCAATGTCCGTGACCAGCCTCCGTGAAAACTGAACCAATCAATAATTCAGCGATACCGAAAACACACCGAGAACAATGCATCATAACACTTGCAGCAGGCATAGTCCTGTGCACACAGCTGCAGCAGGTATAGCCCTGCATATATAACTGCAGCAGGTATAGCCCTGTACACATACCTGCAGCAGGTATAGCCTTGTACACACAGCTGCAGCAGGCATAGCCATGTACAGACAGCTGCAGCAGACATAGCCATGTACAGATAACTGCAGCAGGAATAGCCCTGTACACACAGCTGCAGCAGGTATAGCCATGTACACACAGCTGCAGCAGTTATAGCCATGTACACATAACTGCAGCAGGAATAGCCCTGTATACATAAGTGCAGCAGGTATAGCCCTGTACACATAGCTGCAGCAGGTATAGCCCTGTATACATAGCTGCAGCAGGTATAGCCCTGATATAGCCATGTACACAGCTGCAGCAGGTATAGCCATGCAGCATACGTACCTGCAGCAGGGTAGCCCTGTACACACAGCTGCAGCAGGTGTATAACCCTGTACACACAGCTATAGCCTTAGCAGGTGTAGCCATGTACACATAACTGCAGCAGACGCTATGCACAGCTGCAGCAGGTATATAGCCCTGTACATAAGCTGCAGCAGGGTATAGCCCTGTATACATAACTGCAGCAGGTATAGCCCTGTACACATAACTGCAGCAGGTATAGCCTAGCTGCAGCAGGTATACCGCTGCAACAGATATAGCCATGTATACATAACTGCAGCAGGTATAGCCATGTACACATAGCTGCAGCAGGTATAGCCATGTACACATGCTGCAGCACATACCTGCAGCAGGTGTAGCCATGTACACATAACTGCAGCAGGTATAGCCATGTACACACTGCAGCACTGCAGCAGATATAGCCATGTACACATAACTGCAGCAGGTATAGCCATGTACACATAACTACATAGCAGCAGTATAGCCATGTACACTGCAGCAGGTATAGCCCTGTACACATAACTGCAGCAGGCATAGGTACTCACAGCTGCAGCAGATATAGTACACAGCTGCAGCAGGTATAGCCACTGCAGCAGCAGGTATAGGTATAGCCCTACATAACTGCAGCAGGTATAGCCCTGTATACATACCTGCAGCAGGTATAACCCTGTACACACAGCTGCAGCAGGTATAGCCCTGTACACACAGCTGCAGCAGATATAGCCTTGTACGCACAGCTGCAGCAGGTATAGCCCTGTACACATACCTGCAGCAGGCATAGCCCTGTACACATACCTGCAGCAGGTGTAGCCATGTACACATAACTGCAGCAGACATAGCCATGTTCACATAGCTGCAGCAGATATAGCCATGTACACATAGCTGCAGCAGATATAGCCCTGTACACATAACTACAGCAGGTATAGCCATGTACACATACCTGCAGCAGGCGTAGCCATGTACACATAACTGCAGCAGGCATAGCCATGTACTCACAGCTGCAGCAGATATAGCCTTGTACTCACAGCTGCAGCAGGTATAGCCATGTATACATAACTGCAGCAGGTATAGCCCTGTACACATAACTGCAGCAGGTATAGCCATGTATACATAACTGCAGCACTTATAGTTCTGTATACACAACAATGTGAACTCACGGACATTGTGAGTAGTACTTGAACACTTGAACAATACATGGGGAATCTCACCCACGTGTCTACTGATATCAAGAGTTGAACAAGTTACACATTTCTACTTTTATAAACGAGTTTTTGATATATTTGATATCAGAAGACACAAGGATGAGATTCTACTTATCATCAAAAATCATCAATGAAAAATCTACATCTCTCAACACGGTACGGCCATTAGAGTTGCAATGTAGCGATGTCACAGTTTTGTGACATCATCAGGTTTATGACGTCATTGTATTGTGATATCATCAGGTGGCATTGTGAGTCATGTAATTCATGATGTCAAAGCATTGTGATCTCATGCATAGATGACGTCAAGGCATTGTACAAAATCTGTCAAAAAGATATCTCCTTGGAGATAACAGGAAAGTATGTATATTCTTGGAGATATCGTTTGATCTCACACAAGCGATATCTCCAGTGGAGCACAGTTTTGGATGATACATCGATATACCCAGGACATGAGAGCGTTAAACATTACCGGGTACAGCTGTCATGGTGGCTGTCTGTGGTGTGTAAGTAATTATGTCAATCACGGAAACTAACAACACAAACCACAATCCAAACATGGCGATGAGGAATCCTCACAGTCGCTACACTGCGATCTCCCGTGGCGTAAATACGTAAAACAACTTTAGATCAGACAATCCTACAGGTTGCGACATAGAGCGATATGATACCGCAACATCGCCCATAGCATGGAAAATACCACCACACAAGGAAACGGCTTGTACACTGTTGTGACATCCATAAACAACAGCCGCTTGTTATTGTATAGAAATATATATACAACTCTTCCACAGTCATACAATTAGACCTACCTGACTTTAATTGCAGATCACCTCTATAAGTACTACTATTCTACGTAACAAAAGGCAACACAGGGTATTGAGAAATTGTCCCATCCTAGGTGAATCACGGCTTGCAATCCTGGTCTAAATATAGCCTACTTTGTATGCGATTGGCTGCGGGATGACGTCATGTAGCGGAGCGCCACTGACAAGTGCTCTACGATACGGAGAGAGACGAAAGCTGCTCGCTTTGGAGCGAGGCAACTGTTTGTAATGGCGGAGCCTAATTTTATCAAGTGTGTGGTGGTCGGCGATGGTGCTGTAGGCAAGACGTGTATGTTGATGAGCTACGCAACAAACAGGTTCCCCACGGAATATATACCCACAGTGTTCGACAATTATGCAGGTAGGTCTCGTAAGGTGTTTCACACCTGCCGCCTGGGGTCACAGCGTTAGGGGTTACCGTTCGGGGGGGATTTCTGTCCCCTCTTCCTGGTGGAGGGGGTACGGTATTTCATATCCCATTCACTGAACTAAAGTTACATATATGACAGAACACCCTAAAGATTATCTCGGAATACGGTGTACACATTTATCCAATTCATCCGAGTCGGTGGTTGTGCCTTGAGCTGGGATTCAACGGGAGGTTTTCAAAAGATATTTTAATATTTAATGTACATAACGGTATCCTTTGTTGAGAAGCAGTGACAGTGAAATATCGTGGAATTTATTAGTCTAGACAACACATTAACCTCTGTGAGTTGACGGTGGAAGGACACACGGAGGTGAAATCAACAGTTGTTACCACAAGTCGACCTACCAAGGCCCATGTTATAAGCTGTATAATCACCCCAAAACGTTTCGCTGTCATTTACTGACCTATTTGGTAGTAATGACTTCCATGGAGCAGACGACACATCAGTGACTCCTCGGTGTTCAGTCTGACGCGTGTAGATCACCCATACAAACGGTTTGTCAACAAGCTGTATAATCGAGTTTAGAGAATATCGATTTTCTAGCTACTTTTTTAAATGATAAATTTTGCTGAATTTGTAAATATTACAAGGATTGACCTAGCCCACTGGTTGAGTCAACAAGTGCTGTAAGAGTTCCAGTAAGAATTATATCGAATTTCACTGTGATTTTTTTCATTGATTTGTTCATTTATAGTTAATAGTAGGTTTCATCGGTCGACCCTACTGAGTGAGTCCATAAGATAAATGGAATATTTATTTTGTAACACTAAGCTACCGAAAGAAGTGTCCGTGATGAAGGTTAATTGTAGATATGTATCTATCTCTCTTCATATGACATCATCACACACGTGTGTTACAAAGATGAACCTCCAGCACACGGCCGGATAACTCGCCAACAGTCAGTTCCCGGTGTGCGAGTCCACTGATATTTGCCAACAGTATGTGAGTGTGAAGTGGTTAGCATACTTTTGTATGACCTAATTACACGGATCGGTGAACAGCGAGTCAGCAGACGATATACTCGATTCCGTGAGATATCAACCACAAATCACGACCCGTCTTCTGACACTAACAGGATTACATTAGCCTGTGTCATTGTCAGACAATAGATGCCGTTGTCGTGAGAAAAAGACAACCTCTTTACTAAACTATTCGACTGTAGCCCGTGAATAGGGAAGACGACAGCGGCCGTGAACACACGGAAACAACTCCAGCAACTCAGATGTCATCAACTATATACCAGCTGCTTTTGCTGTCACCCGCCTCGGACTGATTTCCCTGAAGACCAGAACATTACACCGGATTGCTTCATCCTCGGCTTCCTGAAACAGCATATGCTTATTTCTGTTCGTTCCTGAAGGATGTTTTTATACACGGACAAATTAACATCCCTCCTCTCCTGATGCAGGCCCCCAAACATGTTACAGATACTGTTGGAGGGGAGACAGTCATCTTTGTGTCAGTCGGCGTGTCATGATGCACGAGTCTGACGGGTTCTGCTGCACATGCAAACTTGTTGGTTCCGGCAGAAAATATTTAACAATGTGCTCAGCAGACGACAGTTAGCAGTGTTTTCCCAGCAGACGACACAGTGTGTACAAGCAGACGGTTGTTTGCTGTTTATTCCGGGCGGTGTGGGAAATCCATTAACTATCTGACCCTCAACTAGGACGCCTCTTTAGAGCAATGTCGACGTGTTCTTGTGTAACTTTGTCAATCTCCGAGCGGACGACGCTAGGGAGGGGACGGTATTCTTATTAACCCTCAAAGCACCATTGTTGAAGGCAGCTCTAGAACACACGACATCACCGAGGTCTGGCAAACCCTGCTAAATCAATGAGGCCGTCCGGCTGGTGTAAAATCGTTGCGTAGACATTACACGTTTGATATTTATCGATTCCTGGCTGTGTCAAAAGTAACATGGGTAGATTTGATTGATTACAAGGCAATGCAATCTAGTTCATCCAACACAGACTTTATTACCCTTTAACCCTCAACATGGCAACCGCAGCTCGCAATGGGAAGAGGCACCACAGAATAGACTAAGAGACGTCTTACATACGTTCCACTGAAGCAGAAGAAGTGGATCATCTTATGTTCGAGGTTGTATAATGGCTGATTGAACAGGCGACTACATTTGACCAGGTGGTCAGACTGTTTGACCGTCTGACTGCGTGTCGTATCCTTCCAGCACTGGACGTCGTTCATTACGTCAACAAAGCGTATGGATTATGTATACCAGGCGGCGTCACGGCAGGAATATTGGAACCGCGGCGTAAACAATATTCACTCAGTGACTCGTGCTGTGAGCTACTTATTCCGAGGCCATACGTCTCCACGCGAACATAGGCCTGGAAGTACCGCTGAGCTTCAGGAACACGCGACAACTCGGCAGCTTTCAACTCCCGTCTGATCCGTGACCCACATAGCGAGATGGAGTGTAGTCAACACCTTACTTATTTCATCAGAACCGTCGTTAACAAACAACAACCGAAATGCACATCGGGGACAAAATATTTGCCTTTAAAGCAAACATCAAATAGTTGTTGAAAGTAATCAGAACCGCGACAAGTCCTGTGGGTCGTTCCGTCAAGCGTCGAGGTGTGTTTATCTGGAACACTGACATCAAAACACAGACGTTGTGCCGCTGAGGACGGGGATGAGGGCTGAAGATGAGGGGCGGCCTGCAGTGAGGGAGGGGGAAGGGTGCGTCCTTCCTTATGTAATCGTAGATGTATGTACTTTATCAAACCAAGACCCATCTAACTATAAAGCAAGTGTAGAATTCAGCATCAGAATTATGTTTCATCTTATATCAGTATTATACTTCGAGGAGAGGAATAAGTTAGAACAAATTCCCTAAACTAGACCATCAAGGGAGGTTAGGGTGTCCTCGTTTGTGGCTCAAAAGAACATATATATACGCCATTTTGCTGTCTCACTTAGGAAGTAGGTTTATGTGTGTTATGTTGAAACAATCGAAGTTTCTCGATCTCTGAGTTAATGTTGTTTTAAGCAACACCATGAATAGAAATGGACGGAAGGGACGATCATTGAATTAAATGTAAATCTTGCCAGTTTGAGATTAACCAAATTGTCAGTAACGAACAGTATTTTAATAGCCATTGTTTTCCAGAATAACCTTCAAGCAGTAAATGTCAAATGTGAATAATGTATTGTATTGTATATAGTTTGGCTGAAGCTCAGTACGGAGATTATAACAAATGTGGACGTGTTAAGCATTGACTCGTTTAACACAGAACAACAATCATGGAAGTGACGAGCATGTTAATTCTCCCCTGTGACATTTCAAATGTGCATTATCATTATGCTGTGACACATGTCAGCTGATTCCCCAACTGGCCCTGAATAGGTCGTGCAATACTACTGGCTTTGTCTATCAGCGCCGCGGGGTCGAGTCCACGGCAGAGGCCACACCGGAACCCTAGTGACATGGCGATGCAGGTGCGAGTCTGTGTTGACTTGCAGTTCACAGTTCAGTTTGGTAACCTCGGCGGTGATTCATGAGGACTGTAATGTTTATGTCACTACTCTGTTGTACATTGCACTTGTCCTGCGGTATATTACAATGATGGGTTCGGGCTTGACGGGCACCTGTCAGATTGGGAGTTGTACATTACGCTGACGATGTGTAACGTCGTTGCTGTTGGTGCTGTAGGTTTCTCCCAGCGTGACAAGCAGCTGTTTGATGTTTGATATGCATCGATGTCGTACCTCAGTGAATGTAGCTGTCAATCAAGTTGAACTGTTGTGTCACCAGTGACAGGTATATCAAGCGGGCACCTGTTGACCACGTATACCACTAACACACTTAAAGGGAGGAGAAGTTTCCGACTGCTTGCTGATTGTTGAGAGTTCATAGAGTGATTTTACTGTAGGAATTACTCCGACCAGTACACTCTACTTGTCTCTTGGTTGTTAGCTTCTGTTCATGTTCTGTTTATTATGCAATTAGTTTACACAGGAGAAAAGGGCGGTGGGGGTAGCCTGGAGGTTAAAGCGTTCGCTCGTCACGCCGAAGGCCCTGGTCGATTTCCAACATGGGTACAATGTGTGAAGCCCATTTCTGGTGTTACCCGCCGTGATATTGCTGGAATATTGCTAAAAGCGGCGTAAAACTAAACTCACCCACTCACTTACACAGGAGTGCATGACGTATTGGGCCTCCCGGGTTGAATTCCACGCACCTTCATTACCTGTCGCCATTCACCAGTATCGGTGTTGGTCCCGTGTTTGTCAAGAACACCGTGAATAAGTATGAGTGAGTGAGTTGAGTTTTACGCAATATCACGGCAGGGGATACCAGAAATGGGTTTCACACATTGTACCCATTGTGAGGAATCGAACCCGGGTCTTCAGCGTTACGAGCGGACGTTTTAACCATTGGACTACCCCACCGCCCCTGAATAAGTATGATAGCATTCAGGACTTGATAAAGAGACGCATGCCCGCGACACGTCAAGAGGGCCCAGGGGTGCGTGTCGTGTTTTGTTATCACACAGTGTACAATTATCCTGTGTGAAACAACATGTGTGTAATGAAAGGAAATATTAATTTAATTCACTTTCAACTTCCATCAAGATATCTGGGTTGACCTCTCCTCACATGGGCGTTAATGGCCAGTCCTTTCACACTGACCCTGAATCCCATGTCCGGGCGAACTCGGTGTGCTTAACAGAATGGTCATTATGATCGGAGTAGTGTCCGGCTGTCCGGTTGTGACAAATAGCCAAGGGTTGTTTTCCTGTCTCTAACTGTCACCACCAGGCGTGACGCGGTCATCTGGAAGCAACGTGGTCACAAGTGCAACATCACTGTGACGCCAGATCACTGACTTCGACGTGAGAGACAGCATATATCCTCAAACAGTGAAGGGGTCTGGGTTAGCGCCCCTTTTAGCATTACATTA